CTCGGGCAGTATCACGACTTGTATTTAAGAACTGATGTTTTACTACTGACCGATGTATTTGAAAACTTTAGAGACTTGTGTATGGAATACTACGGTTTAGACCCCGCTCATTATTACACATTGCCAAATTTCGCATGGGACGCGATGCTTCTAAAAACTGGTGTTGAAATAGAACAATTGCATGACCAAGAAATGTTTGAGATGGTTGAAAAGGGAATGAGAGGTGGAATGTGTCAAGTCAGTCATAAATTAGCAGTGGCAAATAATAAGTATATGGGGGAAGCATATGATGAGAACAAGCCATCAAATTATATTAGTTACTTGGATGCTAATAACTTGTATGGTTTAGCAATGTCCCAGAAGTTACCGCTAAAAAATATCAAGTGGGCAAAGAAAACTCCCATTGTTGAAAAATGGAATGAAAACGATGAGTTCGGTTATATTATGGAAGTTGATTTGGAATATCCCGAAACATTGCACGACTTCCACTCTGACTATCCACTAGCGCCTGAAATAATGAATGTAAATGTGAATATGCTTTCCGATTATCAAAAGCAAGTCTTCAAAATATATTATGATGGTAAAAGTCCCAAGGACGAGAAAACAAGTAAGTTAATATTAAATCTAAAGGATAAAGAAAAATATGTGGTTCATATCAAGACTTTACAGTATTATTTGAAAATGGGAATGAAAATGACCAAAGTCCATAGGATAATCAAATTTCAACAAAGGGCGTGGTTGAAACCGTGGATTGATTTCAACACTGGTAAAAGGAAAGAAGCCAAAAGCGATTTTGAGAAAGAACTCTATAAGTTGATGAATAATTCTGTATATGGTAAAACTATGGAAGACAAGCGAAACCACATGGACTTTGAACTGGTGGATAATGAAGTTAGGTATGAGAAATGTGTGAATAATCCAACATTCAAAAACAGATTTATTATAAATGAAAATCTGGTAGGAGTTGAAAAAACTAAAGCAAAACTGAAACTGGATAAACCGATTTTCTTAGGAATGAGCATTTTAGATTTAAGCAAATTACATATGTATCAGTTTTACTATGATGTCCTTAAGAAAAAATACAATGAAAACATAAAACTGGTTTATACTGATACTGACAGTTACGTAATTCAAACAATGACTGATGATGTCTATAAGGATTTCAATGATATAAAGCAACACATGGATTTTAGCGACTATCCTGTTGAGCATCCATGTCATGACAAAACTAATAAAAAGGTCTTAGGAATGTTTAAGGACGAATGCTCTTCAAAGGTAATTACCAAATTCATAGCTCTCAAACCAAAGTCATATGCTTTTACAATACACGGTGAGGATGATGAACATAAAAAGTCAAAAGGTGTAGTAAAACACAAGGTGAAAAAAGAACTGTCATATCAGAACTATCACGAAGCATTATTTCAAAACAAAAAGCATGAAATAACATATAATTGTATTCGTAGTCGCAACCATCAGTTATTCTCAATGTCTCAAGTTAAGCAATCTCTGAGTAATTTTGAAAATAAAAGATATTATTTTGATGCCTTTACTTCTCTACCATATGGTCATTTCAGGATAAAATGAATTAAAGAAAAGATGATTAAAGATATTAACAGATATGGAAAGATATATGAACGCTAAAATTTACAAAATAGTTGATGTTGGTTATGAAAAGTGCTATGTAGGAAGCACGTGTGAGGAACTAAGCCAAAGGATGGCAAGACATAGGCAGAAATATTATTTCAATGAAAAGCACGTGCAAAACAAACATTCGAATTCTAGAGTGTTGTTTGACGAATACGGAGTTGAGAATTGTAAGATAGAACTCATTCAAAACTACCCGTGTGATAGTAAAGAGCAACTACTTAGACGAGAAGGTTATCATATCCAAAATATAGAATGTGTCAATCGTTGTGTGGCAGGTAGAACACCGAAAGAATACAAAGAACTGTATAACCCACTTAACCGAGAGAAAATAAAGAACGGAATGAAAGAATGGTATCAAAACAACAAAGAAGAACATAAACAACATAGGAAAGAGTATTACCAAATAAATAGAGAACAAATTCTTGAACAAAACAAGCAGAATGTAGCATGCGAAGTGTGTGGATTAGTAGGTCGCAAAAGTAAATTAAGCAGACATCAAAAGACTAAGAAATGTCAATCATATAAATCAAATTACAATGAACATAATGTAGAAAAGGAAAATATTAATATCTAAATAGTTCTAATAATATATGCACTTATTAGAACTATTTAGTGGTACTTCTTCAGTTGGTAAAGTAGCAAAGTCGCTCGGTTATAATGTTATATCATTGGATTTGCCAGCATCATCAGCAAAAAGCATCACCAGCATTTGAGCCGAAGGCCGACCACCCACAGACCACCCACACCAGAAAAACAACGCACACAACGAGACTCACACACATCAACAATAACAGAAACAAGGGAAGGGAGGGTAGGGCTGAGGTCCTGACCATCTCCTGGCGGAGCGGGAACGGGCAAACGGTGGACGAACACACCGACAACCGAAACAGCCGGAAAAACACAACAACAGAAACAACACACCCACGCAAACAACACAGACACAAAAAAAAAAAAAAAAAAAAAAAAACGAGGGCAGGGGGGTTGAACCTTTGCCGAATGTCTGACACTGAGGCTCCGAAACGCGAACTTCAACGTCATACCTGCGCCGCACAACAATTGAAATTTGTTCAGCATACTCAAAAGCAAGGCAACACACAACTCAGACAAAAGCAAGCCTTTTTTCTCTCAAGCGACCTCAATGAAAGGGTTTATGCTTTACAGATGCGATTGTTCCCCCCCTATTCCTGTCTTCATTGCTCAACTGTCCGAAACGGCTGTTTCCAAAGGGGATTTCGGTGCCCGAAACGGCTGTCTCCAAAGGGGATTTCGGTGCCCGAAACAGTTGTTTCCAAAAGGGATTTCGGTGCCCGAAACAGTTATTTCCAAAAGGGATTTCGGTGTCCGAAACAGTTGTTTCCAAAAGGGATTTCGGTGCCCGAAACGGTTGTTTCCAAAAGGGATTTCGGTGTCCGAAGCAGTTGTTTCCAAAAGGGATTTCGGTGCCCGAAACGGTTGTTTCCAAAAGGGATTTCGGTGTTCAAGCTGAGCAATGTAGTCAAGAGAAAGGAGAAGATGTTAAAGAAAATATCAAATTATTTATTGAAAGTAAAAAGTTTAATGTTCAAAATACATTGAGAGATATTAATATTATTTTTAAAATGATGTATGAAAGAAGTAAGACAAACCAATTAGATTATTATCCTGAACTGAAATTATAATCATAATATAATAATAACATGTAAAATCTTATATGTTATAATTATACTGAACTTTTAACCTATAACACCCCTTAAACTTATCTAAATAAATAACCCCTTAAACATATAGAGACCGATGACAGACAAAAAGCAATGTTCCAAATGTAAAGTCTTTCAATTGTTAGAAAAGTTCAACGAAGGAAGAAAACAATGTAATGTATGCTTGGAGAGCAAACGGCGGTATAGAGAAGCACACAAAGAAGAAATACAACAAAAGGCAAAGGTTTATTATGAACAAAACAAAGAACACAAACAACAATACATGAAAGAATACAGGGAAGAATACATAAAACAAAAAATTGAATGTCAATACTGTAGATGTATGGTAAGTCCTCAACACAAAGCAGAACACGAAAGAACCAAAAAACACATCAACAATGTTAAGAATCCAAAACCACCAAAGACGGAAGAAACAACAAAAGAAAACAAACCACAAACAACACAGGAAGAAATAAGAGAATACATTGAAACCTCATCAGATTTTGAATATGACTTGAACAAAGAATAAGATAAATCAAATGAACCACCAACACCCCAGAACTTGATAACTACTAAAAGGGTCAACTCTTTCAAATGAAAAAAATGTCGGCCCCCAGCCCAACAATGAACAAGGCGACAATTTACCCAAATGATTACCTTAACGAAAACGATAAATAAGCTCCCTAAAAACCCTCTTTTAAAAACGAATAAGGGGGAACACAGATTTGAGATGAACATAAAAACCAGAACAGGCAACCCTCAACAGGCTTCCCCTCAGAGCCCCTACTTTCTCCATTTTTTAGGGGAGGGCGTGGGGACCCGGGGCCAAAGGAAGTCCGCGGGTTGTTGCTTTACTTACTTGCAACCAAAGCCAATCGACCGGATCTGAACGTCCGATTTTGTGCGTTTTTGGCAACCAGTGATTTTAGTGATGGCCCAAAAAGGTGAACCTTTTATGTCTGGGTTCTTTGGGCAACTGAGTTCTGTGAAGTCCACAAAAGTCCCGGCATTTTGGTGGGGTCCCCCCTTTGTGGGCGTGGTATAAACGTTTCCGAGCCATTTCCCTACGGGAACCTCCAACAGTGGCGATGAAAACCGGCAATTTGATCAACCTTTTGAAGAGGCAGGCCCTGTGCTGTTTCCTCTTCTCGTGTTTTATTTTCATTGTTTCTTTTTCCTCGGGGGGTCTTGCCGAAAAATGGGGCACCAACGAGCCAAAAGACGAGCCAGCCATCAGCAGTTTCGGCTTCCAGAAACTGCACTCCCCGAGTAATTTTGACACTTCTGGCGAACAGTGTGCCAATGTTCCATTTGTCTAAGGTGCGTTGTTGACTTAAAACTGTGACTGGTCTGAATCTTCCTTGCTGTTGGTACCAATACGCGAATGGAAGGTGCAGTTTTGACAATGTTTTTTTGTTGCCCAGACTTGGTCTACCTTGAAAACACGTTGCCTTTTTGACTTTCCATCATTTCACCTTCTTTCAACCCGCAAAATGTGTCAGAATGTGTTGCAGGGGGTCAAACAAAAGGTCAAGGCGTTCGTTGGTCCCACTTCTAGTCCCAAAGGACGGCAGAAGAAAAACAAGGAAGAAAAAAAGGAACAAAAAAACGGAACAAAAAAAGGAGAAGAAAAACAAATGGCGGCCCTGTCCGAACTGGGCCACCCGCATCTCGCAGGTCCTGTCGCCAGGCGCGGAGTCCTTGCCCGGCGGCTCAGACCTCCCAAGCCCAGCGAATCAAACGTCTTGCGACACGCAGGGAAGGAGAAATGCAACGACCCCTAGGTAAAAAAAATCAACTGGTGTTTTTTTTGTTTTTAATGTTTTCAGGGAATCCCAAAACGGTGCATTCCCTGATTCCCTACTTATCGCACCATCGAGAAATGGACGGGATGTTCCCCCAAAAAAGCCAAGGAAGTGGGTGATAATGTCGTGGTAGGTGTCCTTGTTTGGTCGGTTTGGCCGTGAAAACCTGGTGGTTCAATCATCTACCAGGCTACCAGGGCCGTCCAAATTTCCCAAAACGGACACCCATGGTCAAGGTTGGATGGCCCGCATGGTGACGGGCCCAACGGAGGCTGGACTATGCCATCAAGAGCGGGCAGGTGGAGATGGTGAAGATGCGGGGCGCTCAAGGCATGCAGGACTCCAAAGAGCCGCCAGAGGAATCTGTGAGGAAAAGGGACCCCCACAAGGGTTCCATCTTTGGTGCATTTTGCTTTAACTTTGTGCCAACTGATGGGTTTTCCGTACTAAACCACAAAGATTTTAAACTTTTAGCAGGGGAGCAGCAAGCAACCGAGCCATGTAGAAAATGCATGGGAGTCGTCCGCTGGTGTGGTGGAGGCGCCCGAACTTGGCAAAGGATGCTTAACTCCGACAAAGACCCTCACAGGTCCCTCATGTAGTGAGTTGGTTACGGTCGACACAGCATATAAACTTTTCTGGTGTAACGGCAAGCCTGAGATGGAAACCAGAAGGTTGGTTGATACGCCCATGCTCATGAAAAGCGATGCATGAAAATGCTCAGGACATCATTTCCGTGCCTTTGTTTTGTTGTCTTCTAGCTCAGATCCTGACCAAATTGTTCGCCCGCAAATCGACCAAGTCGACCAAGATGGTCAGTCCTTTGGGTGGCGCCCGAAAAAGAAGACCAAAGAAGCTGCTCGGGTCAAGGCTGGTGTGCATGCAGCTGGGGGATGGCACCCCGTTCTGCGCCCACTGCTTCAAGGATGGGGCAAATGTGTCGTCAAAAACCACCCCCGTTTCCGCGGCTGCAAGTGGTCATCAACAACTCTTACCGGGGTCTAGACAAATCATACCGTGGATGAACGAAAGTCTGCAGCATTTTGAAACCATGGTTGAAACCACAGTTTGTTGGTATTTACGGGGGAATCGTCATTCCAGTCCATCCACAGTATGTCAGTATGTCGAAAGTTCCTACTCAGGGAAGCATGACCAGGACCCCTTTGACCACTCAAACGATACTGAAGAGGGTAAAGGCTTTGCTTGTTCAAATGAAACAAGAGGCCGACGCTGCCCCGGACGAACGACACCATGCCGAATGAAGTAAACCCCGAGTCATCGTGGATGGTTCCCCTTGAACTGCAGACATGCTTGAATTACCGGTGTTCTACCCAAGGTGGCTCGGCTCCACTCTAAAGATTTAAAGATGGGATTGTCTTAAATTAGGAGCCCCTTAAAAGATATGTCGTCATGTTGGGTTCGCCTTAAAACCAAAAAATGTTGCCCCGAAAACAGACAACCGCAACAAGGTGCCAATATGTGTCGCGTGGCCGGCCAGGATCTGTTGAGTTCCCAGCAAATTCCACAATGGAAGCTCCAGCCCCTGGTTTATGAACAGGGGGAGGTGCTCTTTTAGTGGCTCGTCTTTTGGAAAGCCCCTGCAAAAAGGCAGTTCCGTCGTCAACATTACTTCCCCCCTCTTGCTGATTGGGAATCAATAGGGGTTTGGGAAGGTGCCGGTGGGTCCCTTTAGGAAATAGGAAGAATGATCCCCTTCACTTAGAACCGGCAAGTTCTGGTACTTTTTCAAACTCGTGCCAGCTTCAATCGAGCTTGGGGTGATGCGTCTTTAGTGAGAACCCACCACAAAGCCCAGAAAAAGCATCCACTGGCGCTTGCCCATGAACTGGTTAAAGAAGAGAGCCGCCTGGTTGCTAAAGTAAACTTCGCAGCAAGCCCGTTGTGCTTCTTCAGTAGCAGCCTTTGGAAGCAAAGACATCCGGGGGGAAAGGATTTTGGCTTCCCTGTCAACCAACCTCAAAAAGGGTACCGGGCTCGAAAAGAAGAGAGAGCCACCCATCTTCGGCCGAGGTTCTAGGAAAACTCCTGGGTCCCACAGAGCACCCCCTTGTTTGGGATAACCTGCCTTTTGCTTGTTCTAGGTTGAAAGGGGGGTTCTGGGGGGCTTTCGGGGTACCTGGGCTTTGATCCACAGACACGTCACTAGTTGTGGGGTTCATTTTGAGACAAGCCTATGGCTCCTTTCCTTTGTCATGGTGAGCCCAAAACCATGTAAAGAATGATCAAGGCAGTTGCACCTACCGCCGGGTTTGTTCACGGAATTTGCCTTGAGGCCCCCACTACCATGTAGGTATGATGCTGGATGTGGGTTTGTCTATTCTGAGAGTACCCGTTTTTGATGGGCTTTAACGGGACACCAGAAGGAAAGTCCCTTAAAAACAGACACTCCCAGTTGTGTTTGTATCTTTTAGGTTTCTTTCAAAGCAATTCTAAAGGCCAACGGCGCTCTCGCCCTACAGATTTGCCTCGGTGAAGGAGTCGCCACACGTGCACCTGAAGATTGCGGCGAAGCTTCAAGATGTGGCCTATGCCAAGGCGATCCGAACGAACACAAGGGGTATGTGGGTATGTCCCAAAATTGCCATGCCCCGCGAGAATTGGTGGCTTTTTTGCATGGAGCTTGACAGGCTTGACAGGCTTGACGTCGGTCCAGCGACCCTCATGTTTGGTGACGCGCCCCAACTCCAAGTGCCAACTTTTGCAGGGTGCAGAGCCTGACTATGAAAGTGGGGAGGTTCCGGTCAGAATATATCTCCTAAGAACGCATATTTGGAGGAGGGGCATGCTGATTTACCGTCCACCTGTAAGAGGCTTCGTTTGAGGGGGACCGTGTTTTGGGTTCCATTTGAAAAATGCAGGGAAGGAAGTACTGTGAACTGATCCACAATTTCCTGCATACTTGGGATGTTCAACCAACTCAATAGCTTACAACCGTGGTTGTAACTGGGACAACTAGGATTAGTTGGGGTATGGCTTACCATGGTTCTAACCTAACAAGCAGGCCCCCAAAATGGCTAACTCTGGACCTGGGCGCCACCGATTCCGCGTGGCAACGAGCGGAGGCGGCTTTGGTGGCTGGTGCAGACCCACGCTCCATGGACTCCCGGAACGTGGGGAAGAGGACTCAAGTGATCCCGATCCCACTGCCCAATTTGTGGGTTGGGTTGCCATTCCAGTGGCTTGGGTTGAGCCGTTCCCCTTTGACAGAACCTCCCAAAGTTGCAGGAAGTCACTTTTTGGGTCTGGACCATTTCAGTCGTAAGAAGGCAAGTCAATGAGTGAAGAGATTTGGAGATCTTTGTTTGGGAGGTTCCGGTACCCTTTTTGGACTGGTAAAAGAGAAATTGGGGGGGGGGGCCTAAGAAAAGGCACCCAAATAAAATTTGGGGGAGGTGACCCCAAGAATTCCATTCATTCCGTATGTTCCTTGTGGGACTCGAAAAAATATGGGACCCACCTACCCACTCTGGAAAGGTTCAACGAGTGCGTTTCCTCTAGTTTGTTTTGTTTGGTTGCTCCTTCGCAAGTGATTCCTAGTAGGTGATGTGTTGTTCCACTATATCAAAGCTGGCAGGAGGGAAACACACACAATTGCTAGATTAGGGTAGTTAGAAAGCAGCGCAGCAGCACGTTATGGTTTCCACCCGTGATTTCATTTCTGTGGCGCTCATATGATTTCGCAACCATCCACAGTCAGGGTTTCCTCCATTTCCCTTTTTGGAAACTCCAAAAGTGGCGATGGTTTCCATGGAAACCACCGCTAAGACATCAAAACGGGTAAATCCAGTGACTGAGAAAGCGATAGTCGACCAGTAAAGGTCCTATTGCCCGTCTATCTCTCAGTTTCCCTCTACTTGGCTCTTTGGATTGCAGAGTTAACGGAACCATCCACCCGAATCTGCCAGTCAAAGATAGTAGCCCGAGCTAATCTCAACTTGGATGATAAACCTGTCTCGCCTCAAAATCCCACATTTTTGTCCGATTTGTGGAGTCGCTTTGGGTCTTGGTTACCGCCGATGGAGTGCCACCTCCGACCGCTTCGCCGCTTCGCCGATGGATCGAGGACGGCGCTGATGAGCTTCGCCTTCGCCGGGGAGCTGGGGCTCTGTGAGGAGCTGGTGGAAGCCAAGGCGGAGGCGCGAGCGAGAGCTCGGAGGTGTCGGTTTGGCCCTTCTTTGAAATGAAACCCCTTATGAATATGGGGGTGGGGTGATGAACCCCGCTTAAACCAGGGACTTGAGTGACTGAAGTTGGGATTTGGAGCGCTTAATCGTCAGCTTGCGTCATTGTTGAAGGGGAGCTTCGGATGAATGTCGACCAAGGATTGATCAACCCGTCCTGCTAAAAGGTGGGAACCCTCCAAGGATGAATCTGGAGGATCAGGTTGACCTAAATTCCTGGTGGTTTGCTTTGCTTTTTTGCATAGCAACACTACAAAGAACAGGAGCTGCACGCTGAACATCTGCATCTCGTTATGGGCAGGAGAGCTCAATCCAACATCTTCCGACCAGATAGAATTGGATATGCTAGATGGTCGTCACAAATCAGCGGTGCCATTTGTTCTTCCATGCACAATGAGGGGGGGTGACGGCCCCTCCAAAAGTGATCGGATTCCCCACTCAACCCAGGGATACAAAGCGAATTGACCTTTTGATCTTTTGCTTTCCCCGTTTTGGCCACAGGTCTCGAAACTCAACCTGTTATCTCCATCTCCTTTGCGAAAGTCTGGGGGTACTTACCCCGCCCCAGAAAGTAAGGAAAACAATTGCTAAGATCAACAAAACCCAAGTCTTTGTGGCTCTGAGGTGCAGTGGATCGATGGATCATGCTGCAACGCCATCCACTACGCTTTGGCCTTGAAGCAGGACAAGTTGGACATTGGTATGTCAACACCATGGGAAACCCAATGTTTTCTTGGTAAGGAGGAATCATCATTCCAGAATTTCTCAGGCGGTGCGAAAGGGATTTTGCATCCATCAGGGGAGGGTTTCTGGACTGTTTCCCTTTACAACCACCTGGTGTTTCCCTGAAAACCGGAGCCGGGTACCCACAGGGGCTGGGACCTCTAGGGCCATTGCTTCAGCGCTCAGCGCTGGAGATCTGAAAGGACTTGGTCCTTTGGGAGAAGCGGCAGCTGGCAGCTGGCATCTGCCTTTTAGTTGCTGCTTTTGTGCCTGTTGTGGTGGGTGTCCTGTTCGTTTCTAGCGGGCTGCCAAAAACAAAACCTGTTTGTTGGCAAGCCCATGTCGTTAAGAGTTGGAAAGAAACTTCAAACGGTGTCCGACTCACAAAGGACGAGCGACCGGAGCGCGAGAGAGACTCCATTTTCCACCCGCGCACATGCGTGGTTTATCGGCTTGAACTGGACTGCCAGCTTCCGTCAAATCAAGGAAGTCCGAAGGGACACAGTAGTCTTGAGTATGATTTTTTGGGGTTGCGGTCTATGAGGCGTGCAAGGGGATCAGGAACTTCTAGTTTTGGCTTCCAACATATGGCAAGTGAGCAATTGCCACTTCCACTTCACCACACCCTGCGTTGCTGTATAATTTGCATCGTCCTTGTTCCCCTAGCCATATTGAGAATGTCATGGACGAATAGGGCATCGGATCCCCAAACTGGCTTCGGTTCTTCCTTTGGTTGCCCTTGAAAACCAAAAACGGGTATCATCTTGAGAAAAGTGACATGTGTTGCAATAACGTGGCCCTGGCTGGCCGAGTCGGAGTTTTGAGACCATGGCACAGCACATCCACTGGAAAATGTCCACCACGGCCATAACCGTTTCACAGGAAGGAAGTTCGCGGGAAAGTACTCAATCAAGCCCGGGTTGTTTGGTCGATTTTGCGTTTCCCCTGATTTTTCAGTGAAAGGCTCACTATTGTTTGGGCCAACGTGGGTTGTTTGGGACTTGTCCATGATGAAAGGCTCCCAACTCTTGGTTTTGGGCCTTCAGTCGTGTTTTTTTTGGGCTGGGGACCGTCTCTAAGCGTTTCGGTAGATCCGATCAGGACGAGGTGGCCCAGTACCTCCGCGATCTGCGAGTCGTCACTGAGGCGAGTTGGGTGGACTTGGCAACTGCGGTCGGAATTGGGCGAGGCGACCCATTATTCGTGGTTTGGGGCGCTTTTTGGGCCATCGCGATTGGAAGTGAGCTATTTCCCTCGAGGTTCACCTGATAATTCTGTGGACAAACTCTGGGTTGCCAGCCCACTTTGGGACAGGGTTCCCTAGATGGTTTGCATCTGCTTTCCTTGATTTTAAAAGGCGGCCGAAATGCTATACACAATTTGTCCATGACTGGAATATTTCACCTGAAAGGCTGGCTGTAAACATCGCCAGTTGGAAATCTTGGGTTTATGTGCTGAGTGGGGTGATGGAATCGGTTGGAAATTGAGGGAGGCCTGTGGTGAACAACAAAACTGGCATTGTGAAACTTGGGGGGTCAGCATTCTCAGTCGCCCAAAGCGAATAGACCTTTTGACCATTTGGTTCTCCTGTTGTGGTCCATAGTTCGTCAAGGTCTGAAAAGGTCAACCTTTTGTGTCTTGTTCCTTTGCACGACTGAGTATGTCAGCATCAACCCCAGATCTTCTCAGGTGCCGCTGAAGCACGGCAGCCCCAAAGACGTCGTGCAGTACCTGCTAAAGGCGGCCCAGGAGTTTCTGGGGATCGGGGCCAGGTGAGTGGCGGAGGTAACTTCCAACCGTTTCCAGGGATGCTTCGGGAAACTCGGAGCCAAAACCCAACGAAAAGGGCTGCAAAAGGTGAGACAAGAGGTCGGAACCCCAGTCAGGGGCATGGAGGAATATTGATGTCTTTGAGGGTTGTCTGATAGCACAGGCAGAACCTGCCCCCCCCCCCCCCCCGCACTCAAAGTAGGTCAGGGGCAGGTATTTATTTTAGGATGTTGTTTCGTTTTTTTGTTTTTTTTTTGTTCTATATTTGTTTTTCGCTCTTGGCTTCTTGGCTTTTCGGATTCTTGGCTTTTCGGCTTCTTGGCTTTTCGGCTTCTTGGCTTCTTGGCTTTTCGGCTTCTTGGCTTTTTGGCATTCTTGTTGGTTTGCGCGGCTTTTGGTGTCTTTTTCTGGCTTTGGCTTTTCGCATCCTCTGCTTTCCCAGTCCCTCCCAATTTGAATCATCACTTCTTCGAACATTATGGGGGGGGGCTGCTGCCCCCCCCCCCCAACCCGCAACTTTTTGGATTGTTTGCAAAGATTTGATTGCACCCCCATTTGAATCATCACTTCTTCAAGCATCATGGGCTGGGCTGCCGCCTCCCCCCTAACCCCCCTCTATTTTTGGATTGCTTGCAGAGATTTAATTGCACCCCTATTTGGTTCATCACTTTTTCCAGCATCCAATTTCGCGAGAAAATGCTGTAAAATAATCATAGGGGAAGCCACCCCGCCAACCCTCCCGCTGCTTTTTATATTCTATCGCACCCTTTTTTGAATCATTGCACCCTATTTGAATCATCACTTCTTCGAACATCAGGGGGGGGGCTGGCCCCCCCCCCAACCCCCCCGCTACTTTTCAGATTATCTACAGAGATTGAATTGCATCCCTAGTTGAATCATCACTTCCTCGAACATCATTGGGCGGGGCTGCCGCCCCCCCAACCCCCCCGCTGTTTTTTACACTTTTTGCAGAGCTTTAATTGCACCCCTGTTCGAATCATCACTTCTGCGAACATCATGGGGGGGGCGGCTGTAGATTTGCGGACGAAAAACGAAATAAAAACCCAAAACAAATCCGCACCCGTGCTCCTTTTTGTGTAGAGAGCAAAGTCAGGCATACTTAAGCCCTAAAACCTTGGGAGGTGTGACTCCTTTGGGCTGGGGACCCCCCATCCATTCCAGGAGGGCTGCTGCGGTGCAATCTACCGGGGCCAGGAGTCCTTGCGGAGCCTTCAGGCGTGCTTGTGAGTGCCAGCGTGTGGGTCTGTCAATTGTTTTCAGGGTCACCCTTTTCTTGTGGCTTTAAATGAAAACCAAAAGGGAGACCTGATTTTCCCAAAGCCGACCTTTTGACCTTTTGGTTTTGACCATTTGGTTTTCCTATGTTGTTGTTTTTGGACATGGCCCGCAAAGGTTAACCTTTTGTGTCTGGGTCCTTTGAGCAACTGAGAAACCACCATTGGGGGGGTCCCCCCAAGAACGACACAGGTGTCAGCTGGTAAGCCATTGAGCTGGTAAGGGAGCGGAGCCAAGGAGCAAGCTGGGGGTATCCGATGAGTTCTACATGGTTCAGCCGTGATGAGGTCAAGCATGGGTGTGTCTTAAAGTACCGGACCCCAAAAATAGTTGTTTTTTGTTCGCTAAAACCACTCCAAAAGGCAGCCCACATGCAGAACCAGAGGCGGCACCTTGATTTCGAGCCAGGGGTTAAAGAAACTGCCGAAGCTTGAGCGAATATGGACTATGACTGTCCTTCCATAGGTATGACTTTTTAAGGTTGGACCCCCAAAATGGATTTCGGTGTGCCTCCCAGTTTTGCTTGATAACCACAAAGCAAAGGGGGTACCGAGCCTCAAAACGACAAGCAATGCGCCATACTGCCGGGGCGCGCCAATCCATCGCCCAGTTCTCCAAGATCGACACTGGCCAGTGGAAGGAGGCGCTCAGGCCGCGGGCGAATTTTGGGCAATCCCAAGAACTGGCGCAGATCAACACGGAGTTCCAAAAGAAAGCCTCGTCGTTGAGGGTAATCTCCTATTTGGGTGTGGGGGAGGGGGAGGGGAAGGCGCCTTTTTCGGGGTGCGAAATGAGAGTGCCCTTCGGGGGAGATGATTCCAATGCTTACTTTGAGTGCGCCCAACAAGCGCCACTGGCTCAGGCTCGTCACTCAACAATTGTACCTGGCGTGTCACGGAGGAAGATCAGTTCCTACTGATTCACTACAACTGTTGGGGGCACATGCAGCCAAAGCGATGGGATATAAGACATGGGCAGTCGATCGACCATGGCCGATCTGTGCCGACACATGGACGGGGGGGAGGTTTAAGGTGGGGGGGGTCCATTGGGCTTTGGAACAAGGATAAGGCTAGGACGGCCAGGATAGGAGATGTCAGGAGAAGGCTGCATCCTGAACTGCACTAACAAGGCTTATCCAGAATCTTCATGTTTATGTGATGGAACAATCTGGAGGCAGTTTGCATTGAAAAAGGACATTCCAACAACGTGTTGGATTCAAGTTTCTGCTCCGCTAGTAAATCCTCGCAAAGAGTGCGGCTTTGGGTGCGGTTGAGTGGGCACTGATAGCTCGAAAGCAACATGAAGTCTTCCATTTGCTGAAATGAATGTTTTTATTTCCTTGTTGGTTTGAAAGGGAATCGATTTCCCTGCTGGGAATATATTTTTCCCTGGGGGGGGGAAGCAAATGGAATGAGTCTATCTCTTGAAAATCCACCAGTTGCAACTTTTCTCACCAGATTGACTGGCTGAAGGGACAAGTAAACGAGAGGACCATTTGCCTACGAGCAACCGAGCACAAAGGTTTCAAGTCACTCAGTTGATTGAGTCACATCCAATCATAAAGCAGACTGGGTTTGGAAGACAATCCTTGAGAGTTGCTCTTTGTCCATTAAAAAGTGGGAGAACAAATCCGAAACTTGGGTGTTCAACCAACGTCGAGGCAAGTAGGTTAAAGAGTCACAATCAAAACCCGGGTAATTGGAGGGGTGTAAGATGGTGCAAGGGGCAATCCCCTTGCCGGAATTAGGTGCGGATGTCCGCCTCAATTCTTTGAAGCATGGTTCTGGGCTTGGAGCATTTTAATACTGGAGATGGACAAAAGCAAAAATCCGGCACCAGCTGAGAAGCAATGGAATGATTCGATTCCCCAACGTAACCCCAGCAAATGATGATTTCAACCATGGTTTCCCATTAGCATTTGAATGCCCTCACTTCCTGAGCTCCCGGACTTTAAGCTTTTCGGGAAGACCAAAATTGAACAAAAAAGGTCCAGACGTTTTTGTTGGGCCATCTGCTCAAGAAGTGAGTTGTGACTCACCTGACCTCAACGAACTCCCGACTAGCACAACCTCATGGTTTCAACCAGGGTTTCCCATGATTTCAACCATGGTTTCCCATGATTTCCTGTCATTACCGGGTGTTGATTGTCACTCCGACAAAGACCCGATCCTGGCCAGCGGGGGCCAGGGAGCGCTTCGGGCCCTCGAAGTGGACGCTGCTGCACTACGCGGTGAAGGTCTTGCGCAGCGCGGACCCTGCCGGCCAGGCGCGTCGGGGAAAATGTTGGGTCGTCATCGAAATGGAAAAGGTAACCCTTCACAGTTGTTGCCATGTTTTGGTTGTAGGTTGTTTGGTTCTGTTCATGTTCGAAATGGAGAGGAAACCTCGAAATGGTCATCGAAAAAAAGTTGCCACACGGGTGGTTGCTTTTAGCTTTTGTTGGTTCTGTTCATGTTTGGTGGGAGGGGAAGGGGGAACGGGAAGCTTCACGGTTAGCAGGGCCATGCTTTGGCAGGTTGTGTTGGGTTGTGGGCTCTGTTCATTTTTAGTGGGCGGGGTGCAAAATCATGTTTTTGCAAGCCCATACCAAGGATTGGAAAGGAACTCTTCAACAGGGGTCTCCGATCCTATGCTAAACATGAGACCATAAATGTCCTTTTGATCGGTTTAGATAGAGATGGTGAGATGGGCTCCACTTGTTTAGATTAGTTTTATGCCCAATTTACCATGGCCGCTTGCCATGGCCATCTAAGGTCACCTATGTATGAGACAGAATCAGAAAGTCCGATATTCTGCGTGCTCCATGGGCCAATGTTGGGGTGGAAGGTGTGCTTTGGTTTAATACCCCAGCGAAGGTAACCCACAAAAACAGACATCCCTGATGTGGATGCTGCCCAGAAAAGACGCAAACGTGTAGATGTCGTGTAGCGGAGAGATGTTGGAGGTAGCGACAAGGGTCAGACACTCAAAAAAAAGAGGGTTGGGAAGCCAAAGAAAGCTAACCACAAACAAACCAAGCCAGCAGCTACCCCTAACTCCGTCTTTAACTGCCAAATCAGTCAGATTCACGCTTGTGGAAAATGGGTTTTGGGCCCAAGTTCTGCGATACCAAGGGGGAGTCCTTACTGAATGGTCCATGTTGCCACAAAAAAAATGATTTCCGCCTTGCCCATTGACAGGTTACTTGGATGGTGTGTGTGTTTTTCCCTGAGATGCCCTTTTCTCAACTGGACATCGTTTGAACCTCTGGTTCTTTTAGAGGGCACATGGTAAACCAGCCTCGGAACACTTCCAAACTTTCAATCCAAAGCAGTTGCTTGCTGCTTCGTAACCACCCTCAAGAGGAACATTTAAACCACCACTCCAAACCAGAGATTGGAAAGAAGCCGAGGTACCCCTCAATTGGAGGCTTGGATTGGTGGTTTCAGGATTACCCAGTTGCTTGTAAAAGCAATGGGGAAGGCATCCCTTGTCCACCAAACCATGCCACCAGTGGCATGCTGGTATCACTTCCCTTGTAAGCATGTGTCTTTGTTTCCTCGGGGGAAAATGGAACCGCCGTGTTGGGGTTGGAGACAAACTCAGACCTCCCCACAAATGGAGAAAGCCGAACCCCTGGTTGATGTTGATTGGATGTTCGGGGTGCCTCAATTTAGGGGAACTCCCCCGCACGGGATCATAATCTAGGATCAACCTCAATCAACTCACAAAACAGAGCGCCACAGAAGTGCGCTGCCACCCTGACCTTAAAGAAACCCAAATGCTCCAGAGAACCACCGAGGTGAACCCCGACCAATTTGTGAAAATCATCAAGGGCTTCCTTTAAAAACAAGCCGCCGCCCCTCCGGCACAAGTCAATTTTAGCCACCAACCCAAAAAGAGGCCAAACCCAAAAAGCAAAATCGACGCGTGCCCATCATACCTCCCGGTTTTCTCATGGAATTCCATGGATTTTGGGTGTCGCTGGAGGTCTGCCGGGCCCTGCTGGCGGCAAAGGCAGACCCTCGCCTCGCCGACGCGGACGGGGAGACCCCGCTGCATTGGGCCGCCGCCGGGGGACACGCTAAGGCCGGCCCGCGAGAGTTTGTTGGACCCGAAAGGAAGCCAAAGCCAAGAATGTCAGAGTGCTTCACGGTTCTTGGATCCTGTGTTTAGGTTTGAAGACAAAAAAGAAGAAGAAAAGACTTGTTTTTAGTTGTTTTTGGTTGTTTTCATTTTTAGTGAGCTCCTACAAATGTATCAGTTGTTTGCTACCATACCAAAATTGTAAAGAGGGGGAACCCTGGATTAAGCAGGACCCATGATAGATTTTGATCCGGGGTGTCCGTTTTTAGTGGGGGTTGATTTTGGAGGGAACACCACGCCTAATCTGGGATCAACATGAGGCCTTAGTCTCCGCTGTCCAGTTTTCTGTTTGTCGGGATGTCGTTCACACAAACTTCTGACTCCATCCCTCGTATGTCTGTCTGAAGCCATGGAAAGGGTTGAACTGGCAATGTTGACCGCGCCTCATTCAAGTTGTTTCAGGCTGATTCAGGTTGGTGAAGGGTTTTCGTTCACCCTGCCGGAAAACAGGCGTGGAATCCGCGAAGAAGTTGCGACATCAATTCATCCGCCAGTGAGGTCTTTGGCCTTATGTTCAAATGGGTATGGGTCAATTTTTTAACCACCAGGGGACCGCAGGTTTTAGTCCATGTTGCCATTTACCAGGGTTCCATTGGTACCGATTTTTGACCCACAGCCAAATGAGGCGAGTGCAGCCCCCAAGCCATGTGAGGGTTTTGAGAACTGGATCCATTCCAGGCCTACGAGCAGCTGGTGCAAGCAGCATATCGCTTGGAAGCCGAGCACAGAGGCCGGGTGCTCTAGCTCGGAGGTCAGCCGTTTCTTTGTAGCCCTATGTTCTGACGGCTGGAATGTTGACTTGCCGCTTCTTTGTCTACCAGCATACACTGGGCAGCTGGGACAAGACGTTGGGAATGTTCCCACGAAGCCAGACAGCCAGTTGAGATTTCGCACGCCGCTAGCCCCTGGTCGCGTGTCATGAACGAAATCCATTTCGCACCACCTTTCAGACCCGATGATCCTTCGCCTATAAATACCAACAACGGTTTCCTTCCCATGGTTTCACGAAATGGATTTCGTCCACACTTGGGGTCTACCCGGCAAAACACCTTGGAAATGTTGGAAATGTCGTACCCGGTGCACAATGTCTGGCACCATCCTAAGTCCTACCGCCCCCCAAAGGCTCTCCACGTGAGCCTTTTGGCTGTGGGTTGCCAGCCATTGGGGGTTGGGCGGGCTAGGCTTAGAGTTTTGCATGACCCCTTGGTGGTTTAGGGTCACCCACTCGCCCACCCTCACTCATCAGGCCCAGCGGCAGAGCCTCTGGAGCCATTGCTGCAGGAGACGCAGAAGGCGCGCCGCTTTTTTAATGTTTTTATGGCATGTTTTTTTGTGTGCCCCATGACTGGATCGTGTTCAATCCCTTTTTTTGGTTGTTTGTTTGCTTTTTTTCTCGGGGGGGTCACTTTAAACTGTCAAGCCTACAAACGAAGAAGAGTGCCAAGTCCGATTGTGTCTCCATGGAAATCATTTGAAGCTTCCCCCCGGGCTCGAGGCACTGCGGCGGCAGCTGCTGCGAGACACGCAAGGCACAGCCGCCAAAGAGGTGGCGGACGATGCGCCTCGGACCTCACGATCTCGTTCTGCTGATTCGGTCCATTTTGAGTCATGGCCCCAGAAGCTTGATCTTTTGTTTCTGGGGTCCCTCAGGGACAACTGACAAGGGTCAGAACCAGTAGTCTATGGGCAATGTGGAGGGACATGGAGACAAGCACGAGCGCAAATACTCCCACGAACCAGGTGTCACATGTCTTCTTGGGGCGTTCACCGTGTCTTGTTGGATTGAAAGGGCATGGCTCAAAAAGTCAACCTTGAATTTACAGGCGGTAAGTCAGGGAAGGGTGCAAGGATAGAATGGCGCAGGTAGGGGTGGGCTTAACGTCGCGATGACCCTGTCCCGCTTAAACGGGTTCTCAGCGAAAGGCACAGCTTTTCCAATGCAAGCTCCTCGGGTTGCGCGCCTTGGCGTGCGGCTGGCTCGGGCCACTCGCGCGATCCAGCGGCTGCTGAAGTCACTGCTCCGACTGCGATTCCGACGCGCTCTCCAAAGTCTGGGGCTTCGGAGGGTCGCGCCAACGCCAGCGGCCCTCCCCAACATCCGAAAGGGAACACAACGGCTAGCCTGTCACGCACGCCCCGGGCGGGCAACCCTCGAGCTTAGAAGGTTGAGAAGGTGAGGAACGGCACGTTTGATCAACAAAATCTGAATGAAGTATGACAATCAACGAATTGGTTTGATTTAGGATTGCAAAGTTGATTTCAATGTGAAGGGTGGGTGGGCAGGCAGATTGGCTATGGAGGTGTTCAAGCACAAGAAGCATCACTCGTAGTTTGTTCTGAAACGATTAAATTCTGAAAGTAAGTGACAATTTAAACTATCCAGCTAATTAGTTAATGAATTATTTGATTCATTGATTCATTGGTTGATTAGACTTCAGCTCTGAAAGAATCAGACGGAGGGGCAAGTCTGTCATTTTAATTTGAAGGCCGGCTTGGCAGACCTATTTGCTTGGGTTGGACGTTCAACATTGTTGAAAGAATCCGTGGTGGTTTCAGAATTGGGCGATGGCTCTGGATGAATCAGGCGCAGGGGTCGGCTTGGAGATGCCCAGCATTCAGACGGACACGCGCGCGCCAGACCCCATGAATATTGGGCGTGTTGAGCAATACAACTCCAAAGTAGTTTTCTGAATTCTTGCCGTGGTCTCCCTGTGGTGTCTTGCGCAGATGTTCAACGCTGCCAGAAAGCCATGCCAAGTGCCCAAAGCAACTTGTCAGGCTCCAAAAAGTTTATTCTGCGCGTTTGGGCTTGCAGAGCCACCCGGCATTCTGCAAGGCTGACGGAAAGCCGCTTGGAGCGCCCAAAGCAGCTTTTCAGGGGACAGACAGTTTTTTCTCCGCCCTTGCGGCAGCTTGACAGAATCGTAATTGCTGATGCAAGGGGTAAAATGCGTGTTTGCTTTAGTGTTTGCGCGTCGCGCTAGTTTCTAGAAATTGCAAACAGCCAGAGCCTAGTTGTTTAGCATAGGATCCAGGAAGCGCGCCTGAGTAATCGCTGGTATTTTCTAGCCGGAGAAAAACAAGGGGGAAAAAAACAACTCTTTCCAAGAATCCTTCTGGAAAACCAAAAGCTAGGCAAAAGAGCACTCACATGCAGCAGGCTGGACGAAATGCATGTCTTTACCCGCGTAAGTGAATCTCGCCATAAAAGTAGTTGGATAGCGAAAACTCAAGTACTCTGTTACCTGCTGGGTTGCCTTTTGGTGGCCGTGTTTGGCTGGTAGGTGTCTTGATGATTTTTCGAAGGGCTGAGTGTTTGGTTATTTTTGGGCTACTCCACTCAGCAGATCGGCGCAATGAGATGCTCCAGAGGTGTCTGGAAAATAGAAGGGCCCCTGGTGCAATGGCAGCGCACCCTAGTTTGCGCCCTGCGACCCAGGGAGCGGAGACCACTTTGCAGATTGGAGCCTTCAGGAGTTTGAGGAACCTGCCTGAGCATCCGGATCCCAGCACCCACCAAACCAAGATTCCACTCATATCAAACCACATGAGGGCACCAAGAGTGCTGTGCTTAGCTGCTCCAAGAACTTGAACAGGCCAGCCTTCTGCCCTTTCATGATCAACTCTGCAGCAAGCAGCTTGCAGTCTCAGCCACATCCCTCGATGTCCAGCGCTTCCACTTCCCTTTTCCCACGCCGCCTGCGGTTGGCGTCTGCTCTGCCGAGTTTGGCATGTCAAAATCCCTTGTTTATGGCGGCCGGTGCGATTTGCGTCATCTTCAGGTATACAATGTGTGTCGGCAAGAAAAGAGTGGCGTTTCTTTTTGACATGGCCACCGCTGGCCCCCACCCGCACCCTGTTGAAACGGTGTTTTTTTGGGTCGCCGAAGCAAGTCAAGCCCGGAATTCCCGTTTTAAGTACACTCGGGCCTAGTTCCATGCATGCGCGAGCCAAACCTCGTTGTTTTTCGCGCAGCTCAGGATGCGAAGTGGCTGCAGGCAGGGCTCTTGGCCTTCAAGCACGCGGTGCTCTTCCGGCGCTTGGTGGGTGAGAGCCAGGACGGCACATCCGTGCTGGGTCAGGTAAGTAGGTAACCATTCTAGGGGTAACTTCCATTTCCATTCTTTCCAGGGATCCGGATCTTTCTAGAAAACCACCAAAAACCTGGGGAACTGGCGATCGGCTTTTGAAAAGAACGATGGCTGAAAAGAATGGACAAGGAATCAACCCCCAGAACCATGGCGATATTTCTCAGCCTAGGGCTCCACGGCCTGCAGTCGACTTGGGAGGCATGTGTGACACAACTATTAGTCATTAATGTCAAGTATACACTCATTTTGTTGGAGCTTGCTCGGGGAATCCTCATGCTGAAAATAAGGTTGCCCTAGTTTGAGCCAATCGCATCTACATACATTGACATTTTATGTGTATATATATATATAGATATATATATATATATATATGTTCTCGGCCTCCCTGCATACCGAGTGCAAAATGAGCCTCTTGGCTCCCCGCAGCAAGTTTTCTCATGCCAGGAGCCTCGCGTCGCAGCCCCCAAGCGGGCAGGGGCCTCGGGGAACTAGCCTTTGCCCGGGTCCAGCCCCCCCCCCCCCCGCCCCCCAACACACCTCCCTGGTTGGATGGCCCCACGCCAGGTAAAGTAACTTGGATGATCATAGGCGTCCTTGTTGGTTGGTTTGCTTAAAGATCGAGGGCCCCAGATGAGGGTTTATGCCCCATTGAGGGCCATCGATTTTTCCCAAAAAGGCCACCTATGGCTCAGCTGTTTCAAGGGGTCAAGTTTGCGGACCTGAAATCATGTTGCTGTGAGAAACTGCAAAAATGGGTCTGCCCAATGCCCTGTACAAATTGGGAATGGCCAGGAGATCCGAGTCAGAGTTTAGGATTGAGTAGTGATGGAGCCCGAAAACAGGCCTTAGTAATTTGTGGCATTCACTAGTCCCATGTTAACGTGAGATTAGATAGGCTGTTGGGAAGATTTGAATCGGGTGTCTTTTGCCCAAAAGACATGCGCGGCCGTGTCGTTTCACCTTTTTGTTTGTGCTAGCCATTTCAATCTAGCTTCCTGTCCACAAATATCGGGGTCCTGAAAGACTATTCCGTTCAATTCATTTCTCTGGGGGGTTCAATTCATTTCTTTGGGGGTTCCATGTTGGAGAGAAGGGTATCACCGGCCACTGGCCAGAAGAAACACCCCTCAACACCATGCCTGACCCGCTTTTGACAGGCTCAGCTCCGCTTGGAAGCCTCACGTGGATCGTAAGCCAGGTGTTGAGGCCGCGGCGAAGGATTTCTGGGGTTTTAGGTTGCCACTTTTTGCCAAGAGAATCCCCTCAAAAAGTGAGAAAGTGGATGGGAATCGATGGGAAAGCCGGCTAAGCAGTGGGGCAGAGTTTGAAGCGGCCCCGCTGGATCTTTGGGCTTCGATCAGCGTTCCACTGTTTGACGACCCCGACCTCAACCCAATGGTTCACCCGCAAAACAGGACCTGTGGGTTGAAGTCTGTCTTGGGGTCAAAAAGCTGGAAGGTTTAGTCAGGTTTGACATGGTTCCAGCCCCATGCGAAGGCAGATGTTTTCCAACCAGTCGGTTTCACTGGTGTCCGTCCAAAATGGCAATGCATTGCCTTTCAGCCAGAAGCCAGGGTGTCCGTTTTCCTGCCCATGCCGCGATCCGTGTTTTGCTGTGTTCTTCGATCGGCAGACAGTCGGGTGTTCGCCCGGCAAGAAGAAGAAAACGTGCCGAATGATGACACACACACACACACACACGCACATCTTATGATCATGACGTTTCTTTAAACCCTCCAGCCGCGTTCTTTAGGCCTGGTATTGGATTCGGGTCTTTGTCCCCCACCTGATGGGGCAAATTCCAGTTTGGGACACGGGGCCCGAATTTCTTTGGTCGCAAATCGTTTTGCCAAACCGGGCTTTGCTGTTGGGACTCCCGGTTTCGCGCAAAGAAAAAAAAAAAAAAAAACAAGGGGCCCCCCGCTGTTAGTCCTCTTGGAGGTCCCATAACTCCCCCCAAGTGTCCGGCACAGCTTCGGCAGCCGAGGTCATGAAGAAAAAGACCACCACCGTCAGCAGAGGTGGGCCTTTGGGACTCCAAAAGGAGACTCCGTTCCCAACCTGTGGTGTTGACGTTGGGAAGTATGTTGTTGTCACCGCTGCTGTTTGATCCTCTTCAACATAATTGTCAGGACCTAAAGTGCTGAAGAAGCAAAGAGTGTCGCACGATAGTAGGTTGTGCAGAAACCATGGATGAAGCGAACCAAACAAACCAACCATAGCAGACAAAGATATTCTGAGGTGAAGTCTGAAGCTGACCTTCTGTTGGTTTCCCGATGTTGGGCCGTTGATAAAGGCGACCCGCAAAGTCATCGCCGGTCCTGCAACCTCACGAGTAAAGGAAGCAACCGTCTGCAAGTGAGTCAATAAGTCCGAAGGGGTGGTTAGAAGAAGTGAGTTGTGGGTTGTGGTTGAAATGAAATGAAATGAAATGAAGTGGCTGGCAATTCAGTGGATCCGTCACTCCACCAGCCACTTTTCAGGTGGGTTCCCTACTAAAATTCCATGGCCATGATGCCAGGCCTGCGGCGCCGGCCCTCCGGGGACTTCAACTCGCCAGGCGGGAGCTCGCGAGTTTCACTGCTTCCAGTTTTGGGAACTATTTGCGTTTCTGTGTCCACATTTGCATGGCCCCAGCCCTGAATCGTCTCAATGTGCAGTTTGCCTAAGGCCATTTTGGCTTCGACCAGGCTAGGAGCCCCACGGTTTGAGGAGTAAAAGTTCCTCAGTTTCAGAATATGTTTGTTATTTCCCATTGTTGAGTTTGAAGGGAATCGATTCCACTACTGGAAATATGTTTATTGTTTCCAAGTACGAAAAAGCAAATGGAAGGCGTATCCGGGTGTCAGCTGGCACCCTTTCGCGAATCCACAAGGTGTACCCGGCGAAAGTATGTGAAAGATTCATATGGAGTCAACAGTCAAACGGCCCTCTTTCATTTGGCTGAAAGTTCGCGGACAACTCCACCATTTGAACTTAGCCATCCCTTTTATCCTCATACAGGGCCACTTTCAACGGTCAACCCCAACAAGGTTCCAACTCTTTTTCTCGGGGAGGAGGGTAGGTCAAAGTAATTGTCGACTGTGTGGTCCAGTGTTCCTTAGAGCACGTTGCACGTGCAGATTCCTGGCAGCATTTTGAAAGGGAGCAAGACCAGCAAGGACCAATGGGCAAGACTGCTTTAACCGCCTGGTTTGCTTTAAACAAAGTTCCCTGTTACTGGCATGTGTCTAGGTTTGTTTGGTTCTGTTGATTTTAGTGCGGCAAAAACCAGCCATTTTTTTGCTGCCATACCATTTGGGTTGGAAAGAGCAAAGGGAAGCCAACTCGGAACATCCACCATTTCTTGGTCAAAGCCAAGTGCGCTCAGGGAGCTCACAGAAGACACTGAGATGCGCAGGGCTCAGCGAAGATTACCGGATGTGAGTTGTTACCAAGCGATGGGGTACCCCCCCCCCCCCCGTTTAGGTTTGTGGCCACCAGCGAAGAAGCGGTCGAAAAGGGTTAGATCCCCTTTTGCATATGGGTCTGTATTTGTTTGGAGAGTTTTCAGGTTGGTTTAAAGGGAGATTAAAGGAACACCCATCAATTGCCTTGCGGTGGTTCTCTTCTCAACCACCAGGTGTGTTGTTCCTACGCTAGCCCAAAAATCCGTTAATCTCCTTTTGGGTCTCCCTTTGAGGGGGGGGGTTAGGTTCCATGTTAATTTGCTGGGGAGTACTTGAGCAAGGGCCCCTTTGGCATGGTTGGAGACTCAGGTTTCATTGCGCCCCGAAGCTTCTGAAATGATTTCCGTGGGGGATCGATCCCCTCGGATAAAAGTGGCAAAGGTTGAGCACAATCCCGTGAAAGGCCATCCCACGGAAAGCCACGGAAAGGCATTTTCAGGTATGGGTTTTGGAGGTATGGATGCTTTCATAGAAGTCTATGAGGCAGTATATACCCCTTTAGGTAGTGGCATAAACCCTACCTCAAGACCTCCAAAACCCATCCTTGGAACAGCCTGAATTCGAGAGTGCGATGCATAGAAACCAATGGCAAGTTGTTTGAAGAAGTTTGTGTTTTCAGCAAGGGGACCAATGTCGGTTTGGGGAGACCCATTTGTGTGTGTGTGTGTCGGCTTGTTGTTCTTTTTGAGGGTATCCGTTTTGGGGTTGCTTTAAAGGGAAGCCACTCGGAAAGCCCACAATTTGTGGGGTGCCCCGGGATTTGGTCAATTTGGTAGACCTAGGCCAGAAGACGCTGTCGGAATCTTCAGGCCCGAGCACCCAGTTGGATGTGTGGTTTTGTGGCGGAGTTGGGTCCCTGGTTCTTGCCGGTAAATGGGAAACCCCTCCGAAAAGCCACACCAACAGCCAACCATGTTTGGAAGTCCCCCTATTTTGTTGCACACCTTACACCCTCACACAAAAAGGGGGGGGGGACCTGGGAATCCCATGGCGTCAGTGCTAGTCTCAGAAACATCCATATGGCTCCTCTTGTTTGAGGCTCGGTGCACATGTTTGGTAGTCTTTAAGGGAACCAAGAGGGGGGGAATTCTGGGCCCCTTAGAAAGAGCAACCCATCCGCAGTGTTCCTGAAACATTCTGTGTAGCCCATGGCCTTCGACCTAAAGGTGGGGTCAGCGGAAGGTTCCACTGCGAAGGTATACCGACCTGTCGGTTCAAGGGCGTTTCCCCCCGCTTGCTCTGTACGGCATGAATATATACGGCACACTGAACACCGTTTTGACGCCTTTAGGAAGGAACCTTGCAAGTGAAAGGCTCATACCCATATGGCTGTGCGTGTTTGAGGAGGTTTAATTGCCCTATGTTGACCTTGGTTCAAAGAGATAGCAAAGCGGAAAATCACGCAACACCGACTTTTTCTCCGCTGTTCAAAGCCGGCCTTCCGACCTTTAGGTTTCCGTTGTTGGTCCATGTTTAGTGCAGGTCCTCAAGGCGGTCACCTTTTACTCCCAGGTCCTTTAAACAAGTAAGAAACGGTTCAGGCTTTTGTTGCCAATCCACGGATGTTGTTGGAACACCCAAGCGGTCATGTCCGAGTTTTTGTGGACCCCATTTTTGACACCGACCCACGGCATTTGTAGAACTCCAAACTGAGGAGCAAGAATTGCCCTGGTGCCAGACGGAGGCAGGGAATGGGAACTTTCCTCCAGAGGTGTGTTTCTTGAATTTTTTTGGCATATGGCGCCAGCTTCCGAAGCCCATGCCCAGACCAGGTGCATTTTCGGGATGGGGGGGTTGTCCCAAGCCCTCAGTCCTGAGAATAGCGCCCTTCCCAACAGCTCCCTGGGCAACGGGCTCCATTTGTCCCAAAGGCATAGGAGCCGTTGAACGTGAGCGTGGCTCAAAGAAACTTGGACGTTTGGGATCAGACAATACCCTTGACTTAATGATGAGCAAGGAAAAGTGTTGAATCCCCGCTTTGAATTTGATTGTTGACCAAGCAAGAGGGACAAGGTTTGGGGAGAGCTCTCAGTGAGTTCGGTTTGGGTTGAACAGTGCCTGAGCTTTGAGGAAGTTGTTGGCAGCTTTCAGGTATAGGGTTCTGGTGTCCGGGAGTGCAGGAAGCGAAGTCATAGAGATGAGGTGTTTTGAAAGGCATTCGGCACAATACTGAATTAGTGGATTGGTCAGATGATACACACACACCCAGCCGCACTCACACACACAAGGCCACATTCAGACAAGTAGAGATGCTAAGGTACAGTCATAGATATGCAGTCACTGTCACGCAGACAAGCGGACCCAGACTCACCTCATGGCGGACTTTGCAGTCTACATCATCACCATCATCATATTGAGTCCCCCAAACCTGACACTTCGTTGAGATGTACACGCATTGCAAAATGCACGCACGCACGCAGAGACTTACACACACACACAAACAATCACACACACACACAAACAATCACACACACACACACACACACACACACACACACACACACACACACACACCCACACACACACACACACACACACACACACACACACACACACACACACACACACACGCGCGCGCGCGCACGCGCGCGCGCACGCGCACGAGCGCAGAGACATCGTGCGTGCCTAGCGAGGGGCAGTGCGTTTGCATCAATATGGGCTCAAAATTCAAGCCCACCGAACTATGGGGATCCTCACCCGCTGTCCATTCGTTCTGTATGTCGCCGGGGGTCTGAAGTTCCTGGATGTGGGGGCCCCAAGAACAGGCACGCAGTCCATGCACATGGCCTCAGAGATTCTAGGCTACAGGACGTTGCACACCGGATACCACCAGGAGTTCCGATTTCCGATGTGCAACTACCTCTTCAACAATGGCAGCTTAGAGCTGGCCCTGGCAGTTCTGGAAAACTTCGACGCTGCCATGGACGAGCCCGTGCATTTGATGTATGAAGAGGTCATGACCCACTTCCCAGAGTCAAAGTTTATTCTCACAATCTCCGATTTGGAGGACTTCCATTTGGGTAAGCATATGGCTAAATTGCCCCCTGTTGGTTGCAAAGAAAGTCTACCGCTGGACATGTTCCTAGGTTTTTTTGCACGTGACTTCAGCAACTGGAGGACTGGCATGAGAACTATGTCTCTCTCGTCCAAAGTATGGACGCTCGGGGCGTGTATCGGGCAGAACCGCTGAAGATGTTCGAGGAACTCCATCCGCCTGGCTTCGATAAAGTCTACGCACAACTCGAGTGCAGCGCTATGGCATCCTGGGGCTGCGACTTTCTGAAGCCCACGGCAACTCGGCTCACGGCGAATCCACCGGGCTTTCACCTGAAACGGTTTTTGTTTCTCTCCCCCATGTTGGAGGTCCACTTGATTTTAGGAGTAAACGGCGATCCTCTTTGGGTCAACGCCAGTGAGGCAGCATCTAAGCAGAGCTGCATCGAGAGCCACCGGAAGCACATCCTCCGGGTGCAGCAGGTGATCCCACCACACAGGCTGCTGGTCTACAACTGGTCGGATGGATGGTCTGGGCTGTCCCATTTCCTGGAAAAGCCCATCCCAGATGCCGAGTTTCCGCATGAAGATCTGCCTGGAGACAAGTATATCCCAGGCCATACAACTGATTGAAGATGTGTGCTGCTTTGTTGTTTCTTTTTTTTTCGCTTTTAGCGAATGAGGTGTGGCTTCTGCAGAAAGCGTGTAGCCATGACAAAGGAGCGCGCAACCTGAGTCGACATGCTCTTCTTCCTTTCTCAGGGCGAGCGTTGTTGGAGGGTGCCCTTTTCGGAGTGGAGTAAACGGAAACCAACCCGCTGATGGCTCGAGTGTAAATGGCACTCCTGCCAGATGTAGATGTTCTTGGGTGGTCCTTACCCTCCTGTCCCGAAAGACTATGTTCCTCCAAAAAGTGACCCTTCGGTGAGTTGTGGAAGTGCTCATGCGTGGATGCATGTCAAGCCCACAAAATCTCCAGATTCATTTTGCTGCCAGGTTCCAGCAGCTCCCGCCGTCCCAGTTCAAGCGGGCGCCTGAGCTCGCGCTACGTGGATGCCCGAGAGGAAGCACGCAAAATGTGTGTTTTGCTGGGGAGGGAAGTATTGCAACTTGTGCGTTCTTGACCATGTCATGTCCACTCCATTGAAAGACTTGTGGTCCAGTTGTCTCATTATAGATGATGACAGTCCTTAGGAAAACAATGGTAGTTCTATGAGCGACCATTGTTTTCTATCAAAGGTGGTTTGACTCCCAGTGTTTACACAATGAACCACCAAACCAAGCACAACCATAGCACAAGCATATTTGCTCTTCTTTTTTTTTGAAGGTCTCTTGGTGTTTATCCCAAAGGTGGGGGCTCGACTCGTGAGATGAGCCACGTGCTCAAAACCCGGGGATCGATGAAGGTTAGTAAGGGACAATCCCAACCACAAATAGTTGCAGCCGCCTTCTTACTTCTTTACATGGTTCTGGATAAAGCACTTTAATACCGGGTTTTGATTGTTACTCGTACGGTGCTCGGAACAATCCGGACGTATCATGATTATATATATATATATAGATTCATCGAGCCCATTGTGTATTGTCCTATCAGTAGAAAGTGTAACTGCGAAGGGGGATCCAAGACCTTAGTTAAGATTCTCCTCGAAATCGACATGGAGCCCACAAAAATCATCTTAGCATTGCTTGAGCTTCGGGACGGTCACCAACCCACTGGGGTTTTTTGACAACCAATGTATCACAAAGGTGCAAAGTGGACCAAAACTCCACGAGCGAGCGCCAGGCCCCATGTCGCGACCAGCCTCCGCGAGCAGCGCTGGCCTCGGCTTTCCCCGATCGAAATGCTCCAAAGCGGGGTAGGTCAATTCGCCACACATTTTAGAACCTATTTGAGTGGGGATTGGGATGTTGACTGGGGCTACGATTTCGGTTTTGACCAATGGCCACATGGGGGGTCCATAAAACAAAAGGTCTGAGACGTTCCCAATGAAAGCCCTCCTTTCAACCAAACTGGGTTGGGAACACTGAAACATGGCCCAACTTTGCGATTTGCATGGACGCCGTTCTACAAATGTAGGCTGCAGCCGGGAATAACGCACGATGCGAAAGCCATATGAGACCTCCCAGTCATGCGACGCAGCGGAATACAGTTGCGCAAGCCCCTGAACTCTCATGGGCTCTGTCCGATTTCTGACGCAGACTCAAACAGCCCCATGTCGAAGACGGCAAGGAGTTCGGCCTTCAAATTCCGCGCCTCGAGCCGAAAACACGCCAACCCGAGGCGAGAAGAAGACTCGCATTGGCTTCACGGAGCGGAACTGCAGTTCTCAGCTGGTTCGGTTCCTTCCTGGCGTCAGTCATTCTTGACAAGGCCCATATACAAAAGCTGTTATAACTGTCTTAACAACGAGTCACACGGTTTCGGGTGCTTATGTGTAAATCAGACGTTGAGTTCAATTAAAAGTCAGATGTCAAAAGACACTACAGGAGTCCTTGTGGAAGGGTTGGAACTGGACGTTTTGTGACTGGCATGAGCGCCAAGTTGGCCTGGCCGAATTTGTGCCTTCGAAAAAGCAACATGGGTGTCTCGTCTTACGATTTGGACCGCCCAGATGGCTTGGGTTTCCTTTTGGTGTTCCTTTAAAGCCACTAAAACAGGGGTGACCCCCAAAACAACACAGACCCACATGAGGTTCCGCGAAAATGTCCATGGAACCAACAAAGGGTATATCACATGAAGTCGCACCTGGTAACGAGTAACCACAAAAGTTGGTCTATGCTGGCTTCTGTATCTGACAGATGTTGGGCGACTCATGCAGGAATCCGTTTTTGGGATAGTACCTTGCTTTCAGGTCTATGATGGTTTTTGTCAGGCGAACCAATATGCAAGAAAGGAAGGAAGGCAGGAAAACAGGAAAGCTGACGTGCCACAAAGCTCTGCAAAGACAGACACGACAGTCGTTCGGGGAAAATTGTCAATACTCCACCCCTTGTTGGTTGGTTTTAAGGGGAAACTAGAAGGAAACCGTCCCCGATTTTGAGAAACACCCAAAATATGTATCCCATGGCAGTCAAGCCCCGCGCAGGACAAGCCCGACAAGTGAGCAGAGACCATGTCCGGCCAGCCTGCCAAAGGGTCAAGCTGTGATGACTGTGGTACTTAGCCTTGGGTAGCTCCTTCTCAAATCTCAGAATTCATTTCTGGGGTCTCCAAATCTATGTTGTATTTCTAGGGTAGACTAAATATGAAGCAGAGTCAGAACACGATATTTTCTGCTTTCTAGTGGGCCAAGGTTTCTAAGTTTCTAAGTTGTTGCTGTACAGGGTCTTCACGCGCGCCCCAAGCCCAACGGTCTGACACGATGAATAGCCACGGCAGCCGATCCACAATCCGGCGCACAGCTGGGTGTGGGGAACCCATTAAACGATCACTTCGGGGGATGGCTTTGATAGTCGTATTTCAATGGGGCCAGTTGAAATTGCCTCTGCGTTGTGAAGGAACTCCTTCAGTTGGGGAGTCACGCTCCAACCAAAGCTTGGCATCCATTTTCCACCCAGGCGTGCAAGAACAAGCTCGATCCACATTCGCGGATCCCCGCGCAAGAAGCGCGGCGATCGCGACAAAGAGTGGCGAGAGCTAAAAATGCGGCGGGATTCCGCGCGGTTGGAATTCTCCGCTGCTGGGTCAGCTATCTCCCTCTGCGGGTGATAAAGTTTGATGGTTGAATCGGCCTTGACTCTGAAGAAGAACGAGGTGGAACATACATGTGAGGTGCAGTGGTTGGATTGGATTGGATTGAGACACATGGTTGGTTTGCTCTATTGTACTTCCTCTCGCCTTAGCGGTCCCTTGGGTTTAACGCACCCGCAAAGCCTATGTCCGTTCGAGTCAATGGTACAGCCAAGGTACATGCATGTCTCTACAAGAGGACCCTAAGGTTGATTTCCTCTTTCCTTCAAACCCCCCCGAATGGCACCTTGATGTGAGACAACCATCTTTGTTCTTCCCGCCCTCGTTTGCAGAAAGCGGAGAGCCTGAATTTCCAGCTGTGGACCTCCAAAAGGGTGACAGCTTCAATGAAACCCACCAGAAAGTTCATCAATCCCAGCGCTCAAGGAGAACGACCGAAGCCATGGGCGTTAAATTGCCACACCACGCAAGAATGTTCCAATTGGCTTGGGAGAACAATGATGGCTGGTAGTTTTCTGTAAATTGCTCAGCCCTCAATCGCCCAAAATCGACGGCGAGCCATAGGGGTCGATGCGGAAAAAAAAAATGCTGACTGAGGCTGAACCTCTGAGCGGCCTGTGATCCAGAACTGGATTATGTACGCTGGGTTTGCACGAAATCCCCCGTTGACAGGGGTCTATATATATATATATACATAGATATGTATATATGTATGGTCCCGTGTTCCGTGTTGCTACCCCCCCCCCCCAAATATGGTATGGGTCCCCCCAGGACCCTATGGTCCCACCCCACCCCGACCCCCTGAACTCGCACCCCGACACCCCGGCACCCCCACCCTGGTACGACAACCAACCAAACATATAAAACAAGTGGTTCTTTTCTCTGCTGTGGTGTGGTCTTCCAACTCTTGGCCAGACTCAAGCTCGGCAGCTCATGATGGTACCTGTCAAACAGGTCTGTCGATCGCGATCAACCATTCCCCCAAAAGAACTCCGCGAATTATGTGTGCAGATGTGGCAATTCGACGTGTCAGGTCTCGATTTGTTCGGCCGTCCAAGTATTCTGTTATATGGAGCCTGGTGGTTCAACCACGATGCCAAGGTTGAACACAACAGCGTCAACAATGCGTTTGCAGGACGGTCGGGGGGGACACGTTGCTCGCATTACACGGAGCAGATTTGTGCGCTTGTCCTGCAAAGTCCAGGAGCATCTAGCCGCGAAGGCTGAACAAGTGGTGTGCGCTTTCGAGCTGATATGGGCGTGTATTTTGCTCGAGGGGACACCAAAAGGAAAACCACCATTTTGTGGGCAAAAAGAGGCTCCAGTTTGTGAACGCAAATCCGGGCGCCTAAAGGAAGCCACCCCATGTTGAGTGCACGTGGCTTCCGCTTTCTTTTCTGGTTCGGGGCCCCGGATGCACAGTCAGCGAAGCCGGCCGGGCTACCCTGCGGCTATGGCTACCTGCGCAGTCGCGGAACCGAAATGGTGGAAATCATTCGAGGATGTCCGTCCAGGCAATTTGGGAGGTATTCCCGAAGTTGCAACGAGGCCTGTTTCGGGGGGTTGCAGGTTGGTGCGGTATGGGGACATCTCAAGGCCATCTTTGAAGGGTGATTCCCTTTGCGAATGGCCGCAGCCGTGCTCAACTTCTATCGCCACCTTCAAAGCCAGGATTTCAGAAGGCGCGAGAGGGATGCAGACAAATCTCCACGTTTGAGTTGCCCCACTTGTGGCTAGGTGTCTTCGCAGTCAGTGGAGTTGTTTTTTCTCGCGAGCAAACAAGCGCACCTGGACCCCTCTAAGACTCCAAGACTCTCGGGCTTTTGCAAAAGGGAATGGTGCACTTCCATGCTGATTTGTCGGAAGCAAGGCGGGAGTTGTGCGCTACGGCTGAAAAGGAAATGCGTGGGGCAGCCTTTTGGGCCTTGGCAACCATGTGTTTGGGCGTCCCTGAAAAGCAAACTGTGACCTTCCTTTTTCTTGCCGGAGCACCCTGGCCCCGTCAACCAATGGAAGGCGATGATCGACATTGTGAGCTTCGCGCTCGGTGGCGTTACCGTGGCCCGGGGCCCTTGCCAAGTCGATCGTGGAGGGCGAAAGGCAAGTCTGGACAAATTAGAACAGGCTCACAGCAAGCTTTCCTATGATGTCATTCAATGCAAAAACATACCACATTGCCATAGCGCCGGACAGAAGGTCCCTTGAGGAAATTGTGGGAAGAAACGTCTTCATATTCCAGAAGCCGACAGCAGAATGTTGATTTTTGCTAGACCTCCAGTGCTTATTTGGTAAACAAACGGGTTTCCCTCAAAACACCAACTACCAAAGCAAGAGTGCTTTTTTTTCCAGGGGTAAGGCGGAATGGGGAGTTCGACACGCCCATGCTCGTCTTACAGAACTGGCTCAGATGCAAAAATAAGTGAACCAGTTACCAGTTGGTAGGTGCTTTATCCCAGCATTCATAATATTCGATGTTCATCCAACTGGTGCCTGGAGTGGCTTGTGTCCATCAGGGGTTTGGTTCGTAGGGCTCATTCCTCTGAGTTTATGGACCTTTGTGCTCGTGGATTACTTTGCTTATGGTGTTCAAAGGAATGAAGACCATCTTAGCGGCAAACACAAAGTCCAGACTCCTGTGCCCAATCCGCTCAGGAAGTGAAATTCCTTTGTTCTTCAGCTATCGACCAGAACGACTCCTAAGTAGGGCGCCAACCTGTACAGCTGGGTGTGTCTTTTGTTGAGGCTTGTTGGGTTGCTTGAAAGGGAAGCCACAGAAAAACCACCTTTTAGGGAGGTCCCCCTAGCTTGAACCAGACTTAGCTTACCTTGTTTATTATGTTGGCTTTTTTGGGTTCCCATCATTTTGCCAAATGCAGAGAAAATGAGCCCAGGTGATATCCCCAACAGCCCCTGAACCCAACCTTCCGGGCAGCATCCCTGAAAGCTGCCCACCATGTCGCCTATCTCACCCTATAGACCCCAAAAACGCTTTCAGCCGGGGAAAAATGATATCTTCTTGGCTGGCTGGCTGGCTGGTTGGCTGGCTGGTCCCCGAAAAGAACCCCTTGGCCGGATCCTCAGGCCTTCCTGGCCATTGTGGCCTCCATGGGGGGCGACTGCGTGGGCGCGGCCAACAAGGTGAAGGCGATGGACCCCGACCCGCCCACCTCCCCTGGTTGGATGGCCCCTCAGGCAACGTAACTTGGATGCGGGACGAAGTCATGAAAAATGGTTGAACCAGATTCTACCCCCGAAGCCACCAGAAGAAAACCGGGGCAGGGATACCTCTACAAAGTGGCTGGTGGCTGTATATCTCATCAACCTTGTGGGGGTGGTTTGGGGTAGTGGAAACCATCTTCGAGACACGAATCCTTCGCCGGGCCCTGAGCTGACAATATGTGCAGTCTATGTTTGATTTTGGGACATGGAGGGACCTTCCCACCAAGCCAGGGGACCTACCCAATGAGCCAATAGCAAGTAATATCATGCGTTGCTCAAGGCAGATAAGTGTGTGCCCTTGCGGGCGTAGTCTGTGAAATACACTGTGGCAGCTTCAACACGCCTGTGGCAGCTCTGTCATGATTTGATCATGTTGAAAGACAATTCAGCAAGCCATCAATTTGGGGGAAAGGAGCCATTCCTATCTAGATTCCTATTCGAAATTGGAAAAAACCAAAACGATTGCGCAGTTCCATATGCAGTCCAATTGAGTTCTAGACATGTGTGAGTCTATTTGCATGGTCTGTTCTCTGAAGTTGAATTTGGAAAGCAATCCCATCTGAAAGATGTGTTCTTTATCTTGCTCAGGTTAGCATGCTGAAAATCAAATATGGGAAGAATATCCTATGTCAAGTGCTGTGTCAAGTTCAAACAACTTGAACTTGAAACCATTGTATTTTTCCTTATGCATGCCAAATAAGAATTGCAAATGGAGAAAGACAATCAAAATTGCTAGTTGAATGTGAAATCAACTTCAAATTCCAAAGGGTTAGTTTCCTTATCTGATATCCTGTGAATTTGACCTAGCACGATTGATGCAAGCCAACAACAGGAAAGTGTGTCCAACAACATGGTGCTGCTCCTTGGCAAACATGCAGTAATTGATGTACTTACTAGCATTTCTCAACTCGGCCGTGAATGGCATGTGCTCCCTCAAAAAGAAGGGGCTCTTGGATCCAGGCCAAACAAACAGTAAAGTTGTTCCAAACACCTCAAAGCTCTGTCTCAACATACAGACCTTCTTGTTCAATCTAAGAGCTTCCCGGTTCAACCCTCATTTGGGGGTGGGGGGGCTAACAAGAAGGAGTAACAATGAAAAACAATGCTGTGCTGATTGTCTGACCAGACGCAGGTTTCACATTAATTTATATATATATACACACATAATAGGGGCACCATATATTTCCCGTTTAGGTGGCTTACTCAAGGTGAGTTTCCCTTGGTAGGGCCGATGTTTTAAGGGAAATATAGGGAGCCCTGTTGAATGGCACCTTTTTTTGGGTTTGTTACCCCATGAAACCAACCACTTGCGTCTTGTCCATCGTATTTGTGCGCGTTTCGTTTTGCGAGTGTCACGGCCAGGAAGATCCAGCGGAGCTGGTGAATCAGTTCAAGGTCCAAGAGATGACTATGGAGACCAAATCTGGGAAAGTTTGCTGCTGAGGCGGGCTATTCAACCTTTTCAGAGTCTCAGAGTTCCAAGCAGCAAAACAGAAGCCCAATCGACTCGCAAGTGGATGTCAGAAACGGTGGCACTTGCCAGTCCGCCGTTTTTGTGGTGCTTGTTCTTGGAGAGACTCCCAGAGGAAAAAGCTTATTTTGGAACGAAGCCACCCTGCCTGGTTTAATGTACATACATTTTGTATGTGTAGAGATGGCCTGATATTGTAAGGTGTACACATACAAATTACACAACACTCTCAAACAGCAGCAGTCGTTTGAAGAACGGCATTGGGACTCGACCGCCAATTGTGCATGATTTGTCAAAAATTGCTGAAATGTGGGATGCGTATCGGCGTGTGGCCTTGGAACAAGATGCCCTGACACCAATTGAGCTTGAAATTGTATGCCAGACTTGCCACAAGGGGCTGCTGCAAGCCAGTTGCTTTCAAAGGCCATAAGGGAAATCCAACTGTGGATGGGGTCTCGGAGGCGAGAGATGCCGAAGTTTCACTAAAGGGGCACCCTTGAGGTGTAATTGTTTTTTTGTTTTTTGTTTTTCTCCGGGGTTCTCGCTGCGCCAACACAAACTGTTCAACTTTAGGATGAGACCATTTAAGCAATCTGATAGTCTTAAGAATGGTTCCACCACTGGGATGACCATTTAAGCCAAAGCCTGGAAAACAAGTGGAGCTTCTATCTTTTTTATGCTTCAGTCAGACGTCCTTTGGGAGTTCCAGGCGCTGCCATGTCGTACGTCATGCGGCGACCTGAGAGGGCCAATGCGCCTTCTGCAGAAAGTTTCGAGAGCTGACCAAAGGGTTGGATTGCACTGTGGACGAGATCCATTTCGCCCCACCTAGGAATCTCTGAGAATTACCCTGTAAGTAGCAATCAGCAATGGTTTCCCCCATGGATTCAAAGTGGTGCGAGTATTTCGCAACTATTATTTGACCACCCAATCCTTTGACAGAAGATCTTTCAGCATGGATATGCAGCAAACCCCAAGCCACGAAGCAAGTTCTGCTTGGTCCAAATGTCTTTCTGCAACCATCACATCTCCCCTCCAAACACGGGCATTGGATACCTTGGGAGATGTTCACACCCGTTCCGCCTGAAGCTGCAGAGGTCTGATTTGACCTCGGAGGTCTGGTTTGTTCCACGGCCGAGCTTCCCTCTCAGGCTGCAGAGTTTCCAGAGCCGCGTTGGCTCAGAAGTCAAATGCCAAAGAACGGCGGACAATGGATGCGCAGTGGTCGCATAGCTGGTCGTGCGCTACGAGTGTGCTATAGATACATCCAGTTGCCATGAGCATGGCTTGAGTTCGGAGTGGCGGCCCTGTAACAGCTGCCTATGTGGATCCCGGTCACCACGCTGCTAGATATTCAGCCGTTGTTCTTTCAGCTTTTGAAGGACGGTTGCCTTGATGCCCGAATGAGCAAAACATGGAAGTCGCAAGACAGAGTGGATGCTTTCTACAAGTTGAACTCCTAAACAGCCAAGAGCCAGGTAATGCTCTCCGATGTTGATCTCCTTGTAAGCACCATCCAAAAACAGGTCCCAAAATTCTAGGACCCACGAGGCCCAGTTTGACACACTTCTTCGCTCTTTCATGGAGCGCTGCTGATGCTGGCAGGACCTGCAAAGCCCAATCTGCGCAAATTGTTACGAGCTCGGCCGGTTCACATGAGCTCACCCATAAGTTGCTTCAGATAAGGTTCTCATTCTGGCTTAGGTGTAATGGCTTGGCCAGATACTGCAGCTGGGCTCATTCTTTGAAAGTTCCTTGGAGTTCCTAGGTTGTCAAAGTCCGAAGTGTTGGTCCATGTTTAGTCAAGGTCCCAAAGGGTCCCAAACCTTTCAGTTCATACTATGATGAAATCGCTTGGTCGCAAGTTCGCGCTTGCCATCGCTGGTCTAAGAAGGATCATGCCATGGGTAAAGGGAATCCAGCTTTGAAAGGACCTGTGACACTAGATGTCTCAAAGTGATCCCTTATATAGAGCCACGCACACACAAGGGGCCCTGAAAGACAAGTTTCCTGAACCCTCCACCCAGACATTTCCCTTGTTTCCCTGGTCTAAGTTCTTTCAAAGTTCGCAAAAATGAAGGAAGCTTGCGCACTCGGGCACGCTGCTTTTACTCGGGTGCACTGGAGGAATAAGAGTGCTTTGGATAGGCTTTACCGCCCATGCTGACCCAGGCGGAGGACCCATTTGATTGCACGTGCTTGGCAACAGCAAGGCTTGATGTGATCATGGGTGCCCATTGCTTTCACAGTACACTAGAAATTGGTATGAACTTTAATTGGGGACTGCATGGTAGACTACCATTTACAGGGGATTTATGCCCGCCAACCCCATTGTTCCCATTGAAACTCATGCGCATCGCCATGCCCAAATGTGCTTTGTTGAGAGGCCGCATTTTCAGCTCCCATGTTCCACAGGACTCCTCCGATGGCGGCCGGCGGCCGTAGCTCGCACGGCGCGGGTCCAGGCGAGCATGCTACAGATATTGAATATAGTGTGTATATATACAAATGAATATTATATTTACATATACATGTATGCTATATAGGTATCTGCCAAAAGGAGGCATGATGACTTTCACTTTGCGTGTAGCAACTCCGGAAACACACCGTGAAACCTGCGAGCAAGTCAAGCGCACATCTTCTTGACCTTGAGCAAGTGAGACCCTCTCACACACGGGCTCCTCCGCCCCATCTGGGTGCACGCCTCCACGTGCCAACGTGTCCTGTTGCGCAGTCGTGAAGTATTGCAGGGGCTTACCCAGCATAAGGGGTCGAGCTTACCCACCAATCAAGCACCCTCGCACCAACAAACATTGAATTTTGAATTGGGTGTGTCTGTTTTTGAAAGGATTCCCTTTGTGGTTTCAAAGGGAAGCCAACACCCCTCAAAAAAGACAGCTTCAATTGCACCTGGACGGTTTGTGGAAACGGTCACACTCAGACTTTGAGGAAAGAAAACCGTGTCGCAGCCAGGCTCCTTGTGCCCAGCGAAGCTTCTCTGAAGCTTCAGAGACGGCAGGCGAGAGGCGGTTGTCTCAACAAAGGGAACCACAAAATGGGTACTTTCCCTGGGTTCCCGAAATCGCAATCGATATAGGATCATTGATGCGTGGGGCAGTACCAAAGTTCCCTGGATACCGTTGAAATGGACAAATTCATGCACCGCCAGTATGGATGAAACAATATCAGGACACACCGACTAACTGCCAACTCAGAAGTTTGTCCCTCAACACTACAACCTCAGAAGCCCTGGTCCAGCCACTAGGTGATCCAGGTGATGCCCTGGTTCCCGGCGTGCGCGTCTACCGGCGCCGCCGTGCGCGGCTCCGAGGGGCCTTGGGTCGGGGAGAATTGCTTAGTGATGTGGCCATGGGTCAAAATTCAAAAACCAGGATATGGACCGCGGTTTTAGTCCTTGCTTCCATTTACCAGGGTTCCATTTTCGGTCCATGTCATCATGACATTTCGAAGTTAAGAGTGAAACTTCTTGTTAGGTCCGTTGGTTGCGAGTGAGGTTCTTCAGCTTGATTGTGCTTTCTATCCATATGGCATGGCTGTCAAAGCCGACCGACCTATGGATTGGCAGCATCCATTTCGCACCAAGGAACCAAACACAGGCTAAGTCGCCACAGGGTTCAGGGGCAAATCTTCCATGTGGTGAAATGAATTGGCTTTCTTCCCCTCGTTGCTTGAAAGGGAGTCTGTCACTGCTGCATGTTTGTCCGCGCGGGACTTAAGCAAACGCAGGAAATGCAGCAGTGTGAACTTAGTTGCATTTTGCTTGGATGTTAGGACTTTAACTTTTTGCCAACTCATGGGTTTTCCACTAAACCACTAAAAGTTAAACTTTTAGCAGGGGAGCAGAAAGCAACTGAGGGAACATACAGCAGGGATAATTTTCGCTTTCAAAGGATGCGCGCGGAGCATTCCAAGCTTCCCTTGATCCATGGGTAATGCTAGCCTGCCAGACGGTCACAGTACCGACGAGACGAGTTGTTTGCCTCTGAACATTGCACGGAAAGAGTTCGGGTGGATCAATATCACACTTAAAACCTTTTGGAAGCTATGGTTCCTGTTCCTCCACAAGGTGATCGATTGTTGGACGGTTCGGAGACATGAAAGAGACCCAGTACAGCATGGCTGTCATGTGCCCCTGAGGGTTGAGGGTGTAGCCCTATTTGGCCCCAAGCCATGAGACTCATATGATATGATATGATATATATATATATGTATATACATACGTGTCATATATATATATATACGTGTCATATATATATATATATATATATGGGCTTATATAACTGCTATATTGCCAAGCAGGTACTATGGTTCCCGAGTGATTAACTTCGACTGCAAATCTTGGGCAACATTTTCAGGACTTCACGACAGCCATTGACACCCAGTACTTGGATGACCACCCCGCTTAGTAAGTGGCAAAAATCCCAGTTCAAGCCCGTAGTTGGATTGTGCCCTCCATACAACCCACTTGTGTGTATGTGTCTTTTTTAAGTAGGACCCCACTTTTCCTGTTAGTTTCCTTTAAACACCACAAAAAACATGGGTATCCTCAAATCGACAGAGGCAACTTGTTCTGGGGACTGTTGCTGGGGATGATTAATTGGGGATACTAGGCATGTTGTCCCAGGCCGAGCACTGGCGAACCTTCCGCTGGGGCATCGGAAGTCGGCCACTGGTCTGGGTTTGACGTCGACCACATGGGACCCTACCCCCCGAAACAAAAGAGCTTCGAAGAGTCACGTTTTTGGGGGCTCCAGAAGTTCTTCGAAGAATCAAGCTGTTTGGGGGTGCCATTGAAATATTTGCAGGGGAGTACACCAAGGTAGCAGTCCCTCTCACGTGTTGGAGCCAGGATTTGGCAGTTTTGACCGAAGGTCTGCAGTGGCAAAATCAGGGTTCCGTTTTTGAGGTCGGGGCAGGCCTTTTCTTGCCGCAAACCTCGAATGGATGTGTCTTAAAATACCCTGACACGCCAATTTTGAAGTTCAGCTTTCAGTGTTCCGTTAGCGCTGGGGAGCCCCTAACAAAGGAAGGTTTTTCTTTGGTCTCCCTTTGATTACCGATGGTGCTGAACGGGAAAGCAAAAGCAAAGCAGCCGATCTCCAGGGGACAAACTCTAACTAAGTTGGTTTGTTGTTTTCTTTGATCAGCGTCAAACGAAAGCAGCCGGTGTTCTGCCCAGCAAAGTTGAGACATGGAGAAGTTAGGGCAAAGATGCCAGGGACGTTTGTTTCAACCTACAAACCTTTCGGCCTTTTGGAAACCTAAAGGCCATCGGTCGCAGGATTCTAACCTAAAGGTCCTAACGCGTTACGATTTGGTTATTTTGGGGATCCCCCTTGAAAGTGTAGTTGGGGCAGGGGAGTCTCAAGCGCGAGGATTCATCATGGCTCTCCTTTCCGTCATGTTGAAGGTTCCATTTGGGCGGGTCTTTTTTTGGGGTATCCCTGTTTCTTGGCTTTGATGGAAAACCAAGCAGAAAACCACTCTTGTGGGTCCCCCAAAAACAGACACCCCCATTTAGGATACCCAGACAAAAGTTGGCTACCAGTTGCTTTTTTGTTCATCACTGGTGGCAACTGGGCATGTGTTGGTCTGCGTCAAAATCGGGAGGACGTTAAAAGTTGTGGTTGTCCTTGTGGTTTCCCTACCCCACTCTCAAAAAGGGGTTTTCTCGAAAACACGTCCCCGTTTGGGGACCAGCGAACCCGAGGTTTCGCACGGACAGCAAGAATCGCTTCACCCCAGTGCACAAGCCGCACCCCATGAACTCGGTGGTGCGGGATGACTACTACGACAGCGACCACCCCGACATTGCGGCTCGGATTTGTATTTTTGTGTGCCTTCTGAGGGAACCTTTTTGATGAGTTTAAAGGGAAACCAGCAGGAAACCAACCATTTTTGGGGCCCCTATTTTAAGGCACACCCGCATGGAGGGTTGCGTGGCCTCCGGTAGGTGATTTGTGGGTGCGGCTGGACCGAGTCTGATTTTGTTCAACTGCACGCTGCGTAATGACACAAATGACAGACACATTTGCAGTCATTTCGTGAAAATGAAGTAGGTCCCTCACAGTCCTCGCATTTGAGGGCTTCTCAGGGTTGCTGTTGCAGCATGCTTTCCTGTCGAATGTCTTTTGGTCACCTCAATCCGCAGAGCTAGTTGCACAGTTGAGTACTCCAGGTGAACCGCATGGTACGCCCAGTTGCCGAGGAGTTTTGGTTAGTTCCTTCTGGGCGGAGAACCACCCAATAGAGTGGCAAATCCATACGTCAGTGTCCAAATGTTTGAAGGCATTGTATTCTCTGCATTAGAATTGGCATTCTTGTTTGGAGGCTGGGGAGGCATCGGCGTATTTCCCCCCACCTCCCAACGTGCCGCCAGACTTCTCAGTTGCCTTTGTGTTTGGTGACCGTTTTGAGTGGCAACCCAAAAGGCTCGCTTGGGTGTGTCTGGAGAAAAGGCACTCGACAATGATGAGTCTCCTTTTGGTTTCCTGAAATCCAAAAGGGGTACCCTCGAAAAAGATGGGCTTCTTTGGGCAGACAGACCTGCATAGGTCAATTCTCATCGATACCCGCCGGGAATCGAGGGGCTAAATAATTAGCACACCTGTTTCTCTTATGATCATGTCTCACTTTGTGTATAAAGTAGCCCTTGCAAAGTATTTTGGGGACCACACACCACGCCAAACGCACCTTTCTTGAGGAAGATTGAACTTGAACCAAACTTGGGATGGCTGTGTTTGGTTGGGGGGGTGGGAGTATTTGCAGGTTTCACCGATGGCCCTGAGCCAGCCTTTCGGGGACAGGTCTGGAATGAGCTGCGGGAGGGCTGGGAGGTGTTCTGGTACGAGCCTCGGCAACGAAATGATGTGCTCCATGGCTTGCCCAAAAAGGGGCTCCATTTTAAGGCGGTGGAAGGAATGAACTGCATTGCTGCTTAAGTTCCATGTTAAGTTTGGAGGGGAGCATTTGCTTGCTAGCCTGACTTGAATCAGGGACAAAGCAACCCCCATCCACCACAAAGACGACTCTGAATCGATTCTGTCTTGTTGCGGGCGGGAACATTCCGGGCCAGCTCGCCGACCAGCCAGACAGCTGGTCAGCCAGACATGCTCCGTTCGTGTTGGCCCCACGAGTGACCGCCGTTTCCAAGGTGATTTTGTCCCAAGAGGTTGGAGATGCCGGGAGAATCCAACAGGAAACAAGTGAGACATGCCGGGCTGAAGGGTACTTCGACGGAGATGTCTAAACCACGATGCGCTTGATTGGCCCTTTCAGGGAGCTTGCCTTTCTAGCGGCATAGGGTCTTGTTTGAGTTCAAACGTTTTCACGAAAACAAACTGTAGTTTCGAAGGACATGGTTGGACCGGTGCTGCTGTGCTTTGGAAGTAAACAAACGTTAAATGTCAAAAACGAGCAACACAACAGTGTGATTTGACAGAGACGCGCCAAAGTCTCATCCCAAAAAAGATGCTAATCCATCACTGTGCTGTTGTTGTTTCAAGGGTTTCACAGCAAAAAACCTTGTTGAAAACATTTCGTAGCGAAACAAGAGCACTCGCTCAGAGCGTCCGCACAACTCTTGAAAGTCTCATCTCCAAGCGTGTAAGCCCTCCTGTTTTTGGATTTGTTTTTGTGGGAAAAAATGGCACCCCGGCTGCAACCTCCAACTCCCACGCCTGGCTGATGATGAGAATATATGCCATGGTGTTTGACTTGCATGTTCCGCAGAAGCCTTTGATTTTTGCGCCCAAGCGCAAGGGGCTGCCTGCCATATGTGAATTTAAAGCACATGCTTTGGTGCCAGAGTGATCGCCTGCGACGCCATGATTGAAGCTGTGGTTTGTTCGGCCGCTTTGATCCGTAGCACGTAGGGCCCCAAAAGGTGATCAATTTCTGGGTCCCTTGCACAAGTGAGTCTACCTTCCACTTGCGCCCGCCCGATGCCCGCAGCCCAGGAAAACTCGAAGCGCACCGCCCGACCCTTCCCAGTGAAGAAGTTCGGACTGGAGCGCGCCAAGCGAGAAGCCGCCCGCCTGAAAGCTCCTCTCAGGATTGTTTGGTGTTGGGATCCCGCCACTTCCAAAAAGTGAAGGAGACTTTGGACTTTCCCAAGTCCAACACCTTCCATGTTTCCAGTTCCGCTCCTGAAGGTAGGGAGGATTTGGGGGACCCGTTCTTGGCAAAACTCAGGCTTTCGACTTCTACCGCGAGATGGAAGCGGCTGGAAAGCTGGGCCCGACACCTGAGAAGCGTGTCAAACAAGTAATTACCCAAAATGGCACCTTGGTTTATGGGAACAAAGACGAAAACCTGTGTTTCCCCACCTGTTTAATTTGCAGCCAGGTGCGACGGGTAATCAGACGATTTGATTAAGGGAAAATGCCAGCAGGGAAGGCATATGTGGCCTCCTGGAAAGTGTTCAACAATGCTTGAGGCTTTTGAGACACTCGAAAAAGGGAACAACCACAGAGGTGTTTATTACTTTAGGCAACGCTCGCTTCAGCAGCGGTGACAGAACCCCCCACGCAGCGTGCAGGTGTTGCGCGTTTTCGTGCGGCTGTCCCCAAAAGATGCCAAACACGGGCAACCTAAGTACATCTATTACGTGTACAGCTGGGCAAAGCGTCCTGGGCGAATTCTAAGGCCAGCGTCCCCGGGTGGAGTCGCCGCAGACTGGCGCCCCTCGGATCCAATGGCATGGGCCGGTTTCTCAATTCATGTGTCCCCCCATTTTTTGGTTGGAGGGGGACCGCAAGTGTTCGTGGATGGAAATGCAAAAGAAACTTGATTGAAGGGAAAACAATTGCGGTGGGTTCTACTATTTTCAGACACATCTCAATGGCAAAATGGGAACGCTTGTTGAGACATGCCCCCATCATTTAGAGCAACAAGGGAAGGTTATGGCCCTTAAGGCTCCTGAATAGCCGACTGAGAAAGTTCTTCAAATACCCTGAACAACGGGTTTAGGCTGAAGTCCCCTTTGGGAGGGTTCCTCTGGTTAAACATCACGTTTTGGGCCAAAGGTCAGGCTGGGGCGATGTCTTAAGGGGAAACAAAGTTCTGACAAGCGTGCGACAGCGTGCAAAAAAAAAAAAGAGAAGAAAAAAAACTTGCCTAGGAATCTGGAGGCTGGCACTGGGGATGGGAATAAACTGCAAGGCTCCCCCACAAACTCCGCGAGGGTCCCTTCATACCTAAGAATGAGCAAGACTGGGTCATTTTAATCCTGGGTCAGACCCTCAGGGCTGAATTTCTTGCTCGGCCGAAAGATGCTTAGATTGCCCCGAAAGCGCCGCGTCGAGATCGGCTCAGAGTTGCCGAGGTTTTCTTCGACCAGCGATTGCAAGCCTGGGCCGGGTAGCTCAAACTATATTTGCATTCGTGCATGAAACTGTCTCAAAATTGACTGGAATACGGTGGAATGTTGGATTTCCATCAAACAAACCAAAGCGGGGCACCCTCCGACCCACTTCTTCGGTACGGCCTCAATTTTGCTTGTTCGGACCTCCGAAAGTGGCAGTAAACGTTGGAACCCGCCAGGAAATGGTAAACGCTGCAAGAAAATCAATTGTCATAGTTGCTTATAGGGTTGCCTTTATGCTTGCTCACTTCCTCTCTTCCTCCCTTGCGTGATCGTTTTTGTTCTTTCACGTGATTTTCCTCCTTTATCACATGATTCGTGATTCCAGCGATCCATCCATCTGTTCGTCTGTTCATCTATCCACCCACTCACCCATCCATCCATCCATCTGAACCTGCGGAGATATCCTTTCGTTTCTTTGTGTTGGTAATTATTTGAGGATAGGGTTGAAAGACAAGTTTCGAGAACACCAGCTATTGAGACACCCACCCACTACGCACTGAGCCAAACAGTGCTTTTGGCACGGTTGCTTCATCGAGGGCAGCCTCAACATGACCGAAGCAACAACTCTTGCTGTGTGACACAAACCTAACCAGTTCCATCATCATCGTCATTGTCATCGTCATCATCATGCTTGGTGGCCGCTGCCGTGGCCTCGCACTCAAGCCTTTTCACGCTGCTGAAGTAGCACCCGCCCTGGCGTTTGCCACCCGTGCTAGAACATGTTCCTCATACATCACGATTGCTTGGCTCGCCAAAACAAGCATCAAACGTGTATGCGTATACGTGTATGTATTATGCATATGTATATGTACATGCCGCATATTTATATGTGCATCGGTATATTCATGTGCATGTCACTCCTAGTCCGGGTGTTTTTTCTACACTTTTGCAACGAGCCGAAGCAACACGACGCACTTCAAGCAGACTGGCCCAACTTGGCGCTTCCCAGCCATACACTGAGTAATGGGCGGCTTGGATTGGTGGTTTGGGGGTTCAAACCTCCAATTCTTGAGGGTAATATGAGAGCCCCGTCGAGGGCAGATGAGTTTAGAGGGATTTGCGACATATCCCACACAAGTTGTCCAAAGCCAACCTTTCAACCTTTTGCGTGGGAATCATCTGGCTTGCTTGTTTTTGTTTCGTCATCTGCTTTGCTTTGCCAGGGGATCAACGGGATCGCCGAGGTGAGCCTCTTTTGGCGTGACCAGCGGCCCCAGTCCCGGTGCTTCTCCGCGGCGAAGTACGGATTTGAGGGCTCGAAGATGCTGGCCATGGCCAAACAGATGCTCGGTTTGTGGGATTCGGATCTCCAAAAACTGGTGGTTGTCCTTTGGTTTCCCGCCCGGTCTCACTTCTGAGTTGATGGACTTCAGTCACTTTTTGGGTTTGGACCATGTTAGTGGTTTAAAAAAGGGTTGGGTGTGTTTTGGCTAACACCCTCAGCAAGTGAGCACTGTTAAGCTGCACAACCTTTGTGCTTGGCCGGGTGTCTCGCAGAAGAACGTGTCGCTTGATTGTGCTGGCTGTGTCTGTGTGCGTTTGTGACATGGCAACAAAGAAGCTTCAGGGACCTGCTGTTTGAAAGGGCCTTGAGACGAGAACGCTTGTCAAGGGCTTTCTGAGGGTTTGGTACGTACCGTACACACTGAACGCTAAAAGCGATAGCGGGTCGTTTGGTGATGAAGGTCCTGAACAAAATAGTATTGAATTGCAAGTTACACAGTTGATTAAGAGGGGTCTACGCTGGTTGGCTCGGGGGTGGTGAAGGGAGAGCAAGAATGAAGTGGTTGAGGCTGGATGTTAGGTTGGCGTGGGGTTGCTTTGGGGGTGGGTTGGGGTTCAAGGCGGTGTTGGCGAAGGTCACAGAAAGGCGAAAGGCCCAAAAGCTACAAAAGGCGCGAAAACCACCCACCAACAAACCCGAAGCCCATTTGAAGATTCCAGGACAGCCTCTACAAGGCTCTTGTCATGTCTTATGTTTGTTGTGTTTCGTGGGGAAAACATATTGGGCATACAATGTGTTTCAAGCCAATGTACCGGAGCCATATTTTTCCCTTCAAAGGGGCGCCTCTCAGGACTGATCCTGTGAACGGCGTGCTGGCGGTCCAGGGCGGAGGTGGCACCCCAATCATCCTGAAGGAGCAGAGGGGCGGAGACACTGAACGATGATCAAACCACAAGTGTAGAGCAAATTGGCTTTGATCTAGCAACCCCACCCCCCTTCCTCCGTGGCTGGCAACAGAGCCATTGGGGGGCCCGGATTGGCTTGGGTTTCCTTGAGTGTTTGCTGGTGTAACAATAACCTTCCGCGATGAAAGAAAGCTTCTTGAACCCCGTGCCCTGCTCCTGACCGGTTCAGGAGAAGGGGCTGACGGCGCATGAGATGAGGTGGGGCGCATGCAAGAGAGAGAGAGAGAGATTCACAATATTGGCGATTCCACTGTTGGTTCGGGGAGGACAAGGTGGTAGAACCTGCAGAAAAAGCGGCCAGACATTTGGTGCACATCCTTTGAAGAGAGGGAAGACAGGGAAGAGAGGGAAGAAAAGAAAGAGAGGGAAGAGAGAGAAAGAAAAACAGGTGAGTGTGTGAAGGAGTGTGTGAGCTATTACGTGTGCAGGCGTGTGGCTTTGGCATCCACTTCTTCATTTGGGAAAGTACCCTTTTGCGAATCAATTTGGAGGGCTGTATTTGCAGCCCCAAGAACGTGTGTTGCCTGGATATGTTGCCCCAGCCTTTGGGGTTGGACGTCTTCTGAGAGGTTGGGTGATTGAGTGCCAGAAACAAAGATTTGCCTATTTAAAAGCCAAGTTGGGTGTTGTACAGCTGATCTGGTGGACTGTGCATAAAATCCGTTCAAAGCTATGTTTGAAGAATTAGCCAAGTGGTCAGTCGGCCTCTCCATTTGAAGCTCCAGGTCAGCCAGTAAACCATCTCTAAATACCCAATCCCTGACCCGCCTGCGTGAAGATCGGTGGTTTTGCTGCTTTGTTGGGTCGTTTGGTGAAGAGGAAGGGAATGGGTTTTTGCAGATGGACTGATGTTGCACGTTGGCAGGAAGAAGGGCGGCCCAACAGGGATGAGATACAAGTAAGTATGTTGCTGAAAAAAATATTAAATAGATATTTGAACACTCAGAAAGAAAGATTGTCTAGTGTTTCAATGATGTTTTGTTTATTGTGATGTCTATTTAAATATTGAGTTTTTTGTTTCTTATGTTTGAAATTGAGATCTGGTAATGAAAAATGGTAAAATATAGATATAAAGATATTAATAATTATAATAATTATATGATTGTTATTTTATGAATTGGTTTGGGATTGTATTGTTTGTGCATTGTAGCGTTGAGTTATTGTAGTGGTATTTTGGACGAATTGTTGTGTTTGAGGCGAGTGGTTTTATGTTGTTGTTTTTTTTGGCGTGGTTTGGAAATAGTTGATAGGCTTTGATTTGTTTGATTGAAAGCAAAATAAATATAGATATATAGGGGAAAAAAAAATGGTTTAATATTTATTATAAATATAAATAGATTATATATATATATATATATTATTTTGAGTAATGTTATTTATTGTGTTGGTTTATAGGTTGGTGTATAATTTACATTATAAATGATGTTGTTTTTTATATATAAAGATTATAGATGTTTAGGTGAATTTTATATATTTATTTAATGATTATATTATATATAATAATTACATTATTCTTTATATAATTTTATTGTGATTGATTCGGTTTTGATAAATTGCACGATTTATAATTGAAAATGATTTATTTTTTGTATATAAAAAATATAGATATATAATATAATATAATATATTTATGGTTATAAAAATTATTTGTTTTTGGCACACTTATGAGTTCGGTTTACGTGATGTTTTGGGAACAATATATGAAGTTTTATTAGATTGTGTTTTTGTGGACGTTTTGGTCTCGGTTTGTGGGTTGTTTTTGATGTGTTGAAATATGATTAGCCGGCCCTTAATGTATTTTGCGATTTGTGTTTGGTACGAACAATATGCATTTTTTGATATATATCGCTAGAGTCGGCGAAATCGGTGGGCGGAAGTTTAAAAAATATACAAATTATAAATCTATTTCATTTTTTTTGTAGATTATTTTTCTTTTCTTCTTCCCTTTTCATTGTTTCTTTCTCTCCATCATTCTTCTTTTCTTCCTTTCTTTCCTTCCTTCCTCCTTTCTTTCCTTCTTTTTAGTTGTTTTTTGTTTTTTCTTTCTTTCGATTGTTTGTTTTTGTGATATTCTTTCCTTACCTATCTATCCACCTAACTATTTATCTATCTATCTTTCGTGATAATTATGTATCTGTTTATCTATCTATCTTTCTATATATTTTCTCTCTATCTCTCTATCTACATATCTATTTATCTCTCTATCTCTTTCTTTCTATCTATTTATCTCTCTATCCCTCTATCTCTCCCTCTCTCTGTCTGTCTATCTAGCTATCTACCTCTCTATATATGTATCTATCTGTCCATCGTTCCATCTATTTATCTATTTACCTCTCTATTTGTCTAGTTATGCTATTTGCTTTTTCCTATCTATCTATATAGCTAGATGGATAGAGAAATAAATAAAAATATTATATATATATATATAAACCAATAAATTTAATGAAAGAGAAACATATACCAAAAAAAAAAAAAAAAAAAAACATGGATAGGTAGATAGATAGAGAAATACATAGATCAATACAAAAATAATAGATAAAGAGATAAAGAGATAGATAAATAAAGAGATATAGAAAGGTAGAAAGATAGACAGAGGATATATAGGTAAATGCAAGGGAAATACATGGAATGGAGAAATGATAGGTAATTTTTGCAAGTGAACTTTGATGTACTACTCTCATTCTTTAAAATTACGATTTTCAAAAGACAAATAAAGAGATAAAGAAATGAAACAGATGGACAGATAGAGAAAAAGAAATAAATTGATAAATAGATATATATGGAGAGAGAAATAAAGAAATACAAAACCGAAAAATTTCATATCTAGATAAATAGAGAGAGAAAGAGAGACATAGAGATACATAGAGATAGATACATAGAGAGATAGACAGATAGACAAATAGAGAAACACATTAAAAAAAATAGATAGACAAATAAAGGAATAAGTAAATAGAGCAAGACACCTTAGTTAAATGTATAGAACAAGAAATCGAAAGATACATCGATTAACAGAGAGACATAAATATTTGTCTGCTTCTATTTTTGTAAGGGAAAAGAGCGCATCCTTTTGCAGAGCTTGAAATACGAGGAGTTTGAATGTTTTGGATCAAGATTCTTGATCATCTCGTTTTTTGTCGGCCTTGTTTTTGCAAGCTGCTTTGTGTGCTCTGTTCAAGGCGCTTGGTTCAAAAAAAAAACGGGAGTTTTTGCACCCTGGCACGCCCATAGGCGCGATTTTGCTGCGTTGACCGGCAGGCTTGCTGTAGCTGATGCCCGGTGTCCGGCCTTGATAAAACAGGATTAAAATAATATGCTTGTCCGACCGTCAAAAAGGTGCAATTGCTCTTCGCAACTATGTATTCCAGTTTTCGATTGAATTGCCGATTGTATTCATTATGCCGGACTGGATTTCTTTGTTTTAGGTTTATTTTTTGTTTGTCCATTTTTTTTTGCTGAAAGATCGCGCGTCAAATGCATGATGGTTGATCGCCACATGTTTGCATATATTTTGTCTTGTGTAATATTTGGATTAGATACAGGAAGCATTTGTGTAGCATGGGCAACCATGTTCTGTGTTCCGACTAGACGCATGGCAACCGGATTGCGTCTGTGTACGCCTTGGTGTATGGTGCACAAGACAACGCCTCTATGTTGTGATTTGCAAGCAGCGCGCTGGTTGTTGCAAGTTGATCGTTGGCCCGTTGAGCCCAAAGCTGGTCCTTGCTGAACTAACTTGCTTAAAACAGCTCTGCTTCGCCTTTGTTGCTTTTGTGACTCCCTCATGGGATGGCCGCAATTGTGCCCGACAGGCCTGTTGGCGTTTAAAGCGGGCACGCACAGCACTTTTGCAAGGTCAGATACAATGCTGGCAAAACTGGAGCCACAACCTACTAGGCTGCAGTGGAACATATCCGTTCTATTTTGTGAAAGTAAGTAAATTTTATCAGCTATTCAAATAAAATGATAAATAATGTACAAGAAGTTTTGGATATTACTACTCAAGATTTTAGCCTATCAACTGCAAACAATTCATGGACGTGAGGAACGAGCATGTCTTGCAGTGCCTGCGCGCAAACATGCATTGAAGGAATGCAATTGAAAACCGCGCTGCCGGACAAACCGGAGCGGCGAAGCCGCTGGATCGGAGCAGCCGCTAAATATATATTAAGCGGCTTTTTCATCCAATTCCATTTTGCGCACGTGCAGAATCGAGCGGATTGCCTTGGTTGCGTCCTCCAAGTTGACAGCGATCTAGTGGGCTGTGGCATGTACCAAGCATTTTGAAAGCGATCAGAAACATTTTTATAACCTACTTGACTATAAGCAACTTGCAATAACATCCCTTAAAAGTACAAATTAAACAAGAAAAGGTGGCCACCTTTAAGGGCCACTTAAAAGTAGTCACTCAAGCTCATAGGAATGATTTCTGTGGACATACTGGTCCAGAACAACGTTCTTGTTTCACATATTTTCCTATATTTTTCAATACACCACGGCATTTAGAGAATCCTGTCCTTTTGGCTTGCATGGAGAGAAGCCTTTGGGTTTTGTCGTCAAAATCTATGGACCTGCTGATTGGTAGACAGATATCTTGCATGCACCAACAGAGAAGAATGGATTTTGTTGAATCATCATCTCTTTGCTCATGTTCTATGTGGACATTTGCACGGACGATGTGGCCATTTCGTCTGCCAAGGTCTTCGTAGCATTTGATGACGGACGGCGAACGCTTTTGACGGCTCAATTGGCTGGAGGCTGGGGATCCTGTCGCTATATCTTCTTGATATATTGCCATGCCAAAAAGCATCCCCTCAGCCACTGCACTGCCTGCTGGCAATTTTTGCAGCGCTGGTGGACTCCATGGCTGCTCTTGATTGCGTTGTGCAGGAACACCTGCAACCCTGTGCGCTGGGCAGAAGCATAATATGCCCAGGAATTTTTTGGTCAGGAGATGTGGGGCCTTGCAAAAATGCTGCTATGCGGTGCGATGGTCCTCGTGCGAACGCAACCATTATTGTCCGGAAACCCCAAGTTCCCCCCCCCAATATATTCTTTTATATCATTTACTTTTATTATACCAGAAGGTTACGATGCATTTTTATGTTGATTTGCTATGAAAGACCGACCAAGGCGGACTCCCAAAACTACTTGAGGGTTGTGCGGACACCGCAAATGGTTTTGCACCTTGACCACAACGATCAGACTCTCCCGCCGCCCTTGCACTTGCAACTTGCACCTGGCTCCTTCCCTCCGTGCACTTGCACTTGCACTTGCAGCCTAAAACTTCATCCTTTTGTAATTGCTCAATTCAATTCCTGTTGTCAATCCTTGCAACAACCACTTCTTTCCATATATATTTCAATAACTCTGTGCAATTGCTTTTTTAAAGACCTTGGATGCGTCTCGGATATCTCCTATGTCCGCCTTGGGTTGAAAGCAAAGGGATGTTTGAAATGGGAGCCCTACCGGGGTAAAACCTGACTTAAGGGTTGAAAATAAAGAAACCCACTCCTAAAGGGTCCTTGATCACCAAACAAGGTGAGCCAGTAATTCTGTGGTCTTTGCTGGGGCGACGGAACAATAGTGAGGCGCCTGAACTAAATCAGAAAAAACTTCAAGCAACTGGCTGGGCCACCATGAGATCCGTGCTTTGTAGCACTCATGCTTTGTCTCCGGTGGGCAAAGCTTGGAATTCACGATGGAAGCCCACCGCTTCAATGCGCCCAAGGAGGCAAGCCTTCAATGAATGCCAGCACCGGCCAAATTAGGCACAAGGCCACAAGCTGAAAACCAGCAACACCAACTACGTAACCGCACGGCATGACGTGCAGTATTTTCCAAGCTTGCTGAGCTTCTTCTTTCCCGCCACTTCAAGGGTGTCCCCAATTATGGCAGACAACCTTGTAGTCCACGTGTTTACTTGTCCTGTGACATCATGCCAAACTGAAAGAGGTCTACACCTCCAGCATCTCAGCAGCCACTTTTGAGCCAAGTCACGGGGATTGGATCATGCGCTTCAGCTTGTGCTTGGAGCGCTCCTGACGACCGCACGCCCTCAGGGAATCCGACAAATTTGAATTGACATTCAGCAATAAGTTGGTGGAGGCTGTTGCACGAACTAAGCGAACTATTTAATTAGACATTTAATGAAATTATATTATTTTTTTCTATTTAAATATATTTTATATTTGTCTATGTTTAAATATATTTCTAAATTTTATTATATCTATATTATGTTTTTGTTTGTATATTCCTATATTTTAATTCATTGTATTTTTGAAAAATATTTTGTATATTTTCTTTATACTAGACAACGATTGGCCCGGAAGCATAGAGGCAAGTTGGTGCAGCTGAGGTAACGCTCGCAAAGTTAGCATGAGGAGTTGGCAGGCGAAGCAAATCTCAAAAAGTTGGCATGAGAAGATGGCGGGTGAAGTATTTCTGAAAAAGTTGAGATGAGAAGTTGGTAGGCGAAGTAGCTCAAGAGAAAAGGGAAGTTGCCAGGTGAAATAACTCTCAAAGAGTTGGCATGAGAAGTTGGCAACTGAAGTAACTCTTGAAAAGTTGGCGTGAGAAGCTGGCAGGTGAAGTAATTCTCGAAAAGTTGGCACGAGAAGATGGCGCGTGAAGTAACTCTCGAAAAGTTGGCGTGACAAGCCGGCCGGGTTAGCATGAGAAGTTGAAAGGCGAAGTAATTCTTGAAAAGTTGACGCGAGAAGTTGGCAGGCGACTCTCGAAAAGTTGGCAGGCGATGTTGGCAGGTGAAGTACCTCTCTCGAAAAGTTGGCATGAGAAGCTGGCAGGTGAAGTAATTTGCGAAAAGTTGCCACGAGAGGTTGGCAGATAAAGTATTTCTCGAAAAGTTGCCATGAGAAGTTGGCAAGAGGTTGGCAGGTAAAGTATTTTTCGAAAAGTTGGCATGAGAAGTTGGCAGGTAAAGTAATTCTCGAAAAGTTGGCACGAGAAGATGAACCCTCTGCGGGGATCGTGCGTGTCGAAGTGCTCTCGCTGTGGCGCTGTGCGAATTTGTCTTGAGCGCGGCGAACCCTCTGCGGAGATCGTGCGTGTCGAAGCGCTCTCGCTGTGGCGCCGTCTTCACCTTGGCGAACCCTCTGCGGAAGCGCTCTCGCTGTGGCGCCCGAATTTGTCTTGACCTTGGCGAACCCTCTGCGGAGATCCTGCGTGTTGATCTCGCTATGGCGCCGTGCGAATTTGTCTTGACCTTGGCGAACCCTCTGCGGAGATCCTGCGTGTCGAAGCGCTCTCGCTGTGGCGCCGTGCGAATTTGTCTTGAGCCCGATGAACCCTCTGCGGGGATCGTTCGTGTCGGATCGCTCTCGCTGTGGCGCCGTGCGATTTTCTTGCTCGCGAAACGGCTTTTGGAAGTTGTCTCGAGGTGTGCGCGCCTTTCGCAATCCCGCGGTCCCCGTTCGATTCCCCCTGGTCCGCGGCAGCTCCGGCTTGAAAATCGCAGCTTTTAAGTACAAACGTAGTACGCGGAGGCTGCTGCAGCTCCGGCTGGAAAATCGCACTTTTTAAGTACAGACAATTGCAAATGTAGCACGCGGAGCGCCTCCGCCGCTCCAGCTTTTTGAGGGTTAATTACTCACCTGCCAGTTTCTCATGCCGAAACTTCGTCACCTGCCAGCTTCTCATGCCACCTTTTCGAGCCAAGCTCAAGACAAATTCGCACGGCGCCACAACGAGAGCGCTTCGACACGCACGATCTCCGCAGAGGGATGCGTTTCGCAAGCTCCCGTCGGGCCTACCCCCGCCATAAAAAGAGGAAGGGAAGAATTAAGAGTCGAGATGTGAAGATAGAACAGAAAAGTTAGTTAGCTTGTGTTTTTAGGATAGTGAAGTAACACCCGACAAATTAGCTTGTGCTTTTAATAGAATGAGATAACAGCCGAAAAGTTAACATGAGAAGTTGGCAGGTGAAGTAACTCTCAAAAAGTTGACATGAGAAGTAGGCAGGTGAAGTAACTCTCGACAAGTTGGCATGAGAAGTTGGCAGGTGAAGTAACTCTCGACAAGTTGGCATAAGAAGTTGGCAGGTGAAGTAACTCTCGACAAGTTGGCATGAGAAGTTGGCAGGTGAAGTTGGCAGCCGCTTTTAGAAGAAGAACCCTTCGCAATGCTTCCGGGAATTATATATCCTAATTTAAAAAAATATTTATTTAATTCAATTTATGAAATTAATATATTCGAACATTATTAACCGATAACAAAATACATTAGAAAAATCTAATTTCATACTCACATAACCCAACACCACCTTAAATACAAATAATTATACTATCCCATCCCAAAAATAAAATCCAATTTAAATATAACACAAATTCCTTATAACTCAAAGAATAATAACTCTACCAAAATCAAATTAAATGCAATACCTCACTCCCCATCAAAATTTCCATAATTCCCAATTTCTCGATTCACATATTTCATGAAACAAAATGGTGATATCGATTTAAGATATGGAAATAAATGCCGTCGTCCCGCGCAATGGAAAGCCCATTGCCCCAGAAACCAAACGCAAATAGATATAAAAAACTGGTTGGAGGTTAGAAATTGTTATCTTAATACTCAGAAAAGAAAAGAAATCTAAAAAAACCATCTATCTCATTAAAATAGGATTAATTCAACCTGCTCCACAAGCAAGACATACGTCCACCACCGACGACCGGACGGAAGCGGAGCAACGTAGCGAAACCTTTGTAGATTACAACATGTTATACTAGTATTCTCTATAATCTTTTTATATTTTCTTTCGTTGAACAAATCATATATTATAATCCACACGAAGGGTAAGGATCTACTCCTGCAAGCAAATTTCTATCGCTATAGGAGCTAATGAAAATAAAACAAAATTGTTACCTAATATACGAAACAAACACCATATTATCAAGAAATTTATTCATTTCCTATTTAATTAATAAAAAACGGAATTTATATCATAAATATATTTTATTACAATCGATTTATATTAAATATAAAAAAAATAAAATATATATTACTCAATATATATTACGACCCCCATGATGCGGCGGCGCGGCTTTTGGCGGTGTTGCTGCGGCTGGGCCGGCGAATCGTTTTGGAGGGTACGTGTTTTTTCTTTTTGGGGAGGGGGGGAGGGGGGGAATTGATTGGAATCTCAGGGAAAAAACATCCAAGAGAATCTGTTTTGTTTTAGGGGGGGAGGGAATTGATTGGAATCCCAGGTAAAAACATCCAAGAGAATCTGTTTAGGGGATTCAATCGACAGTTTGATACATGGGCTGAGTCCGTTTCGATGCTCTCAAACATCCTGTTCGAAAACCAATAGTATCCCTCCAAAACGGGTGCGCCATTTCTGGAGTTGGTGGGTTCTAGAAGGACTCGAAAAAAGAAACCCCATTTTAACCATAGAACATGTAAAATGCTAAAAATCAAATTTCAAAACCTCCAATAATTATTTCAATTAATTAAATATATTAAAAAAACAACAATATAAAATCATATATCCCTATTTTTGCGAAATATAACATTCTTTAATATATAATTAATTTTTAATAAGCAAATAAATTAATCAAACTTAATTTTTATCCAACTATTATAATATAATAAATTTATTCTTGCCCAAAATGTTTATATCCACCATATAATAATTCAAATCGTGTCTTCGATCAACTCTTAACATAATTCATTTTATAAAAATATATCTATTTTTTAAAAAATTATATTCATTAAAATCTTCCAATATTTACTATTGTTATTTCGAATTAATTATCAATTATTTTTTTATAAAATTAAACATATATAACCAATAAATTATTATAATATCATATTATATATTTTCAATCACCAAATCATTAATTCGAAATAATATCATTAAAACCATTTTAAATCACCTAAATTTCTATGTTTAATATCCCTTCTTCGATTTCTATAATTCTCAATTTCTACAATTTATTATACTTCTATATTTCTATACTTCCTATTTTCCATAATTTATTATGTTTCTATATTTCGCGATTTCGCCATTTAACATACCCAAACTACAACCCAACCCCTTACAATAAAAAAACATATTCCACAAAAAACAATTCATTTCCTATAAGCACTTATTCTTTCTGCAAATTTCCGCCCTCCAATTCTACTAAAACATACCTACTAGAAACAAAAATACAAGACAAAAATAAATAAACAACAAAAACAAAAACAAAGCACGAAAAGAGAAATACAACAAACACAACTATAATTTGTATATCTATGAAATTTCTGCCCATCATATATATTGTTCCTATTCATTATTATTTGACACTCATTATTATATTTTCCAGTTGAGGAAAGTCAATCCGTTGAACCTGCGCACGCCAGCCATGCACGTGTGGGCCTGCGCACACCTATCCCGCCTGATTTTCAGTGTCCACAGCGGCCTCAACAAAAGCCACAGTGTCCCAAACAAATGTTTTCCGCTTGCGTAAGCGCAGCGCGAAGGAATAACAGGCCTGAGCAAGCCGCGCACTTGCAGATGCAAAGCGGCACAGCTGCATTTTCGAGTACATGGCGCCGCTTGTTTGGATTTGATTCCATTCTGTCCAGTGCAAAAAAAACATGAAGGTGAAATCCACTGAGCAACTGAAACCAGCTCTGTGGATCATGGTTGCCACAGCTCCCGGCAGTCGAAGATGCGCAAAGACTCTGACCCCCAGCACTGATCTCTGAGATGCGCGACCTGAAACGCGTGGCAAAGCACATGGGCGAAGCAAACCAGGTCATCAACACTTTCTGATCCCTAAACCAAGTCCAAGTTCTTTGTTCAAAGGCAGTCACTGAGAACAAGCAACACGTGGGCAATGTGGCAAACACGCTTTCCGCAGCAACCCCTTACCACAAAGCATGGTCCCGAACACTTCAATTTGCATGAAGTCCTGTGAACAAAATATGACGCATAAGCAGTAGTGATACAGGTTAACATATTCTTTAGCAAATGAAAGAGTAGAAAGCCCACCAACCTGGGAAGTGGCTTCTCGGAAAAAGCCAAGTTGCTTCAGCCCCAAAGGCCGCGGAAGAGAATTTCCGCCCAGCACCTCGGATTCGAACGAAGCTGCCTTTCAGCACAAGGCAGCATGATTGATTTGCAAAGGTTGTCTACCGACGCCCCCCCCAAAATTGCCAACAAGTTTGGGTGCTATGGCGGGTTCGCCCACGTCAACAGAGTCCTGCGCCCGCACGCTTCCAGCCGAGAGGACTAAGGAGTGGCTGAAGCCACAGCTGATTCCTCGGGGAGGTTCGCGGGCGGGTGGGTGTGTAGCAAATCCAGATGGTCACAGTGTGTGTCTCCTTGCGCCCCGTGAAAATGATAAGGCCAAATAAGCCGGAAAAAGGGTGGGGGAGGGGATATTATCCCTTAAGAAGCCGATTCAAGTACAATAATTACTCTCCAAGCACAAACATTCTGTGCTTGTAAGAACTTTGTCTTCCAAATGAATCGAACACGTTTAAGGGAGCCTTCGGCTTTCCAACAATGGGAGTGAACACAGGTCGTAAATCCCAGCCCAGCCTTGTCCCCTCCTGACTGGGGCAGGATTTGCCCCTTGACAACTTCCTTTCCTTGAAAGTCATGTTGTCAATACATGTCTAGCTGAGAAGCCATCAATGAGAAGGAACCCAGCAAACAATTCAATCACCCTCACCTCCAATGCCCATTGCACAACATGTCGCTCTTGTCTTGGCAGTCAATCTAGAAAGGAAAGTCACTACATTCTTTACTGCAAATGATGGTTTCCCAACGCATTTCCTATGAAGAGACCTTGCTGGAACATGGCTTTGTTTCAAAGTAATCGGAACCCTACTGGTGGCTTCCTTTTGGTTTTTTCTGTACGCTAAGGGCCCCTTCAAAAAAGACATGCTTGTGCCTCCGATCGGCTTGGTTGGAGGGCAATCTGGCCACTTCAGCTTCACCATTTAGGATTCTATCATGACCATTTTGGACTCCTAACCATTTCCGGTATGCGGATATGGTGGCTAGACCGAAAGAGCTCCCAGGTGCCGTGTGTTTCGGGCTTCAAGTAAAACTTCCTTTACAGGTGAAGGAAAGGCAAAAGGAGCCACATCTTTGAGTAGCTCCTTTGACCTTGGGTTTTGTTTTGCTTTTGGGGTGCTCCTTACATTATTGATGCGAACCCCAACCTCGGGGTGGTTTTGGGGGTCCACCACTCATTAGGTAGGCATCTGAGAAAGCATTGCCTACGACCACGCATGGCAAGTGATGCCCCGACCACTGGCCTGTGAAAGGGAAAAGGCAAAGCTCAGAAATCCTCGAACCCGAATTGGACCAGCACTTTTTGGCCGGTCAAATGGCTTAATTTTGACCCATACCCATTTGCATTGATTTCATTTTGGGAACCCAACCACACCGAACCCCAAACGAGGCCGATCCGTGAGCCTTCCGCAGGTCCAAGGTCCAGCAGCTCCGGAACGAAACCGCCAGCTTCGCCCAGCTGGCCCTGCCCGGGCGTGGGAGGGGGCTGCTGTTGCCTCGTTTTAGCCACAGCCGCAATGACACCCATGCTCAGCCAACTTAAGTACCTTACAACAAAACCCAAAGCCCATGTATTGCTCAACCAACTTAAGTAGGCCACCATGGTGATACGGATGGAAATAAAGGGTCGAAAGGATCCTAGGAATAACCATGCTTAGAAGCTGCTAAGTTCTTTGAGCATTTGAACACCCAAGTTGCAGCTCCTTCTCGGAAATTCGAAAGAAAAGAAAAGGAAAAACACAGAATCTTGGTAAGAACCATAGAGCAAAAGAATGCGGTAACGTCCAAACAATCCTGTTTGGGCCGGCTTTGAGTGGCTTGAAGCCCGAAGAGAAACGTCCTCATTTCAGGGTTCCCTGTTCAAGATTTCCAGGAGAAGCCAGCAACAAAATATCAAACACCAACATATCTTCGTTTTGCCCGTTGTTCAGAACATATCCCCCTGTCTTTCTCAGGAGAACAAGAATTAGTAGGAGGGAGTTGATAGGTCCAAGGGTTTGGGGTGACACTCTTCGGAGAGGTTTTCTTGGAAGCGGGGTCCGGGACTCAATTCCATTTATGCAGCATCCCGACAGAGAAAGTTCAACCACAAAGGGAAATCCAGGGATCGGCAACTTCTAAGTGGGGATCCTTTGGGTTTGCCTCCAAGAATATATTCTGACACACATGGCTACCCATCTCCGCCTTGTCGTTGTTGCCGCAGCCAAAGACTGTCAAGTCATCTACCAAGATCAAGGTGTGTGTCCTCCAAACTCTGTCTCGTCTGTCAGGTTTCATTATTCTTCAACTCATGCCCGGAGGACCCAGCAAAAGGAGGAATGCTGGGGGCCACCTTTGCTTGGTGAAAACATCCCGGGGTGTACCAAACCGCGGCGTTGAGATCTGTCCCTCCGCAGTCGACATCCACGGCCAGCCGGGGAAGGATCATTTCCGTGGGGCCCTCCGCCCTGCAGCCTGAGAAGGGACTCTGTGGCCCGCCCCCCACAAAAGACACGGTGTTGGGTTCACCGGCATCATCATCAGCGTCTGCTATGGCCGGGGATGTTGTCCACTATGGCCAAATCTGGGCTTCCCAAGATTTCAACCCTCAACCCAACCTTATTTGCAGCACAGTGCCTAAACAAATGGCAGCATCCCCCCATGTTGGTTTGTCATCTCCTTTGCTCACCCACACAAAGGGAACTACCCCAAACTGCAGAAGGTGGGGGCGGGGACCCCAAAAACACGATCCTTAGCTTTGTGGGCTCGGGAATTGCCAGTGACCCCATCGCTCCGCTTTGGCGACCGCACAATGCCCAAGCCCGAGCTGACCGGAGGAGTTTTCTCCAAAGGAGAAAGCTCGACCTGGGAGCTCTCTCTCAGGACGCGTAGGGGACTCCTTTTGGGAAAAGGAAACCAACTGGCAACCAACGGACTGGAAGCCAACCAAAAACCAATCGTTTAGGAGGTGGTTATGAATGGCTGTGACACCAATCACCAAATATAATTCCCTCGATATTGCAGAAAGTGTCACAAGGTGCGAGGTATCTCAAAATAATTGGAAACCAAAAACAGGGTTGTGTTCTTTCGGATTCCCTTTAAATCAAACTCCAAAAGGGTCCCGCACCAAAATCTATGTTTGGAATGGCCTCAAATCGAGTGCGCGGCCACAGCAGTCCAAGTAGACGGAATGATCCGCTCCGCAAGCGATGTGCGAAGCGCCTGGCGTTCTCAGTGCCGAAGTCACAAGGGATGGAAATATAGGGAAACCTGCACCGTACACGGACAGGTATGGATGAAACCCTGTGACTAGTGGGATAAACCACCAACCAACTGGTGCAGAATTGTGTCCATCCACATTTTACACATTCGGCACACACCAGCATATGCATAGTCAGACTACATGAAGTTGCTTCTCACCTAATCATTTGAAACGTAAGGCCCGCTGAAAAAAAAAGGGCACTGGAGGGTTGCCGAAGGGGTGGCCAGAAGGCCCCCGATTTGCAGGGCTCCCCGGTCCGTCGGTTTTCCCTTTTTTGACCAGCATTCTCTGGGCAGCCTTGAAACAAACACTCTCAAATAACACCAAAATCCGTGGGACACCGGACCCGGAGGGAAGAGTCCTGCCTGTTGCCACGCGGATGGGGTCCAGGGCTTCTTCGCCCTCGGCATGGCAAAGCAGAGGGGCCATTTTTTGGTCGTCAAAGCTCGTTTGCTTTCTGCTCCTCGGCTAAAAGCGACTAATTTTGAGTGGGCTAAATGTAAAGCCCGTAAGTTAACAAAAAGTTAAAATCCTAACATCCAAGCAAAATGCACCAAAGAAAGGACCTAAGCCTCCGTGTCCCCCATCACCCGATCCATCTGTACGCCCCTTGTGTGTGCGAGGTGAACCCAGTTTCAAGCGAAACAAAAGAAAGAACCACCCGCACTGACCACTCAATTGGGCCGAACGCCGTGTTGGCTTCTGAAGCAAACATCACGTTATAGATTGCCCACTTCGCTTTGGGACCAACGCACTTGCCTTAAGAAACCTCAGGGTCCCAGATTGCCCAACGTTGGTTTCACGCACTAAGCCATGTCTGCAGAACATGCAACACATCCTCATCTGCTTTTGGTTTCTCGTTTCTCTTTGAGGCAAATTACAAAATGTGGGTGCCTCGTTTTTTCAGGGTGCCCCTTTCTGGCTGGTTCTTCGGCGAAAACGAAAAGGACACCCGCCCTTTTGGACTCCACCCTGAAAAAACCACACCCATACCGTCACGAAGTCTTTCGCACCTGAGAAACCCAACGGACTGATATGATTCCCCCAGCATACATACCATAGCAAACCTTATGGTTTCAAAAAATGGGCTTTCTCATGGTTTCAACCGTGGTTTCCCCTGGTTTGAACCATGACTTCACGTGGTTTCAACCTGGTTTCCCCCATGGAGTGGCACCCCGGCTCCAGCTTTCGCTAAGCGCTGGGCGGAGCCCAGCTGCCCTTCGGAGCCTCTGCCAAAGCCCCAGACCTCCCCGGAGGCCAAGAGCACCAGGGAGTGGTCTGCGCCACAGGCGGCCTGCGACCGTCCGTGGGTTCCACCCTTGCAAAAGTTCCTCCTGGGTTGGCTTCAAAAGGCAACCAGCGCGAAAACCGAGGGGAAACCAAAGGGAAGCAACTCACTACTGTCTTCCATTTGCTTTTTCGCCCCCCTGGAGAAGATCAAGAACTATTTTCAGTAGTGATAGATTCCAACTTTAAAACCAAGAGGGGGAAAAAAAAATCAATAGTCTTAAGCAAATGGAAGCACCGGTGAGCTGCTGGGTTTGAGGAACCTGTTCGAGTCTGCGACGAAACCAACCACGCTGAATCCAGGCGTGGGGTAAATGCCGATGCTTATTAACTCAAGGGAATGACAAGGGGTCAAGCTTTACACAAGGATTCCTACGATAGCAGGCAGCACTGGTAGGTCGTCGCAATTGCTAAGACTAAGATAAGAGGGTCTGGATTGACCCCCCCCAAAGCCAAATGGGGTGAATCAACCACTTGCCAGATTTCAGAGGACCAGCGGCTCCCCAACGACCCTACAGCTTCATGAAACCCACCCTGCGAATAGTGGGACCCTTAACCGATACCCCTCAATAGTTGCTGCTTTGGACAACACTCTGGAGACAAACCCAAATGAGGCAAAGGCTGCGAAGCCTTCACGCCACACCCTTTCTGTATCTCCATTGTTGAGCGTCTGTTGCTTGCCAAAATCGAGGCTTCCTTGCTCCTGATCGTCAAAGGGATCGTGCTGTACACATGCATTGAGGCAAATGCCACTCAGCTTGGCCAGATCCGGCCACAAGTCGCAAGCGCTGCCATTAAACTGTTGCAAATTCGAAAGGACGGCTGTCGACAGGCCGTCCTCGCTATGCGTGCCCGTTCATCGTACACACTGCAAATGACACAGATGGTCATTGCAGCGACACGCTTGATGAGATCATGCTGGTTCACCCGAAAATGCCATGTTCTCACTTTGTTGTTTGACACTGAAGTGGTCCAGACCCCCAAATTCAATAAAGTCCAGGAACCTAGAGAGTAAGTCTTTCCTGGCGAGTGCAGGATCCCAAAAGGCGCTGTCTGTTTGTACATTGCATAAGTTTTGCAGCTGTACATCTGAGCGCCCAACACCCAAGCTTAGCTCCGTAACAAAGACACAAAGACGCTGTGTTTCGAGCCATGCCGCTTACCAAACATGAGGTCTGTTGAAAACCCGAAAGATAAGAAACATGAGGGTCTTGGCGCTCACTCCGCGTTCTCTGGCATGCCTGGCGGCGGTGACTAGCGCGGGGCTCCGTTCTTTTCTAGCTGAAAGCTGTGGGGTCGATCGGCCCAAATAGGCTCTGGGGTGCAGCGTTCAGAAAGGGTTCCGCTGCCACCTGGGCTAATTTGAATCTCAAGATACAGTCCACCCAGCCTTACTGATCGCTGCAGGGACGCTTGTTGATCCCTGGCGCAGCACAGAAGATCTAGGGGTACCGTTTCAGTTTCACGCTGTTCCCGTTTTTCTGGAAACCGGGGTCGATAATTGTGACTGCTCAACAGGACCGCAGAAAATGCAGTTCTGAAAGCTCACCCAAGTTTGCCATCATGGATGTCCTCAACCTGACCAACTTACATAGCGCGAGTAATTAGAAAGGGGATTCCAGGTGCTATGAAAGCAAATTAAGCCATGATCATCAGATAACAATGTGTGTAATCGAGACGCTGATATGGCTCTTTTTGAAACCCTGTCACTGAAGAAGGCCCGTCAACATAACGGCCCGAACAATTCGTCGGGCTATCTACAGCCACCAAAAAGGATCAAAGTAAAACGGTACGTCGAAATAGAGAAGCTCCCGCAAATGGATCTTGGTTTTCCTTTGAGGCTTCATTTTCTTGCTGGTGCTCAGCGGGGAATGAGGGAATGACTTCCTTTCAGGGAATCCCTGGGTTTATTCCCACATTCCAGCAAGTTTTAAGCATCTTGATTTCCTGAAACCAAACGGAAGCAAGCCTGCAAAGCCGGGTATGGAAAGAGCTCCAAAATTGGGTTGCTTGTGTCGAAAGACGTGAGCTTCAACCCAGCCGATTTGGTTGGCCAATTCACTCCTATCGAATTTGGAGGGAGCCTCCTCTAGAGGTGATTCTCTCTTTTGTCGGGGACCCCCCCCTGCCCGGGGTAGCCTGAAAAAGACACTCTCCTTGACCGTTCGCTGAAAATCCTCGGTCTCAAGATTCGGGAAGCTCTGGTTAGTCTCCTCTTGGCTTCTCACCATCCAAAGGGACCCCCCTATTTTGAGACAAAGCACACCACCCATAGACCCTACCCCCCCAATTGGACATTTGCCCAGTCGAATCAAACTTGTATTTTGAGATACCCCCCCGCCCCAATTGGACACTTGTCTATGTTGCAACCTTTAAGTACTTCCAGAGACCCCCCGATGCGCATCGGCCTGCTGCTAAATCCCGCCCGGGTCGCTTCCGCGAGTCCGGCCTCACCTCGCGTGAAGGAACTGCACAGGCTTCAGAGAAACCCGCAGGGCATGCACCGGTATTTAGCGTGGACATGAAGCCCTATGAATACTGGAGCCATCATTGAATATATATGTATATATATATATATATACACAAAACACCTGAAGAGCATTGAGCAACCATGGGACCGACCGACGTACCTCTGGAACCCAAAGGGATACCGTTGTGCCATTTTGGGGTTTGCTTCAAAAAAGGCGAGCCACGATATGGTTGTGGAGTGGATGCCTTGCGCATGGCCCGGCCTTGTATGCGGGCTCCTTGAAATCTCCATCCTCAGGGACGACTGAGGTCTTGGGGTGTAGGGCTGAATTCAGGCAATCTCTGAGATCAAAACAGCTTCCAAATGATTTCAAGTCGTCATTTTCACGTGCATCATGTGCTGCCTTGCGCATGGCATAACGCCACAAAGGGGCACATGTATTGACAAATGCGGCATAGAACTGAGATTCCAACTTTGCAACTTGTACATACTTCACCAAATGGACATATGGAAGGCTGCTTCTTTTCACCTCCCTTGCACTTGATGCCACATGGTCGAAAAGATCGTGCCTGGTCCAACACGAGCGGCTTCAGGTCCACATCCAGGAAGTTGTGGAGGTCTGACATCCACATGGGCATGTGAGCGACATTCAATGTGGGTGTCTTATTGATGGCACCTTTTTCTTGTGGTTTCAAAGAGACACCAAAAGGAAGGTCACCATTTTAGATGGTTCCCCAAAAACGACACTCCCATATGCGTTGTGTTTCCCGAGTTTGGCGACTGCGCATTGGGAAAGGTTTGTTGTTTTCCCGTAAGCCCTCCTGAAACGTATTCCCTTAACAAAACGCACAGGAAATGCACAAATCAAATGGCCCCACCAAAGCCAGGGTGATACTCAAATTTGCTGGGTAAACATGCGTACAGGGACCCATCCTGTAAAGCTGATGGGTGGCACGCCTATGCGTATTTCGTGTAGCATTTTAAGCTATCTGACGTAACAGCGAGATAACTATTTCATGTCCCCGGAACCATGGCTGGAAATTTAGACTTCCCCTATAACGCTCACGTTGCCTGCTCTCATGGTGTGTGCCTGCTCTACTGCAAATAGCCCATGCTGTCCAAGCTTTTTCACTCATCTGAGAACGGCTCCTTTTGTGTTGGCACCTGACATCATACGAAAAAAAACATACGCAGGCAAAGCCCGTACCTGCAGCAGGTGACGCCTGGCAACAGCCCTGCAAGCCCCGCCTGTCTCTGTCCAGGCGTAAGGGGCTCCCTGGACGCATAGATGAACAACGAGGTGCAGTGTTTTGAGGGTACCACATGGGACCCCCTATTTGAAAACATAGCAGCAGGTCTCTCAAAATCAAAGAAACGCAAACGGGTGGTGTCTCCTTGGCTTCCTTAAAAACAACGATCCTTAGTTAGAAAACCCCTGGGCAGGACATCCGCGCCAATTGAGGACTAAATCTTGGCAAATGGATCCGCAGGATCTTGCGAACCTTCTTTTCGTCCGGTTTTTGACACTGCTGGCGTTGCTCGTCGGGTGCGGGGGTCCGTGAATCAGAGAGCTTCTACCAATGGCCGGGCCACCCTTAGAGCATTTGCGCCAGGCAGTGTCCCCCCAGGAAGGCGCAACTCACCGAAGCGCGTCTGCATCCAGCCACAACCCGTGCGCAGAAGGGAAACCACGACCTGCCCAACCGGAATTCAACCCACGTGAAGTCCTCCAGCTGACCCAATGGCCAGGAACGCCTCAACTGGTTCACAAACCTGAATAGAGGATCACAAAACCCAGCTCGTTTTAGGACCGGACTCCCACATTTTCGTGAGCAAATGCGTGCCATGGGACTTTTTTTGTTGGGCGACTTTACCTTTGGTTCCCTTTCAAACCTTGTTCTCAACCATAAAAGGGGCAAAACCACAGCAAAGACCAACCAAGAAGAAAGAGGAGGGAGCAGCTTGTGTTGGCAACCACCTTCAGGCTCAATGCCATTTCTGTGCCCCGAGCCCAGAGCTGGGGGCCGGACCTTGGGCGCCTCCATCTTCGCGCTCTGTAAATCGCACGCTGAGCCAGCGGCTGGGTCCCATGCGGCGATCCAATCAATGGAGGTTGGATCTCAAAATGGGTGTCTTTGTCCATTTTCCTTTAAAACCACAAATGGACCAACAAGGGGGTATCCCAAAAAAGACACACCCAAATGGGGCCGGGCGACTTCATTTCGTAGTCAATTGAGCAAGTGTGGTATGGCTTCGGAATGATTCGGCTCACTGTAGGCTGTCTGGGAAGTTTAGGGATTCCTTGCATGGTGTCCCTTGTCCATGTAGGAGATCAATCTGAAGAAATCACCCATTTGCCTCGAAGAACCAAGGAGATCCAAAGGTCCAAAAGAAAAGGAACCAGCCATTTGGGACGAACGGGAGAGCTTCTACTGACGCGACTATTCCAAATCTGAATCTATCCCCACCTCCGGGGGATGGGCTTCCGTTGTGCCAGACCCCGCGCAAGGGATGAAGCCAAAACAGAATTCCAGGATCCCCCCCGTCCTCAACGTGCAATTGTCAATACTACTGTGGATGGACAAAATCCAAATCCAGCACCACCTAAGAAGCCGCGGAATGATTTGATTCCCTTGTACATACCAAGAAACACGATGGATTCAACCATGGTTTGAAAGAGGTGCGAAATAGATTTCACGACCATCCACAGTAGGAACAAATGCAGACTGATTCTTCCAAATATGACTGGGTATCTGAATCAATCCTTTTCAATCCCAACCATGTTTGGAGTTAGGCCTGGATACCAAGCATACACCATAGTTTGACTCGCCTTTAGTCACCAGTCTCATGTCAAATGTGCCTTGGCTCAGAAAAGAAGTGACCAGGAATCACTTTCACATCCACTCCAGACCTTCTGATGTCTTTACTAGCTAATTCTCCCTTCATGAGTCTTCTCTAGAACCTAGAATTTACTGATATGAAAAAGACAGAAGTAGAAGGAAGACTCTGAACAAATAGATCAAAGAAAAAAACAAGTACACCAAAAAACACAAGACATCACAATAGCACACGCCTTAGGCACCGTTCCCGCTGTTCCCTCGCCGCGCCCGCCTGCAGCGCGGGTCGCGGCAGGTGGAGGCGCTGAAGCTCCGAGGCGTCGGCGTCACGGTGGCCGAGACCCAGCTGCCCGGCGTCGTTGCGGCCGCAGGACCAGAGCTGGCCGTCCACGGTGACCAGCAGACTGCGGGATGGGTTTGGGGGTGGGGTTGGGCTTTTGGGCTTTGGGGGGCAGGCAGGTTGGTGCCATGGGCACTTGGAGAAAATGAATCCTCAAAAACCAAAACCTAAATGAAGCAGGTGAAGGGGCGGGCGGGTTGGGGGCCTTTACTGGTCAACCCCTACGAGTCGTAGGGTCACTGGTGGGCGTAGCTGTTGCTTTCTTTTTGCATGGAGCCTTTGGATTTTGCTTGACAGCCCCATCCCCTGCCCCGTGTTTGTCACTTCGGATCGCCGTTGATTCCAATCCGGACAGTGAGACAAGCCCGAAACCAGGGCCAAACGCTAGCGAGCGCGGTGAGACGAACAGGATCACTGCACCACGGAGCCGGAGCTACAGGCCTGGCGCGAGTCGACCGACAGCTTCCTGGCACTTGAGATCATTGGACAGGACCTTTGCCCAAAAGATCCAAAAGGTGAAAGAATGACATGTTCTTCAAGTTCATGAATATGTTCATTGTTTCTTTTTTGTATTCTTTGCTTGGTTTGCGTGCTTTGTCACCTTTTGGGCAACAAGGGCGGAAGCAAGAAGTCAAAAGGTCGATTCGCTTTGGGCAAGTGAGTTACCACATTTTCCTTCCAACCCCAAACGGAAACTCGCCTTAAAAGTGCAGAGGTGGTGGCTAATATGAGCTTCCCAAAAAGCTGTTCACCCCAACTCCTGGGCAGAGTGACTTTTGCAACCTGGGTTTGCCATAAAGGCTTTGGTGGGGTTGGAGAGCAGGCAGATTCTATCAGCTTTTGGTTAGAAAGGTTTATGCAGCCAATGCTTTTACACCCTAAAATCAGGTACCCAACATGGCAAATAGGGGGGATATGGGTTGTCTCCCCGACTGGTACAGTGCGCAATGGACCTCTAGCTCGGGGCACGCAACACATGCGACAGGCCAAGCGAACGGCCACCTTTCGTCACATGCCGGCGGCACCACTGAGCTGTAGAGTGCCCGTGGATACACACCTGGCTGTGGGCCAAAAATGGGTACCCAAAATGGAAGCCTGGCAAGGACGAAATCCTGCGGTCTAGTTTAATCTTGACCCAAACCCGGGGCCAGGGTGGAAAATGGTGGACCGCCCCCTGCTGTAAATCCCCAAAACCGGGCGGGGTCCGAGCGCGGCAACGCGGCCGAGCGTCTGTTGCGCCAGGGTGGAGCGCAATGGTTGGCCGGCCGGAACCTGGCTGACATCGAGCAACTGCACTGCTGAAGTTTTGCTTTCCTTTCGTGGGGAGGGGGGGGGGGGGGGGCCTTTGTATGTCTTTGTGGTTTCAACGCCGCTTTGCAGGGGAGTAGAGGTGGAAGAGCTCGACATGAAGCGCGGTCGTGAGGTTGTGTGAGTCGTGCAGATTTGCGAACATGTTTGTCTTGCTTTGCTCTGACTGGAATACTCGGAATACATGTAAACCTTAGCAGGCTCGGTGGCATATCGAAGATTTTCCGCAGGATGCAAGGGGCGATTCACATCCAAAGATCAGCTATGGGCCCCTGACATGTGTCCTGCTGCCTGTATCCGCCAGCAGGGGTGTTCATTTCTGCAAGGCTCTGCGCAACTCCAGCACGAAACAATTAAACACGTCGGTCGCCAAGCGAACGCCAAAATGGGCAGCTCCCGACTGGGCCTTTGATCCCATTCGAAGGGTGTCAAACAGGGCGGGTAGACAAATCCCAGCTTCCTGCTGCCGCGTCTTTGGCACTTGCAGTGCGCTCGTTGAAGGCGTACCTCGAAATCCCAAGCTTGCGCTGGGTTTCACCGGGCACAGTTCACATGACTGCAAAACAATGGTGTAGGTTTGAGCAACTTAAGCAAGGTGGCAGAACCGAATGAAATAAGGGATAAGGGCACAGGGTCCCCCCCCCCAATTGAAATTGGCAGAAGTACCTGTTTGTTGACACATCAAATGCTGAGTTCTTCTGGGCTTCCTGCTTGGTGCCCGCATCCGTGAATCGCCATACCTGAGGAACACATCTCGCATCGCCTGCACGAACCCACCCCAAGAATCCAACCGTCACGGCCAAAGGCACATGCGTACCAAGCACCCAATTGACGCTCACATTTTGGCCTTCTTTGACGTCATTTGACCCACGTCTTTGTAGCGCGCTGGTTGGGCTTCTCGCTTCTGCTGATCAGCAAAGTCCAAACTACACCAAACCGGTGACCCACTTAAAAGACATGCTTCGAACCCCAAAACAGCAGTACTAACATCGTGAAGGGTAAGAGGAAAACCCGGCAACACTTTGGGGTGCCAACATTCTGAGACCCTCCCCCCGTCTCGCCTTCTCAGGCTTCTTCCGCTCCAGGCGCTGGTTCAGCGGGCGGTGGATGTGGAAGGCATCCCCGGCCCTGAGACGTGAGCTCCCACGTAGCTTCCCAATGGGGCATTAGGGAGCTCAGACCTGAGACCTCCATCCGGGGCTTGGGTTCCTTTTGCCAGATGTGGGGGCCTGGCGGTTGGCTCTGGCTGATCTCCCAGCTCTCTTGAGGCTCCGGCCAGCCCGTGCGCTCCTGGAGAAACATGAGGTATGGGGAAATGAGTTGGGTCTCTCGCCTTTGCGAAGGTTGGACCCCCGAAATAATTAAGCATTTTTTATTTTCTTTCCTTTCGGCTTCCAAACAACACACCAAAACAGGGTACCAACTCCAACAAACACCCACATCGCCACCTTGTTTCTTGGGGCAGGATGGTTGCCCTGGGGTCGACAGAGATTCCGCCTCCCAGTGGATCCCAGTCAACGCAAATATAGGTAACCGGCCATACCAGTTTTAGTCTTCAAAAGGAGGTTCCCTTGGTTGCCGGCCTTCAAGAGAGGTATGCCTGGCGGTTGGGGGACCCATAAAATGGCTGGTTCTCCTTTGCACCCTCTTATCTAGACGAGTACAAAGCCTCAAGACGCAAACACGCCCAACGCATCAGCCTGACATCTTCGCACGGCGTGCTCCTGGTATGCGGTGAGGTTCAGTTGCTTCACGTTGGGATTCTCCCACCTGCGCCAAACGCAACACAACAAACGACCTACCTTACTGGTTCCTTGATGTCTTTCCAACAGCTATGCACTTTTAGTGGGATGCGTGTCACACACATACACACACACACACACACACACCGTGAAACTCTGCAAGTCTAAGGCTATGGTTGGGAACCACCAAGCCATAAGCCAGGGCGCAATGAAATGCGGGTACACCCAAACTCATATTTTCGGATTCTGGTGGAAAAGCAGTAGAAAACAGGGGGCAAATAAATCTAAAGACCCTGCCTCCCCCAAAGCTTTACTCACTTCCTAAGTGGATTGGCCAAGACAAATCTTGTTTTTTGCCACTCAAATGGTCCAAACCCAAAAAGCTGAAAAGTCCAGGAACTCCGAAAGCGAGTTTAGTGAAACGAATGAAGGGGACACATGGCCTGCTCGAATGGACAGGAAGGCAACGCAGGGGGTTGGTTGAACCCTCCCCGAAACTGGTTTTGACTTGCCCAATCCAGACCTTAACCCAGACCCCCACACTCAAACCGAGCTTCCCCGTTTCTACTAACAAGGGTCCTGCTGAGGGGGGTCACATTAAAGCAGGTCCAACGTTTTATAACTCATCATTTATGCTGCGATGGCCTAAAATGCTGCCGAGGCCAGCTGATACAAGTTACTAATACTATAAGGGCCCAACCTAGTAGAATGGGGTTGTGGGGTCATGATCGCAAGATAACAAAGTGTTTGATCATTTACACGCTTACACGACTCCCAGGCATCTTTTTACCTGGACCCAACCAAAAACCTATGGGTGTTGAATTCGGAGCCTTGCCCCGACCGTGGCCTGAGGAAAAATCTGGCACCCTTTGGTTGGCACCCACATCCCAGTTGCCATAGTAACCAACCATCTTCTATGTGATTTTGCAGGGTTGTTTCTTCGTTTACCTACTACACCGGGCAACATGGATTTACTTGGATAGCCTGCCTTCAACCAAAAGGGAACCTCCCTCCAAAAAAAAATCAGAACTTCTTTGTTTACTTTACCTTGCCGAAGAAAATGGTAGCTTGCTTTCAAATGAAAGGGACCCCCCCTGCCAAAAAAAAAACCGGCACCAGCGCATCGCTGGAGGTGAATACACCAGTCGCCTCAGCGCCGGCGCCCGGTACTCGCTCCAGGCCACATCCTGCGGCACCCCCGAGGGTCTGCTCTGAGGGTGCAGCGGCCTCGAGGCGCAGCGCGGAGCCAAACCAACATGGGTTCGTCTCAAAGGGGAAACCACATTTCCTCCATTTGCTTTTTCGTCCCCTGGACAAAAACAAAAAGCATATGTCCAGTAGTGATAGATTGCCATTGAAACCAACAGGGGGAAATCAAAGATGTTCCAAATGGAAGATTTTGGAGAGGAGAACCAAAAGGACACGAACCATGGGTTCCATTTTTGAGAACCAGTGAGAAGCCGACCAAACCAGGCTTCACATAGAATTGCTCAACGTCTCTCTGGGGGCTTCGAACCGGGACTCTCAAGCGATGGGTTTGTCGTCTTAACCTACTCTATTGGTTATCCTTTCGGCCGTTTGACAATCAGGGGGCCACCCACAGATTTCCCTAAACGTTGTTTTCCGAAAGACCGTCAGTGAGTCTCTGGGAACTCCAACGGCGCCTGTCAAGCCGCTGGATTCCCCAAATTCTGAGGCGAAGACGCCCGATTCAGGCAGGGCAGCGAGTGAGTCTTCCGCATTTGCGGCGTGGGCGACTACTCTGTGAGCTCCGAGCCAAGTCGAGTCAGCGGGCTGCCTTTCAACCAGCGGATGTTCAACAAAAAACCTGCCGTTGGGGTGGCCCAAGTCAAGGACGGCGAGGGACAAACATAATGCAGGGCCAAAACACCATCCAAACTCAGTTGGTCCACGACAAGGCCCTCTAACATAGCTTTGAATATTCTCAACATGGCCAAATGTATCAACTTTTATCAACTCAAGCAGCCCGATTGTGCAGGACATGGGTTTCGAGCAGCGCGCCTGTGATCCCCGCCGCACGCCTCGTTTTCGAGCTGCGGGCACGGGTGGGTGAGAAATCTGTTGTTTGCAGGTAGACCAAGAGTTGGTTGGATGGCTGGGAAAAACAACAACAACAAACAATCAAGCAACACGCAAACAAAACAAACAAGCAAACAACAGATGAAAAACCACTTCTTTTTTGTTAGGTGTGGCTGGAACAGCATCCTGCGCCGGTTGGAATGGATGAAACCCTATTGGCGTGAGCCACCTACCCAACAGGTGCAGGGTCTTGTTTCTGAGGGTGCATATTTGCAGGGTAGAGCAAACCCCAAAGAAACATACCATCATTAAAGGGTCCCCTCTTCAGTACCATGTCCTTTTGGTAGCTCTTCAGTCGCTCCCCCTTTCCGGCAAAGTTTGGATACCTCCAGCTCCCTTCATCCAGATCTACCGGGAGCCCCTGCCACCATACGCACGGGGATAGGTAGCGCCAAGGGCGCAGGCCTGCGCACTGGCAAGAGTTGGGTCAAAAAACGAAATCCATTTGGCTGTGGCTCAGAAAACCGGAATTCCAAGATGGTGCCCTGGTAAGTGGAAACATGGACCAAAACCTGCGGAGCCAGCCCCTCCTGGTTATTTTGAGCCATACCCAATGTTGAAAATGGCACCAAGGTAAAGGGAAGCGAGGACTAAACTTTCCTGCGGCAAGAACCTCGGGAGTGGACTTGGTGCCACGCTGCTCCTCTGCTTCAGGTTCCATGTTACAGATGGATCCGAGCAAAACGTGATCACTCGGTGAAAAGCGAAAAAGAAGGAACGCCACAAGGGAAGGAGCAAAGGTGATCAGTTTGGAAGAGGTCTGTAGGGCTGAATGCGTTCTGTTTTCTGGAGCAGCACTACTTCCAGGCAACCCTTGAACTCAGTCCATCCACAGCTGTGGACGAGCCCACCAAAGGGTCCATTAAAGGAAAATTGTCTGCCAGGACGCGGACAGGAGGCCAGTCCCTAAACTGATTGCTTTGGAAGTGGAGAAGAGGCCTTTCTGCTTCAATACGGGTTGAACACGAAATCTCCACTTTCAGGCAAATGGCCCTCAGGCATCTTCCAGTTGCTGAAGCCCCCTGGGAACAAAGCAGATTGTTAGTAGCCGTTGAAACGGAAAATCTGCAAACAAAACATATATTCATTTCAGCAAATGGGCACGGTCACAAAATCCCATCCTGACATGTCGGTTCTTTCTTCTCCGGAGATGCCGCCTGTACCTGCTTTTGAAAAGGCAGATTGAAACCAAACACCAGCGACTGTAGTCGTATTGAAAAGCAGATTGGGTTCTATTGAAACCAAACCAACACTAAGCAGATTGAAACAAAAAGCAGATTGGGTTCCATCGCAGCATTGATTTATGTGTGGCGAGCCATCGCAGCATAGCCCACCCCTTCAGCCTTCATCGCAGGATACATGGGCTAAAATGAGGGACCCGCAAAATGGGAACTCCTTTTCCCCTGTCCTTTTCCCTTACCACCAGAAACTCCAAATTGCAGCTTCTTTTTTTCTTTGTTGTTTTGGTGACTTTTTTTCCCAAAAGCATCTCTGATGCTTGGGTTCTGCTTTAGGTTTTCTCTTAAGGTGCCTGGGAGCGATACAAGCTGTGACGACGGAAATAAGAAGGGATTTCCATTTCGTTGTGCTGCAGACCGGGCGTGCGATGCCGGCTAGGGGTGCAGACCGGGCGTACGACCCGCGAGTGAGACTGGCTGGCTGGGGGGACGCAGACTGGGCGTGGCTGGAAACCGCCCGCGAGCGAGACTGGCTGGCTGGGGGGACGGCGGTGTGGTGCAGACTGGGCGTGCGAGGCTGGCTGGAAACCGCGGTGGACGCTCGTGACAGGAAACCGCCCGCGAGCGAGACTGGCGCGGTGGACGCTCGTGACATGCGGAAATCGCCCGCGAGCGAGACTGGCGCGGTGGACGCTCGTGACATGCGGAAACCGCCCGCGAGCGAGACTGGCGCGGTGGACGCTCGTGACATGCGGAAACCGCCCGCGAGCGAGACTGGCGCGGTGGATGCTCGTGACATGCGGAAACCGCCCGCGAGCGAGACTGGCGCGGTGGACGCTCGTGACATGCGGAAACCGCCCGCGAGCGAGACTGGCGCGGTGGACGCTCGTGACATGCGGAAACCGCCCGCAAGCGAGACTGGCGTGGTGGACGCTCGTGACATGGGGAAACCGCCCGCAAGTGAGACTGCGCGGTGGACGCTCGTGACATGCGGAAACCGCCCGCGAGCGAGATTGGCGCGGTGGACGCTCGTGACACGCGGAAACCGCCGGGAGCGAGACTGGCGCGGTGGACGCTCGTGACATGTGGAAACCGCCCGCGAGCGAGACTGGCGCGGTGGACGCTCGTGACATGCGGAAACCGCCCGCGAGCGAGACTGGCGCGGTGGAGCTCGTGACATGCGGAAACCGCCCGTGAGCGAGACTGGCGCGGTGGACGCTCGTGACATGCGGAAACCGCCCGTGAGCAAGACTGGCGCGGGGGACACTCGTGACATGCGGAAACCGCCCGCGAGCGAGACTGGGGCGGTGGACGCTCGTGACATGCGGAAACCGCCCCAGAGCGAGACTCGCGCAGGCGGAAACCGCCCGCGAGCGAGACTGGCGCGGTGGACGCTTGTGACAGGCGGAAACCGCCCGCGAGCGAGACTGGCGCGGTGGACGCTCGTGACAGGCGGAAACCGCCCGCGAGCGAGACTGGCGCGGTGGATGCTCGTGACATGGGGAAACCGCCCGCGAGCGAGACTGGCGCGGTGGACGCTCGTGACATGCGGAAACCGCCCGCGAGGAACACTGGCGCGGTGGACGCTCGTGACATGCGGAAACCGCCCGCGAGCGAGACTGGCGCGGTGGACGCTCGTGACATGCGGAAACCGCCCGCGAGCGAGACTGGCGCGGTGGACGCTCGTGACATGCGGAAACCGCCCGCGAGCGAGACTGGCACGGTGGACGCTCGTGACATGCGGAAACCGCCCGCGAGCGAGACTGGCGCGGTGGACGCTCGTGACATGCGGAAACCGCCCGCGAGCGAGACTGGCGCGGTGGACGCTCGTGACATGCGGAAACCGCCCGCGAGCGAGACTGGCGCGGTGGACGCTCGTGACATGCGGAAACCGCCCGCGAGCGAGACTGGCGCGGTGGACGCTCGTGACATGCGGAAACCGCCCGCGAGCGAGACTGGCGCGGTGGACGCTCGTGACATGCGGAAACCGCCCGCGAGCGAGACTGGCGCGGTGGACGCTCGTGACATGCGGAAACCGCCCGCGAGCGAGACTGGCGCGGTGGACGCTCGTGACATGCGGAAACCGCCCGCGAGCGAGACTGGCGCGGTGGACGCTCGTGACATGCGGAAACCGCCCGCGAGCGAGACTGGCGCGGTGGACGCTCGTGACATGCGGAAACCGCCCGCGAGCGAGACTGGCGCGGTGGACGGGCGGAACCCGCATGCGAGCGAGACTGGCGCGGTGGACGCTTGTGACAGGCGGAAACTGCTCGCGAGCGAGACTGGCGCGGTGGACGCTCGTGACATGCTCAAACTGCCCGCGAGCGAGACTGGCGCGGTGGAGGCTCGTGACATGCGGAAACCGCCCGCGAGTGAGACTGGCGCGGTGGACGCTCGTGACATGCGGAAACCGCCCCCGAGCGAGACTGGCGCGGGTGACATGCGGAAACCGCCCGCGCGGTGGACGCTCGTGACATGCGGAAACCGCCCGCGAGCGAGACTGGCGGTGGACGCTCGTGACAGGCGGAAACCGCCCGCGAGCGCTGGCGCGGTGGACGCTCGTGACAGGCGGAAACCGCTCGCGAGCGAGACTGGCGCGGTGTTCTGGCGCGGTGGACGCTCGTGACATGCCGAAACCGCCCGCGTGCGAGACTGGCGCAGTGGACGCTCCTGACGTGCGGAAACCGCCCGCGAGCGAGGTGGACGCTCGTGACATGCGGAAACCGCCCGCGAGCAAGACTGGCGCGGTGGACGCTCGTGACATGCGGAAACCGCTCGCGAGAGAGACTGGCGCGGTGGAGGCTCGTGACATGCGGAAACCGCCCGCGAGCGAGACTGGCGCGGTGGACGCTCGTGACATATGCGGAAACCGCCCGCAAGTGAGACTGGCGCGGTGGACGCTCGTGACATGCGGAAACCGCCCGCGAGCGAGACTGGCGCGGTGGACGCTCGTGACATGCGGAAACCGCCCGCGAGCGAGACCGCTCGTGACAGCGGAAACCGTGTGCGAGACTGGCGCGGTGGACGCTCCTGACATGCGGAAACCGCCCGCGAGCGAGACTGGCGCGGTGGACGCTCGTGACATGCGGAAACCGCCCGCGAGCGAGACTGGCGCGGTGGACGCTCGTGACATGCGGAAACCGCCCGCGAGCGAGACTGGCGCGGTGGACGCTCGTGACATGCGGAAACCGCCCGCGAGCGAGACTGGCGCGGTGGATGCTCGTGACATGCCGGCGAGCGAGACTGGCGCGGTGGACGCTCGTGACATGCCAGCGAGCGAGACTGGCGCGGTGGACGCTCATGACATGCGGCAACCGCCACGTGCGCGGCTCCATGTGAACAGCCCGGCGCTCCAGGTACGCCATAATGTTAGCACTTGATTAATAAAGGCCCCCCACCCCCGAACAATGGAAGCGCCAAAACAATGGGGGTGCACTTTTGGGACGTCCAAACAATGGAGGATTTTGGGGCCCAATTCTATTTTAGTATTGCAGCCACTTCCTTTTTGCAATTCTACTTTAGTATTGCAGCCACTTCCTTTTTGCAATTCTACTTTAGTATTGCAGCCACTTTCTTTTTGCAATTCTACTTTAGTATTGCAACCACTTCTTCCTGAGCAGACTTTTTGGAATACTACTTTAGTATTGCAACCACTTCTTCCTGAGCAGACTTTTTGGAATACTACTTTAGTATTGCAACCACTTCCCTTCAGTTCTTTCTGTAGCCATCAAAGGGCCACAAATTGAAAGGGGATGCTTTTAAGCAAGTGGGCCACCAATTGAAAGGGGAATGCTTTTGAGTAAAGCAACTGATAGCTTATTTCTGGGAGGGGGGGCTGGGGGCTTGCAACTATTGTGGTCCCCTGAAACAATGACATTATTGTGGTTCAGTGGGGTCTGTGAGGGGTACCCTTGTCCTGATTGGTTTTTTGCATTTTTTTAACACGGTTTAATAAAGAGTTTGCAGTTTCAGGGCTGGGGATGGTTTTCAATTTCTGAGGTTTCAGCTAGCTTTGGGTTCTGTGGTTGAGCAACCAAGTGAAAGGGGAATGCTTTGAAGCAAGTGGGCCACCAATTGAAAGGGGATGCTTTTAAGCAAGTGGGCCACCAAATGAAAGGGGATGCTTTTAAGCAAGGCCACCAATTGAAAGGGGATGCTTTTAAGCAAGTGGGCCACCAATTGAAAGGGGAATTGATTTGTGGAGTTTTTTTTTTGAGTTTTCCCCCCGGGCAAAACAACTTTCAATTATTCTGGTCCACCTAAACAATGGGTGCGAACCAGAATAAGGAAAAACACTTGCCATTATTGAAGCCCGGTTGATTAATCAAGTGTGAACATTAATGGTCCTTTTTGCTGCACCCTGACCCGAACAAACGGTGCCAATGTGTTTCTAGGACGAACCCTCTCTTCAGAAGCTGTAGCCTCTTGGGGTTCGCCCTACTTATTTGGAGCAGCCTGGAAGCACGTTGACGGCCCAAACAAAAGGGCGCATGAACATCCGAACAGCTGACCCCGGTCTACGCAGATCGTGGTAACACTGTGTCTCAGACTTGTTTCGGACAGGCGTCAGACCCACCAAGTGACCGAGGCTTGTCCACACCGAGCCCCCCGCAAAAGCGCAGCGCCGGCCCCGTCTCCACACACCTGCGGCGAATCCACCCAACTTGCCATCCACACGCATCCAATTGACAACGCGCGCGGCCCTTTCCACAAAGTCACCAGTTGCAATTGGTTGCGAATGGGAAAATAGGTGGAGAAACTAACGAATCCAAGCAAGCTTACGAAGCAAGTTTGTGAAGGCCACGTGCACGGCTCCATGTGAACAGCCCGGCGTTCCAGGTGCGCCGAAATTGTCCTTCTTGCCGCACACCTGACCCGAACAAATGGTGCCAATGTGTTTCTAGGACGAACCCTCTCTTCAGAAGCTGTAACCTGTTGGGGCTCGCCCTACTTATTTGGAAGCAGCCTTGACATGAATATGCTGAGCACACTCGGCCCAAACAAAAGGGCGCATGAACATCCGAACAGCTGACCCCGGTCTACGCAGATCGTGGTAACACTGTGTCTCAGACTTGTTTCAGACAGGCGTCAGACCCACCAAGTGACCGAGGCTTGTCCACACCGAGCCCCCCGCAAAAGCGCAGCGCCGGCCCCGTCTCCACACACCTGCGGCGAATCCACCCAACTTGCCATCCACACGCATCCAATTGACAACGTGCGCGGCCCTTTCCACAAAGTCACCAGTTGCAATTGGTTGCGAATGGGAAAATAGGTGGAGAAACTAACGAATCCAAGCAAGCTTACAAGCAAGTTTGTGAAGGCCACGTGCACGGCTCCATGTGAACAGCCCGGCGTTCCAGGTGCGCCAAGATTGTCCTTTTTGCCGCACACCTGACCCGAACAAATGGCGCCAATGTGTTTCTAGGACGAACCCTCTCTTCAGAAGCTGTAGCCTCTTGGGGTTCGCCCTACTTATTTGGAAGCAGCCTGGAAGCACGTTGACATGAATATGCTGAGCACACTCGGCCCAAACAAAAGGGCGCATGAACATCCGAACAGCTGACCCCGGTCTACTCAGATCGTGTTGTAACACTGTGTCTCAGTGTGGTAGTTTGTGCGGATCCATTTTCGGATTTCTGCGATTGGTTCTTCATGATGAATCGGATGACTTCGTGCCTTCCATGTAGTGCGGGGCCTGTCATGTTTCACCCGTGCCTTTGCCTTTTTCTCTCAGGCTGCTGGCTGCCAATCCGGCTTGAGTCGCGGTTGCTCCCCTTCTTCATCTGTTTTGGGGTTGGTTTTGTGAACAACTTAAATCTTGGTTTGCCTTCGGACCCTTGAGCCGGAAAACAACGGGATCCACATGCCATGGGGAGTGAGGCTGGTTTGCTTTTGGGTTCCCGGGCTCCTCTTGTTTCAACTTTCATGTGCTTAAGATGTTTGTGTGTTTTCCCTAGAAGATGTGTGCTTAAGATGTGTTGGGGACCTAGAAGATGTGTCTCGCTTCTCCCTCGCTGGCTTTAAAACCCACGCACCGTGCCCGTGATGCTTCGGGTCTCCCCGCCTCGAAGCCTTGGTCCAGCGGAAGGCAGTGCCTGACGTCTCAACGGTTGAACCCCTCAGGACCGTCTTCCCGTTGCGCAAAAACGACTGATGCCCTTGGCACAGGGGAAGAAAAAACATATTCATTTCGGCAAATGGACGTTTTTGCTTTTCCTTCTCTGAAGCTGACATTTAACAAACCTTGGAGATTTCTATATACAGGGCATGACAACTGGGTCACATGGACTCGGACCACGGGACCCGAACCGTGGACCGCTATCATGGGGAACTTATATCGGTACCGATGGGTGTTCCCAATGGACGTTCATAGCAAAGGTAACCAACGATTCGCGGGCTCAAATTGGGCCATTTCCTCATGGTGTACTCGCCACAATAACATGGACGAACAAACACTGTGCTTTCAGAACGGACCCGTTTTGGGGCCTCGGGGTAGATTCAGCTGAAGGGCCGCCATGGTGTACTGGTTTACCACCAAATGGTATCATGTGCTCCTTGGGTTAAGAGAAACCTTGTTTCTGATCAACCTTGTTTCTGATCGACGGAAAAGTAATCCCTGGGTAGTTCCCTACAGTCCCCATTTAAACATCACCACTTCGTCGCAATGAGGCCCAGGCGATCTTGTAACATGAAAAAGCACTTTTAGCCTAATGGGCCTTTCCCGGGATTAAACAACCTGGTGGATATATCCGCGGGGATGCTTTCCAAAGCAAAGGAAACCGTCTTGAATGGAAAACAAACCCTATTCAGCAACCAGGGATTCAACATATCCGGGGTCAACATTTGTGGATGCCGCCCCATGAACCAAGTGGCGAATATCCCCGCTGCTTTTTCCCTACGTTAGTTCTGGCTGGGACTGCCCAACAACTAAACTCTTGGGTTCTGATTGCCGCTCACGTGTGTCCGTTTTTCGAGGGTACCTCCTTTTTTTTTCCTCCCTTCTGCAAGCCAATCTGAAAAATCCACGCGGTACCAACTCGGAAAAAAAGACGACGAGCCATCCACCCACGGGTCGTCAGACCCCAATCGCCGCGTCAAAGGCCTGCCTTCTCTTAGCGCGAGGAAGTGCTGGAGCCCTGCAGCGATACCTCTCGGAAACTGGACACTACTGGCCCCAGTGATACTGTGGATGGGGGAAATCCATTTCGCGCCACCTAAGAAGCCATGGAATGATGCTTTCCCGGTAAATACCAACAAAACATGGTTTCCCATGGCTTCAAAGTGGTGCAGGATTTCGTCCAGCCACAGTAGTGTGGATGGTTGTGGTTGCGGCATCCTGCGCCACCTGAGAAACCATTGTCCCTTTGATTTGCCTAGAAACAATGCCTGTGGATTGTTGCGAGTCATCCGCGAGTCTCGCACAACCTAGGAGACACCATGGTTGAAACCAAAACGTTTGTTGGTAGGTACAGGGAAATGGAATCATTCCAGGGTCTCTGAAAGGTGGCGCGAAATGGATTTCTTCTATGCACGCACGGTAGGCAAGCCACATGAAGCCGTTTCCACCAGAACAAAAGGACACTATTTTGGAAGGGCAAAAAAACACGTTTTTGGGCAACGTTCACGAGGTGGATGTATCAACTGCCAAAAGAATTGGGTGTTTGAGGCAATTACCCTTGGGAAGACCATCATGAACCTGGGAAGCAACCCAGTGTGAAGAAGCACGTACGTAGCTTGGTCAAAGGACGACTCAAGCTGAGTTTTCCCTGAAGACAGCTATCTTGCAGGCCAACAAAAATGCTTCGGCGAAGCCATTTTTTCTTCTGCGGAAATGAAGTTGAAGCGCTCTACGAACTTGATTTCCAAATCCTTGAGACCCAAACCGCTCAGCATCTTGGCACATCAATTCGGCCGTCTTTGAGGTCCGACCTGCCAATGGAGATTCCTTTCCCCTGGCAATGGCCTCCTGATACTTAGGGCTGTTGCTTGAACAACCCTTCCCACCCTTGGTCATAGTAGCAAAACAACTTGCTTGCACTAAAATGAACAGAACAACATCAACAAACCTTTAAAAAAAACAGCCAACAACAGCGAACAGCCCCCCCTAAATATGAACAGAACCCAAACAAGCAACTAAAAGCATCCAACAGTGAACCGCCTTGGTTTGGTTTCCCAGCGACCGATCCGTCGGATCCATTCGGAAATCCTCGCCTTGGTGCCGTGCACGTTGTTGCGCTCTGTGCCGGCGCAGGGCGAAGAGGAGCAGATGCTGCGCTGAGAGCTCCTAATCTTGATGCTTCGAGAGGCAGGGAATGAGAAAGTGAATCGCCGATTTGGTTTCCTTTATTCGGGAATCCCCTTCCAGTTCATTTTCAAAGCCAAAGTTGAACCACCATGCTTGAATAGACAAACACACCCAACTTTTTGCTGGTTTTCAGAGAATGAGACTTGAACTGACCCCTAGAAACCATCCATCCTATGGCTTCCTTTCGGGAATCCTCTTCTGGCTCATGCCCAACACCCGGACTCGGTCATACCAATCGCACCAGCAAGTACTCGAAAAAGGTTTTGGGGGCATGTTGGGAATCAATCCCAAAAAGAGCAGACAATTTAGGGGATCACTACTTGGAGAAGCCCACTAGGGACCACAGTTTGAGGACCACTCACTCCCTGAGTGTTGTTTTGTACTTTAGCTGGACCATTTTGGTAACACACAGTTTGGCTGCTTTTTGCCAATCCACTGTATCGGTGAGACCACATAAGGCCAATGCCAGCATGTTGGGAGGTCTGGGGCCCTTACTTACTATTGACCCCGGACTAACAGACCGGTTCTATTGATAGCGGGTGGGGGCCCCTCCAAAGTAATTCCCAGGCGAATTACTCCAAGCATCAGAAAGGAGCCTCCATCGCAGGTCCAGGCCTTTAGAAGGTTTTGGACCTCAAAATGGTTGCCCTCAAATGAACAATGCTTGGGGCAGATGGGGTACTTCTAGCTCGGCCTCACTTTGGGCGTTTGATACACTTGGTGGCCTCAGCAGGTACACCTTCTCAAGCAGCTTCCTGCGGCCTTCCAAACGTCCCTCCCATTTGGTAGCCAACCGTCGGAAGTCTGGGCTGAAGGTCGGTATGTCAGCCCATCTCCTTGCGGCTCCAGACCCGACCTTGCCAGTGGCCGGCAAGTGCACCTACTCCCCTGCAGATTGAGGACCAAAACAAAGAGCCGGCGGCTTATCCCGTAGCGTTCTCTTTTTTTGGGGCAACCCCGGCACAGGGATGGGTGTGTCGTTTTTTTTTGCAGAACCGTTAAAATGGAGCTCGGCTTCTTTTTGGTTTTCCGTTTCAGCCACCAAAAAAGGGGGGCACCCTTCGCCTCGAAAAAAGACACACTCAGCCGCCTTCAACTGGGGGACGGATGCAAGCAGGCCGGCTGGGCGGAGTTCATCTGGGTCCAGGCCGAAGATCTGAGCGGCAGGCGTCCGGGGGGCGGAACGCCCCGCAACGCTGGAACGAAACCAAACGGGAAAGGGGGTGTCACCGAACAACTGGGTCAAGGACGTAAGGAAACGACACAGGGCAAACAAAAAGGAGGAACAAAGGAAACCAAGGGTTTTCACATGTTCCCTCAGGTTGCAAATCCCCGAGAGTCTAAGTACCTAAGGCACCCGTATCCCTACCAAATTCCTGGAACATTAAAATCAGACTAGAGACCAGACTAGAGACTAATGTTCTGGGATGTAAGGAGTCCAACTCGTTCGTCTTCAACGACACATTGGGCCCTTGACGGCATCCGGACCCTTCCACTCCAAAGCCTTCAGTCCCCCCATCCCCCCATGGCCTGGTTTGGCCAAATCTTATGTTTAGAAGGCTGGGAGTGTCTTGAGGGGATCCCCAAATGGTGGTTTTCCTTCTGGTTTTGCCTTTACCACCAGCAAATGGGTACTCTCAAAGAAAGACGCGCCAGCCTCTATCTAAGCCTGTGCCCAAGCCGCGGCCTTGCCCTAAGACTTTCCGATTCGCGCCTGCAGATTCCAGCAGCACATCTCATGAGATCTGGGGATCAGTGAGCACGCCGCCGCCTCGGTCGCCCAGAAAAAACCTCTCCTCCATGCAGTTGTTGTGGGATCGACATCAGGCCCAAGCATATGGGTGCGTCTTGTTTTGGGGGATCGCTAAAAATGGTTGGCTTCCTTTTGGTTCCCTTGAACAACAACCCCAAAATGGGTACCCCAAAACAGACACACCCATATATCCGTAGTGGGTGCGCAAATGCCCATCTGCCGCCAGCATTTGCGCGCTCGCACCTTTTCTTGTTGCCCAAACCATGCGGTTCTCAGGCTGAAGTCTGTCTTAAACTTTGCACCTCTCCCAGGGAAAGGGCTGTGGAACGCAAGACCCATTCTGTCAGAGTCGATTGAAACGGAACCGAACGATTGAAAGAGTCGCTCATGGCCGAAGGAGGGGGGCCAGCCACTTCGCCACATGTCGCAACAAACCTTACACCGTCTATTTTGATCAGCGCAGGACACCACAAACCACTTCGTGTGGCCCTCCCTTTGCGCTTCGGCTCGCGCAATCTGTTGGGCGCTTTACTCCACTGGTTCCAGCCCCAAAGTTACCTTGACCCACTTGGTCGCACCAGTCAGCTTCGACATCAGCTAAACAACTTCACACCAAGCTGGGGTCTTTTGAACCAGTCTCTTCCATTTGCTTAAGCTTACTGGAAAAAAAAAACACACACATCATATTTCCAGCAGTGAACTCGATTCCCTAAACCAAAAAGGACAAATAAAGCAACATGCTCATTTTAGCAAGTGGAAGGTCTCCAAAATCTGCCTAGCTCTGCACTCCCCCATGCCCCGCGTACTCCCGCAAGCGCTTCATCGAGTTGGCCACTCGCTGCTCCTTGGTCGGGGCGGCCTCCAGCTTGGATTGTGCCATCTGCATCTCCTGCCGGCCGAATTTCTGCCAGAGGGATGTCTCAACATGGACAGCCCACCAAACTGGTGGAGGTCCTTTTGGTTTCCCCTTAAACCCACCGAACAATGGGAACAACTAAAAATACACACACCTGAATCTCTAACTCCAACCCCTCGAGTTTTTCCGCCAGGTTTAGAGTTTAGAGTTGTGTGGCATCATTTTTGTTGGGGGGGGGGGGGGCGGAGGGCGGGAAAAATGGAAGTATGTGTGGTGTTCAACCACCTCCTTACCTCTCGTTCAGCGAAGATGGCATCCAAATTTTCAACCAGAAAACGGTTCCAACTCATTTGCTACCAGAACTAGGCAACTCGGCAGGAGCTGGAACCCGTTGTTTAAACCAAAGTTTTAAGTTCAAATCACTTTAACTCACCGCCCATTGTTTCTTTTCGGGGGAACAGGGGCGAGCGGTTAAAACACATCTTGCCCTGCTCAACATGCTTGTACTCAGTGCAGTGGCCATGGTGGTGATCTTACAGATGGGAGCCGGCGGGCAGATCCCGGTTTCGTGGAAACGGCTCTCCCCAAAGCGGCGGGTCCTGCACGGCGCGGGGGAGTTGCTCCGCCTCGATCCGGCTCCGCGTCACGTAGTCCTCCGGAGCGGGAGCCAGAAATGACCAGGCGATCATTTTTTTTCGAATTTGGATGAAACTCACTTCCTGAAACAAAGTCACCCAACTCATCTGTTTGCCACGTGAAAATGGTCCCAGGACCCCAGAAGTGACTAAAGTCCGAGTCCCGGAATAGGGACCCGAATTCAGGGCAACCACAACTAGGTCCTCCAGTAGAGAGGTTAGAACAAGGGCACCAACTTTTTCCTGTAGTCTATTTTAGTAGGGGGTTGCCTCTCCCAACCAAAAAGGTTGGGTGAGAAGGGGTACGACTGGCTAGACCTAGAAAAGGGCAAGTGTCGATCTCCCCAGGCTTGGTGGCGGCGTTGGCGGCGTCGATGCCCTGCATGTAGCTAGGCCGCACCACCTGCGACGGCTGGGTCGGGGGTCTGTGTAGGTTGGGTGACCCAAGACGGACTCGAACCAGACAAAACCCGTTTGAGTAAACAAACCCGCTGTGTCATGGAAAGCCTCAAGCAATTCTACAAGTTGCCAGTGGCTAGATTTCCAAGAACCATCCGTCCGCAGGTACCTGTAGAAATTAGCTTCAGGACATTCTACAAGTTCGCCAAACACCCACGATCCTCTAGAAATTCGTGGTGGTTTCCAGTCTATTTTAGTAGGGGAACCCTCCCAACCCAAAAAGTTGGTGAGAAAGGGCACTACTGGGGGACCTACTGTGGATGGACGAAATCCTGCACCACCTAAGCAACCCTGGAATGATGACTCCCCTGTGAATACCAACAAGAATTGGTTTCCCATGGTTTCAAAGTGGTGCGAAATGGATTTCGCAACCATCCACAGTGGGCTAGGTTCTTTGTCCCCGGCCTGAAAGTCCGGGCGGCCCGACCCGGTGCCCGCCAGAGCGGGCCCCCCCGGCGCAAGGCCCAAGGCCAGGCCCAGCACCGCGCGGCGGTCCAGGGATGAGGCGCTGGAGGCGCGGGGTGCCGGCACGAAGCCTCAGGGCGCCCTGGACTCAGTTGAGTCACAATAACTGTAACCCCTTAAGTTTAGGAGGGACATCCCCTGCTTGGTTTCATTGGAAGCTGAAAGGAAAGCAATCAGCTTAGGAGGCCATTTTGAGACTTCCCAAATATACATCCCGCAATGACCTTTGCCACAAAAGCCTGTAGCATGTTCACCAGATACTGTTCAAACATCCTTCTGGCCATGTCCTTGACCGTTCCCTCTTTGGTGCGCCAAAATAAACATGGCCAGCCCAGAACCATGCTCCAAGAATTAAACAAAGGCGGCGCCTCGTTCTGGCCGGGACGATCCACAAACCTCCACTTACCCAGGTTTGTTTGTGGCTCATTTAACCCCCCGAGACAAAGCCATTGATTTTGCTCCAAGGCACAGGTTGATACCAACCCGCATAAGCCCATTGAGGTGTTCCAAATGGCCATGGCTGATATAGGCGGGTTCCACCACCTTTGTTCCGCATGGCTTCTTCCTTTTCCTTGTTTTCCCATTTTTATTTTATTTTATTTATTGGGGGGGGGCTTCTTTCTGCGTGTTTTTCCCTTCTGTTATTTATTTTCTTTTTTGGGTGGGGGTGGGGGGGTGGGGAAAAAGAGGTCTTTTAAGCGCGAACTTGTGCTCCATGAGCTCGGCTTCCTACGCGGGAAAGCCGGACGGACCTGGCCAAGTGGATCGGATCTCTAGCACCTTCCATTTCCATTCTGAACCCAGGGATCGGATTCTGTCCGTATCTTTTCTTTTCAGGCAACCCTCGAACACCCAGGGGGAAACCAGCGATCGGATTTGGAAAAGAACGATGGTTGAAAAGAATGGAGGATCAACACCTAGAATCCCGACTGGCTTTCAGGTCACCGGCCGGTTGTTCTCATGGTTTAGGGTCCTCAACGAGAGTCGCGTCCGTGTAGTTGACACAGGACACGACAAGACCCAATGGACAAATCATGGCGATTCCGTGCCAGAAGTTTCCTCGGGGTGCCTCATGGAAGCGCGGGAGCATGGAAAGCAAGACCGGGAGACGCCAAACAATCCGGCCAGAAAAAGTGACTGACCAACGAACAGTCGAAAGTTTGCCAGACACTGACGGTGAGGGTAAATAAAAAGGGCACCAAGGCCCCTATCTCGAAGTGACGTAGAGGGAACATTGACAACTGACCATCATTGCGGCTTATTTGCGCTCCAACCGCAGACCCCCGTAGAGCCCCTACATCCAGCTTGCCTTGTGCAAAACCTGCCCGTTCCGACTCCCGCCAGCGCTTGTTTGCGGCGAGAAGCCCACAGGATATCCGGGCGGATGCAGCGCCAGTGCTGCGAGCACGGCGATGCTCAAAATGCGAGTGGCGCGTCGGGCCATCACGACTCGCGCGAGGAGCGAAGTGGCAAGCAAGCGGACTGGTGCCTTGAGCCTTCAAATGCCTGAGCGTCAGCCCATACCGGTAATATGAAGGCCCAAATGAGTAGAATGAGGTTGTGGGATGAATTGCTCTAAAACCAAACATAGACATGAGAGGAGTCTCTGCAAATGATCGACGCACTCTGAGCCTCGCGCCAGGCGCGTGAAGTCACTGGGCGGCAACCACAGGCTGGCGCCGAGGAGCACGTGGTGCCTCAAACCCATCTGCCTACTGTGGATGGTTGAAATTTTCCATTTCGCACCACCTAGGAAACCCTACCTAGGAAACCCCGGAAGGATGATTCCCCTGGAAATTACAACAAACGTTATGGCTTCAAACATGATTTTTTACACGTTGCAGGATTTCGTCCATGCACAGTACCTCAAACCGGAGGCCTTGATTTTCACGGACCCACTGAGTCGGACAGGACCTCTACTCGGACAAGGACATCAAACAGCCAACCATTTTGAGACAAGATTCTTAGGGAAGCGTGGGTCGTTTCAATCCGATTCCCCCAGGAAGTTGCCCCTGGAGCTATCTGGAACCAAACTATTAGGGACCACAAAGCTCAGTTCAAACCTGGCCCAAAAACATGCATGCCGTTTTGCTTGGTCAAATGCCTGAACCTGAAAAGAGGGGAAGACGCGTAGATTGCAGTGTGTAGGGGTAGCTTGGGTCGGAGTGGAGAAAGCCTGCTGCTTCAACTTCGCAACTAAGGCAGAATTGGATCCACCCACGAGTTTCAAGTCGACTACATGAGAAAGATGGCTTGTCGGTCCCCAACTCTGCGAGCTCGACATCCATCGCAGTTCCCAACTGCGGCTGCGGCGGTAAAGCCTGCAGTGCCCGAGGCGCCTGGGGTGCCTGAGGCGCGTCACCGGTACCAGTGGCTTGGACATCCACTCGACTCAAAACCCTTCCCAGCCGCATCGACCCAGAAGCCGGGAAGAAAGAACAACACTTCACATGCAATGGCTTTACTGACCATGGCATGGATACAAACCGAATTGGACTGACACCGAATGAACTTGAGGCTTTGCACTCAGCGCAGCGCAGGATCCGCCAGTGGCGCTGGCTGCGGGTCTGGAAAGGCCTGAGGCAGGCTGGGCCAGCCGCCGAATCGAGCCCCGTTCTGCTTGGTTTCATGGGAAACTGAAAGGAAACCAATCAGCTTAGGAGACCATTTTGAGACATCCCCCCTTAAACAAAATCCCGCAATGACGTTTGCCACAAAAGACTGCAGCATGTTCACGGGATGTTCAAACAACATCCTTCCGGCCACCATGTCCTTGCACTCATGGTAGCTCACCAGTCCCTCTGTTGTCCGGCAAATTTGGATACCTCCAGCCTGTCGATTCGTCCGGCTCCCATACCACTAGCTGGCCTGGGGTAGGGTGACCTCCAAGCTCTCGAGCAGGCTGCATCTGGCCTTGGGGCGAACGAAGACAAAGGGGGGGATGTCCCCTTGCACTTGCTGGTTCCCGTTGGGCCGCTCTTCCCCTAATGGGCGAACCTTTTGAAAGCATGGAATTCGCAAAAACCAGCCATAAGGGAAGCCACAGAGGTGTTGGGAATGAACCGGTTGGGATTCCCTGAAAGGAAACCACCAGGGGGATGGCAATTGGGGTCACTCCCTCATTCCCTGCCACCCGAACCAGCAAGAGGGAATCCTTCACTTTTGGGGAAACAGCCCCAAATCTCCCTATGATTAATTACTCCAGGTAACACGAGGAAACCACCACTTGCGGAAACCCGAGGTAGCCCACCATCCTGGCAGCCCCAGTGCTTCTGAAACGACCCAGGCGATCCCTGAAGTGTGGAGGTCGGAACTGCTGGCAAACATTTCTGTGATACTTCTGGTTGAAACTTCCCATGAACGAATGATGTACTGAAAGAGAGACACATTCTTCTGGTGTCATAGAAGTGACTGAACAAATCTGCCTTCTTTCTCGCAGCGTCCACGAAGAAAGCGGGAGGAAGGCGAGTCAGAGAAGCCCAGGCATAACCGACTCCTCGTGCGGCGAACCTCACCTCCTGAGTGGATGGCCCAAAAAAAGTAACCACACTTTTTATTTACCACTAACATGGTCGTCCAGGAACTCGGGACGTGAGGAAATCATCGTTCATACAGTTTCAAGGTGGCAAAGTCTGTTATTCTCCCACGCCGTGGAACCTGACTGAAAGATCATGTTCCTCTCTTGGTCTGTTTATTGGGGTCCTTACCCCTGTTAGCACTGGTTTTTCCCTGCTCCAAACGAAGCATGAATACATATGAAGCACGGTCGAAATTACTTACTTACGGCGGTTTCGCTACTTAGTTTGAGAGTCCCTATCGTTTTCCAGCGTTCCCATCGTTTTCCAGGGGTATCTTGTTTTTTGAGAGTCCCCAATCGTTTGCCACGGCTTTGTGTATTTTCACAATATCCATGAAACGCCGGATATTAAACTCAGCCGAAGTAATTTTGACAGTACTTCATATACATGCTAGAACAAATCAGTCAGGCCTCCAAGCCAGGTCTCTTCCGGGTGTTTTTGGTTGCGAAAACCAAAAGTCACAACGGGTTGGGTTTGGGTGGTCTTGATTCGCCTTCCCACCCCAAGGCTTCCGAAAGTTCCTGCTCACCGATCCCTAGACCACCCCTCTCTTCAGCCTAGTGTCCTCCACCGGGCTTTCCCTGCCTTTGCGACACGCCCTTCCGTGATGTTGAGCCATTCCCAATTCCACGCCCTTCAATTTGTGCTTCTTCTTGCGCTCAATACCTAGCTTGACAGCTACCGTTTCCCCCAACCCAGAACTTCCAACTCAGGTCCTCCCTTGGGGACCAGAAAGAAAAGGTGATCACCTGAAAGCGGGCCACCTAAAACGGGAACCCGAAAACTGGGAAACTCACTTTGGTCATATGTCGATTCGCATGCAAGTGAGGCTTCCAAAGTGCGTCACAAACCCAAGGGATCCTTTCAGGTCTTGAGGTCTCAAGTTGTGTTTACTTCAAAACCGCTTTCCGACAATGCGTCCCCTTTGGCTTTCAATAACCATAACGGAAACCTCAAGTCAAAAGCAGCGAAGTCCGACCAAATTTGGCTTGCCTCGATGGGATATTGGGGTTTATATGGTAAAGGGCAGCCAAAGGTTTCCTTTACTGACTTTGTGGTTTAGGACACAGCTACATACTGCAACCATATTGTTTCCAACAGTGAGTAAACTCCTCGTGCCGCTTCGGCCGACGCGTCGCGTGGCGTTGGGTCTGCGGCCCCCGGCGGCCTTCCGGATCTGCGCCGCCCGCAGCGTGACGCGCCGCGAGAACTCCGCCGCCGCCTCCGTGCAACGCGCGGCGCCTGGCGTATCGACGGGTGGCGCCCGCGTGGGCGAGTCAGAGAACCCCAGGCACCGACTCCCTTTGCGAACCTCACCTCTTGAGTGGATGGTTCAATAAAAGTGACCAAACTTCTTGTTTGCCACTAAAATAGTCCAGACCAAAGTGAGCAAAGTCCAGGAACTCGGAAGGTGAGGCAAAGGGTACCCTGTAACAAAAACACCTCTACGTGTGGGTCAAAGAAACCCCAAAAGTGCAGCATGGGTGATGTCCAGTCAGCTTCCTTCCAAATCCCCACCCCACAAACGCGGCTCAGCTTAGCTCAGACCCACGGAGCAGGAATCGTTCCAGGGACCTTGCCAACGATGTGTGACACTCAAAGTCATAACGAAAAAGCAGAAACTTTGTACCGCGTAACTGTGCGCCGAATCCTACCAGCCGGCATTGCGAAGGAGGTCATGCAGTATGCTTCTCGGAACAATTTCCGGAATTCAACTCAAACGCTCTGGCAGGCCTTCTCACAGTCGGCTGCCAAAGAGAGCCTCTGGTAATAGTACCTCTGGTAAATTTTTCAGTTTTGGGACCTCTATGATGGGAATCTCTCTATGCGAAGTGGCTGGGAAGTCTGACTTGAGATCGCAACCAGCCGACTTGCTCCTGGTTTTGTGCTTAGACCAGGTGAATGGGTGGCATCTCCACACGTTTGCCCAGGCACCGGGCAAGCATGTCTTGAACCAATAGGTAGGTGCTTAAGTTCAGGAAAGGATCTCGTTTAGCTTCACTTCAGCATGGGAAACGCAACCCTCCGAATCAACATGAAGCATGTCCGAATGTGAAAGATGAATACGTGTACATCGGCTTGAGCCAAACTCATGGGTGGCGTGTTCATCATGCAAGCCGCGCTCCGGGTTTTGCCTTTTGTTCTTTTTCTTGGGTGGTGGGGGAGGGGGGTGGTGTTACCGTACGCTGACACATTGGCTTTTGGTCACAGGAGCGTGGCAGATCCTCAAGCGAAGCACGCAAGCTAGGGCTGAGTTCACTACCAAGCAAGAACCACATCTGTGGCAAGCATGGGAGACCTGCGCGCGCAGTTTCGTCCGCGTGCGTGCGTCTGCGTGTCCGCATACCAAAGGGAAATAGCCAAGACTTCCAGATGAAATCAGCAAACTACTTTTTTTTTGACCAGCCGATTCACGATGCCCGGATCTCAGACATTGGAAAAACCCATGCTTTTTTGCACTGCAGCCACTAAAATTCCGAAAGGGTAAATATTTTCACGTGACTTCCTAGTCGGATCACTGTCGAATATCACAAACTTGTGGCTTCCTGTGAAACCATGATGAACCATGTGTCGTGTGAAGCCAAACATGGACAAAGAAACACGGCGGAGATCTGCCGGCATACCTGGTTCAAAAACTATGATTGCTCGGTGCCCGTGCCCAGGTGCGGTTGCAAGCCCTTGCCCCTATGCAGGAAAGCGGGGAAAGCGTCCCCTGAAACAGTGGGTTCGGGGCCTGGCATCCCCCCCCTCTACTGCCTAAGCAGAAACAATAGACCTAAAGCATGTTCCTTGCACAGAGGTTTTCGGACATAGCTGAAACGATTTGGCCCGAGTTTTTCCTCCACATACAAAGGTCCCCCTGTTTCAGGGGGCATAACTTGGATGATCAAAACCTGGCTCGAACAATGTTTCCTCCGCACGATGCTGATCACAGGGAAGCCTCCCACTGCGGAAGGGATATGAGAACACAAAGAAAGACCAACCAAGAAACCAGCCAACTGAATCAACACGGATGCGTAGCCTGCTGAAAGGGACACCCTCAACCGCGTTTTCCTACTCTCGAAAACTCCGAATTTGTCCGAGGCATCTTAGTGGCTTGTACCCCAAACACCTAGTATTTGGGTCCACCCCCCAACATGGTGGTTTTCCGTTGGTTTGTCTTTGAAACCCGCTCCAAGAAGGGATTTCCTACAAAACAACAACAACCCATCTGGAGGGGGGGTTTTCGCGTCGCGGGCCTCTGCACTCGTCGTCGCGGGAGTGTTCGGCACTTTGGGCGCTGCGGCGGGGAGCCTCCTCCGAGTGAGTTCCTTCCTCAAACCAAGCATGGTTTCCGTGGTTTCATTGCGTGCGAATCTTTTGGGAAAACACTTCAGTAAAAAAGGGCTACTGAAGGTTCACTCTCTCGGCCAGTGCACACGGACTGGCTCCTCATTCAAAGGCGCCATGCCGCACCAATCTCTTGACCCGAGTCAAGATTTGTCGGGCTCCTCAAAGGGCCCCCCACGGAATTGTTCTTAGAACTTTGATTTCAAGTGGACGGACCTTGCAAGATGGGTTTCCCGACTTCAGAACACCCAAAGCCGTACCCCCCCCCCCCCCCTATCCCCACTAAAATATACTAAAATGGGTGGTGCACCTACCCCAAAATGGTACCATCGGTTTTGACCCACAGCCATTTGAGACACGCCGTTGTCGCTTCTTTCTTAGCTGTGACCGTGTCAAGCGTAGGTGTGTCAACTTCTTGGAGAAGCTCGATACCTTCGAGCGAAACGCCGGCGCGGAGCCTCTGACTAGAGCCTTCGCCTCACTAAATCTTTGGTCCCGGACCGGCATCTGAAATCTTAGTGGGTAATTTTGAGTGGGACTGCAAGGCGTAAGCATCTTGCGGATTGATTTTGAAGAAACTACGTAAGACCCCACCAATGCCTCCATCGGTTGATTCACTAAGCGCACTTGCCCAAAGCACCTGGACATGAACGGATTCTGAACATGGAACACCACCTGATCTATCAGCAGTTTCTTCATGCCGGGTTTCCACCGACTAATCAACCAGAGGTTTGTGAATCTTGGGTTTCCGGAAAACATGGGGCACTTTGTTTGAGACTTCTTGTCCCAGGGGCCCACCACTTAGAGGCCCCTCAGTTTTCCCCTTTCTTGGACCTCCCATTAAAACGCAACTTTCGGGGACATCCAGTGACCCTCCCAAGGACTGGCCCCATGATTTTAACCAAACTAACCCGTTCAGTGGTAGGCTCGCAGGAACCGATTCCCATGTCTGACTTTGAATTCCTGAAGCCGACAAAATAATGACCCCAGAAGGAAGTCAGTTGCCCAAAACCGACAAACAAAAGCTTCACTTGTTGGCACCAGCAAACATGGGCTCGGTTGCTTTCTGCTCCCCTGCTACAAGTTTTTAACGTTTAGTGGCTTGGAAAACCCATTCGTTGGCAAAAAGCGATTCAGTCCTAACATCCCTTGGCAAAATGCACCAAAGTGGACCATCTGAACACCAGAAGCTCAGATCCGGTCGGCCCGGGGAGCTCCGGTCCTTGCGGATGGGCGCCAGCGGGTGCCTGCCATAGCGCTGCCCGTAGCTGCGCGCGCCTGGGGATCCGTCGCTTTGGGGGGGGGGGGGGAGCTCCCGGGGTCCTTTGTGGGGTGTGCCAGTCAACACATGGGATCTCCCCCTCAAAAAAAGAACAGAACAGAGAGTTTGTTGGTTGGTTTCCCTGTCAACAACACCCAAAAAGGTGTTGATATAGTATATTTTCATCAAAACACTTGAGCATACCCTTTTTGGGGGATTGTTTTTTAGGAAGAACCTTGAACAGGAGCACCAAAACCACTTTTTTGGGGTAGCTCTATTTTGACACACATGGTCAAGGCGAACCACAGCCGATTGCCGCAATCCCAAGTGCCACTTTAGCGAGGGCCTATCAAGGGCCAATACAGTGGATGGACGAAACCTAAGAACTGTAAGTACCAACAAAGCTTATGGTTTCAACCATGGTATCAAAGTGCTGCAAAATGGACGTCGGCTTTCTCAGTGGGGTTCCTTTGGATTGCTATGGGGGGGGGGGGGGAAACCTCTGGCCCCACTCTGGCCTCAGCATGGGAGTTCATTGAGCGTCTTGTATGCCCTCCCCCCCCGAAAAAGAAAAAGAAAAAAAACAAAAACCAACAAACGTGAGGGGAACTCATGAGCCAACAAGCCCTCCAACCCCGGAACATCCGGTGGGTTGAGCACGCGAACATTCTCGCCCATCGGGTGTTTCGAAGCCCATGCTCGGGATCCGGGGGCTTGATTTTTTCGGCTTTGCTCGGGGAACTCATCTCTACTCTTGGTATGGTAAAAGTTTTTTGCAGACCCCCAGTAAAAATAAACAGAACCAAAACACTAAAAAACCAAAACACATGCCAAGAACAGTGAAGTCTGCTTCTTCTTGCAATTCGGCGTGGGTCAAGTGCTGTCCTTGATTTGGTTAGTCTTCCGCCCAGCAACAAGTTGTTGTGCTTGTGGGGCCCAACTGTTTTGGAATCCTCAACGTGGTTGTTTTTGAGAGCCCATTAGGGGTTGGGGCTTTTGGATGGACCCATTTCGCATTCCGGTCACAAGAAAGGATCAATCCAATTATCCGACGTTTGCAGAACATAGACATGTTTGAAGTTTGAAGGGTCTTTGATACATTTTGAGCCACCTGCTGGGCGAAACGAGATTGGCAACCCGCTGGGTGTTCAGAAATGGGGGGGACCTCAAAAGTGGTGTTGCTCTCCTGCCAATTTGGTGGTGTGGATTGGCAGTTTGGTGGTTACAGGTTTGTTACCCATTTGCATCTCTACAATAGGGCTTCAAATCCCCAAACCACCAATCCAGGCCACCAACTAAGGGCTGCCTGACGAACGCTACCCGCCAAAAAGGAAGACAGGGGTCGACGGAATCATTCGCCTGGCTCCGCCAGGAGCTCTTTGTAGAGCACCTGTGGGTGTCGACGATCGGTGGGCTCACGATATATCCCCTCATACTTTGCATGGGCAAAGTCCTGCACCAGGTGGCAAGTGGTTTATTCCAGCAAATATAGGGCTTCTTCCATCCCAACTGGCGAAGGACTTTGTCCATCCACAGTATCACCCCACAACCAAACTCACAGGAAGATTGTCCAAACATGTATGTGATGCTTGGGAACCCTGAGGAAACAGGGGGGTGGATACAAGGAAACCTAGAAGATGAGGTGTGGCTGCAGAAAAACGGATGGACAAAAATCCACGCCAAGCCCCAGCTGGGATGGATAAAGCTCTATTTTGGGATTTGCCACAAGGTGCCACAAGTGAATTTGCCCACGTGAAGAATCAACAGCCGGAGGGACCCCCTCCACCCCGCAACCCAAAGCAGCCATTCGGTCGCCTAACACACCATTGGACTGCCATTTGGGGGGCTGTTGGTGCAGCAAAACCACAACCGGGGGTCACTGAAGTTCCCCATGGAAGTTTGCACTCTTGGAGACTTTTTTGGGGAAATAGCTGGGAAACCCTGGATACACCCCTGGATGTTATTTGTTTTTAAACCCAAAACGGGGTTCCCCCAAAGGAGATTCCTTTAGGGACAAATGGGAAACCAGCCTTTGCCACCCCTGGCAAGTTATTTTTGAGAGTACCCCTCCTTTTCTGACACCAAAACTAGGTTCTTCAGTGGAGAGGTTAGAATAAGGGTACCAACTTTTTTTCTGTAGTCTATTTCAGTGGGGAACCCTCCCAACCAAAAAAGGGGGTGAGACAGGGCACCTAGCTGGTTGAACAAAATGGGGAATCAATTTCTGGAGCTATTGCAGCCCAAGAGTGTGGTTGGTGGCTTCCCAACCTTCTGGTTGGTAAAAGGGCACTACTGGACCTAGAAAAGGACCACATCGCCATCATCTTTGGGGCTTCCAACCTGAGAACAAAAAACGGCGACCGCCGCTGGGAGCCTTCCCGACTCCCCGCTCCCCGTTTTCTCCGGCTGGGCTTGATCCGAAGCTCGGCCTCATGGAAGGCCTCCCGGCTCCTGGAAGAATTTGTGGCCGGTTGGGGCTTCCGAACCAGCCCAACCATGGCTTTTTTCCGGGAAAAATGCGCCATTTTTTTGGATATGGCTTTTAAAGGGGCCCATCCCCTCCAATGGGAAAAAAGGGTAGAACTGCACAACTAGGTTCGTTGAAAGGGAAACCAGATGGAACACAGCGATGTTTGGGGTCTTTCTATTTGGGGTGAATTGAATTTTGTGCCCCAGATCTCTTTGCCTGAAAGGGAAGGCACATTTGCTGAGCTGAGAAGCCGCTGCTTTCCAACATACTGAATAGGTTCAATGTCAAGCTAAAGAACGACGTGCCCGGGCCAATTCATTGGATCCAATGACATGATCCTACATGGTAGTCAACAGACTCAACCGGTTTATATAATACCACTCACCGCCTGCATTCTGACCAAAGCATGGCTCTCCACTGCAAATATCTATCTTAGAGCTCAACATCACGCCGGACATGCCTCAACCACGGTGCACAGGAATCCTTGATTTCCAAAGCTCCTTTTATGTCCCCTATACCGCAAACCCCATCGAAAATTAATGTGCAAGGGGTATGTGCCAAACTAGGGGCCCTGCAAATGGTGGTCTTGAATTGGTGTCTCTTTCAAGCCTGAAACGGGCACCCTCCACAAACACACAAAGACATAAGAAGGGCTCGCAAGTCCATCACTTGGAATCTGACAAGGATAAGTTTTACTTGAAGTCAGTAAACACGCTTTAGTCCAATTTTGCTCGTGCTCAAGTTCAGTGTTGGTGAAGTGTGGCAAAGAAAGTGAAAGAACACAAACGGCGAATGACTCAGCAGGCTTCTGCTTTGTAACGGGCAAGTTGACAAACTTTCAGGAAACCCGATTCCGGCTCCTCTCTTGGAAGGCTAGATTCAATGGGCTTGAAGCGCCACATCGTTGCTGACACTCACTTGAGTGGTCAAAAGAAAGGTAGCCAAACTTTTTGGGTTGCCAGACCAATAGGCTAGATTCAATGGGCAAAAAAGGTAACCAATCTTGTTGATTGCCACCAGGCCCAACAAGCCCCTTTCTGACGACTCTCTCTGGCGTCCTGTCGCCCATTCCCATGGCCCATGGCGCCAGGCAAGCTGCTGCGATTCCCGATCGATCGACTCCCCAAGCCCAAAAGGCGAGGTGTGAATCACAGGGGGACTCTTGAATCCGCGGGTTTTCAGATGCGCCACATGGAGGCGAGAACCAATGTGAAGGGACATGGTTTATCGGAGTATGTCGCTTCAAGAACTGTCCGCAATCTGCTCAAAGATCCCCGAACATCTTGCCGTGAAAGTCTGACCCATGCGCCAGCCCCGCTAAAGCCAGCAGCGAAAGCGGAGTGCGGCATCCGCGTGGGTTCGTCACAAAACCCTACGAAGACTCTTGGGTTAGATTCTCGGGCAAAGATCTTGCTTTTGTCAACCTGGACCCTCAAAATTCCCAACAATTGTCTATTGCCCGAAAATTATGGTGGGTGAAATCCAATCTTTTATGGGTAGTCTGAGGGTTCAGGAAGTTAGATTCGTCATGGTCGTCATGGTTGTCAGGGGACCTCCCATGGAGTCATGCTTACCACAATGCTTACAGCCAAGCGCCCCGAATTAGCCGTTCACGCTTGGCGGTAGCCAGGCACGAAGATGCACCCCTCGGAAAACCCATGTGACAGCCATGGGGTTAGGAGATCACTTTTTGGGCCATTGGGTCGAAACATGGGAGCCCAAACCGGGGAAACAAAATTCGGATTCGCTGGTTGCAAGTAAATGTGACGCGCCATCGAGGCACTGGTGATGGATCGACTAACGAGAGTTTATCATTCCTTACCTGGACCCTTGGCACCTCAAAATGAAGGTTAACTTTTTGAGACATTCACAAGTGAACCAAGGGAAAACCAAGAGGTTGGGTCAATTCGCCTTGGACGTCTCTGACATGCTGTGCACCGGAAGAATCGAAACGCCCACGAGACTTTTTCCGGATCGATTTTCCTCCAATCGTCCTTTGGTTGAAGCCTTGGGTCTTGCACCAAGTCAACCCACCAGTTTCAGGAGGCAACCATTTGGTGTCTTGTTTTGAGGGAAACCCTTTTTGGGCGGACTTTTCACGGGAAAGGACATGAACATGGCTCATGGCTCATTTGGGAGGGGTTACCCCTATTTTGAGACGACAAGCCCATTTGGGTTCAAATTGGGAGGATTCGCATCCAGTGGAACACTATCTTCCGGATTGATTTGGCGCAGACTTCCGGCCAAACAGGACCTCCCTGGAAATGGCGCTTGCAAATGACGCCAGTGAGACCGGAGCCCATCTGTGAGCTGTTGGCATTAACCACCTGCTGCTTTCGCAGAGAAGTTCCGCAGAAACCGTGAACAAAAACGCCTCCTGTAAGGAGATCCTTTGAGGAGTCTGGGACAGTGCTCTTGACCAATCTGCTGATGATTTCTGTTGAGGGAAAGCAGGGCTTCCAGCCCACAAACAACAAGGCACACTATGCTCTTGCATGATTTGGGAAACTGCAAACATGTCTTCCCCTCAAACCTCCAGTGGCCATGGGAAGAATTTGCACCCCTTCTTCGTATTTGATGTTCAAGGGTAACCCTTCCCAAAAAAGAGGGAACAAGTCTCACCCAAACAGAGACCCTTGGGGTTGATTCCCCATTCTCTTCAGCCATCGTGCTGTTCAAAACCTAGCTGTTTCCCTGGGTTTTTGATGGTTTCCTGAAAAGATCCGGATCCCGAAAGAATGGGGGAGCTTCCCCTGTGCGAAAGCAGGACATTATCTCGGACGGAACATCGGGGCCGCTGGCCGCAGCGCGATGTTCTGATACGTGACGTCTTCGCACCTCGGCCGGAAGTTGCGGATGGTTCGACCAAAAAACCTGCTGGTGCCATAGGCAGGGAATGAGAATTGAGATGACCCCCGATTTAACCATCCAACTGGTGGCTTCCTTTAAGGGAATATCCAGCTTCATTCCAATTCTCCTTCCCTGCTAAGTGAGCGACAGCCTGAGAAAAAAAACGCTTCTGCAAAGGATCACCGGGCTGGGTTAAAGTATACCCAAGAAAGCCAGGTTGCCCTGGAGCCCAACCAATCTAGATGAAGACTCCCGGTTGATTAGTAGGGTTGTGCCTCTTGGGGCGCTTGAGGTACAGCCCCTTGGAGGTTTCGGGTGAATTTGCAGAATATGTACGTATATATGTATAAAAATACATATGTATTTGTACACATATATAGATATATGAATAAACATGTCTATCTGTGTATGCATATAATGCATATATATATATATATACAATATGCATAACAATCAACTGACTCCTGACACCGGACATTCGCTGAGGTCGCAAAGCCAGGACTGGTTTTTTTGGGGGTGAGGCGCACCCCAAACTTCTTTGCTGAAGTCCCCTGGAAAAAAAAACAAATCCAGCAGTTTTTCCAGTTCCTTTAAACCAACCGGGTGGAACAAAGCAGATTCTGGAGCACATTGGAAGGTTGGGTTTAAGGGGTTCAAGCGCCTCACCATGTACCATACGCTTTCGTGGCCAAAATGCCCAGCCCGAAATCTAAAAACGCCCACCCTTCGCGGTTGACGCGCTTGCTTCAGATTCCAGAGGAGCTTCCAACCACTGCCACAGGCCCTTTTGAACGAAAGGGAATGAAACGAAACGTGCGAAACTTTGAGGTGGTGATTTTGGAGGTGGACACCTTGGCCCACCTCTGGCTCCACCCTGAAATCGAAAAATAGCTTTGGATACCCCAAAAATCCTGTCGCGGATCATTCTGGGGCCCGCGGCGCATTGCAGAGCACCTGGCGCAAAAAACGTCCCGCGGTTTTTTGCAAGGCCCAGTGGTGTAGTGGACGGTCAAGGACCCCCCCTCCCCCGGTGCACAGAAAACAACAACACCAACAATCTGAGTTGTTTTGTAGTACACCCTGGGATTACACCCTTGGGAAATGACGAAACATGGTTCAGAAAAACACGTTTTTACGCGGAAAATGCGCCTAAATGCGGTCAATACCCAGTGGGTGTACTTTCAGGGTGTAATACACAATCCCTGAGAAACAACAACAAGGCCCAAACAAGAAAGCATGAGCAAATCAACGTGCACCTCTCGAGGCCTCACCCCACCTGTAGGAAAAATGGTTTCCCCCCAAACTGCCCCTGGAAGGAAAATCGGGTGAATTCTTGATATATAGCTGCTATATAGTGGTGCCAGTAAATGGGAGCAATGGCTTTAGGGCAGCGGAACCATGCTAGAGAGGAAACTTACTTCACTCTGAAAAACTGGACCTCCCTCTTGAAATGCCTCAAGGTGATCACATGGTGAATTTCTGGGGCCTAAAACACATGGACGTGTGTGTTGTTCTTGCAGCAAACAAAACGGGAAAACCGTTGGTTTCCAAAGATCCACTTTGTTGGATCCGCCATGACAGTTGAGTTTGGTAAGTGCCCCTATTTCCCAATCGAAAGTTGGCGCCGACTGCCATCCTCTCTTGACGACTGAAGACGGCAGCAAATATTGACTGTTACCCAGTTCACCGAAAAAAACAAGGGGTGAAAGCTGAGTGGAGTCGCCGTAAGTTCCCTACACAACCCTCACACCAATCCACACAATTCCAACTCCTCCTGCCCAAAATCCATCCAAACCCTAACAGAGCAGTGGGTGGTTGGCAGCTCCCGCCGGCTCGTGAAGGCGCCTTTCGGTCCGTCTGCAGAAAGGACCCGCTGAAGTCACTGAAGCGCACACGCTCGATGCGGATGGCCTGCAAAACATAGGCGAGTCGACTCACCTCGAGCCAGCCGTCGCTGAATGCCCAAAGGACCCAGAAAAAATGGTGATCCTTTGGGGGCGACTAAACATGGACGAAAAAGAGGACGCTAAGCGGTCAAAAGGTTGATTCGCTGGGCAAGTGAGACTTTGCTTAAGCAACCGTTCCGTTGGCTTCTCTTCAAGTAGGGCTTGGTTGGTTGACCCTTGAGCCTCGGGATTTTAAGCCAGTATGGTTTGATTCATGTTTTAACCACTACCCTACCTCCAACAATCATCGAAGCTCTGCAAGATTACTTTCCCTTCTCGGGAACCTGTCGGACCGAGCGCCAGGGGATAATTGCTGAGGTTTCCTTGGCCATGGTTTTGCTTCAACGGTTTCAATGGCCTCCCTTTTTGGCTTCACTTTTACAGAATAGGGCCGTGGGGTTGATGTTTTAACACGGGCTAACGAACCTTTTGGTTGGCATTTTCTTAAGAATTGGACGCGCGGTTCGTTAAACCACTTGCTGAAACGTCTGAGAGTGAGAAAACTACGCGAAGAACCTAGACAACGGTCCGGCAGATGGTGCCGTGACATGCGTGCCGGCACTGCTTCAGCTTGGCCGACTTGCGCCACTGAGTTGCTGCTGTGTCAACCACTTCTCCACCTGAACTTGACGGCAATCAGGCCAGGCGAGCCAAAAGGCGGAAGCCCAGTAAACAAGCACATCACTATCAGGCCTCTGCTTACGGTAGTCGACGACAACCCCCTGCACACTGGGCACTCCACGTCATCGCTGTTGTGGGGCTGAGCCGGTCTGGCAGCGGGCGGGCTGCCTCGCAGCCTTGCCTGCAGGGCGTGGCCTAAGACACTAAAACTCAGCCACCCCCAGAGAAACGATGAGAAACGCGCAGGCGCGAAACGTAGTTTCCTGAATCGAAGCAGTGAAAGCAACCTTTGCCAGCCAAGGCCTGGGGATCTCCTTCCCCAAACGCGCCGCGAGCAAGGCAGCTGCAGCCTCGTCTGCCGCCCTGGCCACGGTCAAGTGGTGTTTGGCTCACCGCCGCCCTCAGCGCCACAATCGTGCCACGCACAATAGCCCCACGCAGGCTGACGCAAAGAGGGACCTCTGCTTCCGCCAGCGGCTTGACGAGCCAGCAAGATCGAGCCGGATGAAGACCAGCACGGCGACTAATCGAGCTTGGAACAATTCCGCGCGGGGCGCCGGAGAAACAAAAACCCTCGCACGACCAAAACACGCATTCCCCTCCTTCGCGCAGCAAGCCAAGGGTCGCCCTGTCTCGCGCCAGCCAGCTGCAGGCTATAGCCTGCAGGACAGCGCAAGGGCAGCAGGATCGCGACAAAGATCGCCAGGAAACTGGCCATGGCAGAAGAAAGCAAGACAAACAAAGCTGGAACACAAGAAAACGGCGCGGCCACCTTCATCGCCTCGTGCAACTCTTCCCGTTTCGGGACGAGTCCTTGGCGATCGCGATCTGACTCTCCCGCTCCGTGTCCGCGCTTGGGAGCAAGTCACGGACGGCTGCGGTGTTCAGGGGCTGAGCCATGGTCGTCTGCTTGTGGCAAGCATTTGATTTCTTATGTTTGACTTGAGCCAAAATGCCTCCGGCTGCTGAAACGTCCACCTTTTATGGAATCCCATAAAAGGTGGGTCGAAGGGGATCACCCTAAGGAACCACTTTCTACCCCCCCCCCCGCCTGCTGCCTTGGATACGTCTAGGGACTTCCACAAACGTAGGTTGGGGCCAGGGAGTTGTGATTTCACCAAACTTCGCCAAGCCATGGCCTCCCCGTCGTTCTCGCAGCCCTCAGGCCTGGCGAGGCTTGAAGTCGAGTCCGCGAGTTTCTCGCACCACGGTTTTTTGAAACCATGGGAAGGACACCATAACGTTTGTGGGCATTTACGTTGGGGAATCGAATCATTCTAGGGCTTCTGAGTTCGGTGGTGCGAAACGGTTTTTGTCCATCACAGTATGAGCCACTGTCAAGGTTTGTGTCCTCAACTGAGTTGTCTTCACTGCAAAGACAAGACAAAAGCAACAGGATTCCAAAGATCGAACGAGCCTTTTTCCTCTGACATGAAGTTTTGGCGAGCAACCCCCTTTCCTATTGGCATTTTTGGTCCTGCATAGACAAATCATGTTGGCCGTTGGAGCACCCGAAGGGAACTGTTGCATTCGGAGAATGACGCACCGAGGGAGTTACACCTCTTGGGTCAACAGGAAGCCCAAAAGGAAACCAACCAAATTTTGCCAGAGACTAACCCGACATCGGTCTTTCAAGCGACCAACTAGCTACAAGGGCTGACATGCACTGTGTGATCCGCACCACAGCAGGTAGCAAGCACCTAGTGATCCAACATTGGCAATATGGCGTGTCGGAAGCTGCTCAGTTGGTCCTTTCTCAAAGTAGGGGAGCCTCATTCGGAAACGTGTCCGAAAGCGTGGAACCCCATTTGCTCTTCGATGGAAACTAGGGTCCTGAGTTTGGAACTCAATGGTAGGGGAGGAACGGCTTTCTTGGGTTGGCCCAGCTGTGGTTTCAGCACCTACTTATTGTTTCCAATCTGCACACCATCAAAACACTTTGCCTGTTTTTTGCACCCCAACCAACAAACGGGACAACCCAACAAAAACTAACAACGGTGAAATTATATAGCTTCCATTTGGAGTTGACCTCTTTGCACAGATGTTAAGCCACTAACTAGCTATCGGGACACTTCGGCGCTTCTCCTGTACACAACTTCCTAAGTTCGAACAAGTGCACGCCTTATAAATCATAAACTTTCAGGTTTTCAGACATATCCTGAAGATGTCGACGCGAGTCTGTGTTCTTTTGAGGGTACCCCTTGTGGAGTGCTTTTAAATAAGGAACACCATAAGCTTAAGGACATTCGAAGCTTTTTTTGGGGGGTCGGGGCAAAGTAAAACCAAAACAACAATAACTTCATAGGGGCGTGCGTTTCGAGGATATTTGGGGCGTGCGTTTCGAGGATATTTGGTTTCCGCCCCCAAAAATGGCTTAACAGCTTTTCCTTTTGGTTCTCCCTTGAAAGGCCCCCCCCCCGGAAAAAAGAAGAAGAAGAAAAGAACAAAACAGAGAGAGTGGCTGAACAGTTGTTCCTTTTGGTTTTCCCTTGAAAGCCAACAAACAAGCAAACGAAAACAGTTTCCTTTGGAGGTTGGGGGGTGGGGGGGGGGGGCTTTTTGTTTTCTTTTGGTTCCCCCCCCCCCAAAAAAAAAAAACACACACACAAAGGAACAGCTCCGGGGTCTCCGATCCGGCCTCTGCGATGGAGGGCAGTAGGTTTGGTCGATCAGGATGCCTGAGGCCCAGCGGACGGAGAGGTCGAGGCTCGAGGACGTTGGTTTAGAGCTCGACAGCTTCACATGGAACCGCAAACAACCCGCCACTCGTAGAGGAAAGAAACTCCTTTTATAAAAGAACATGTACCCCACCTTTTGGGGTGCAAAAAGGTGGTTTTTTGAGAGCTCCATTCAAGTGACCGCCTCAGAAAGGAGGTCTAAAGTGCTGTTTCAAGGGAGACGATTCTTGACATGTTCACTTCAAGCGCCTTGGTGGGAATGAAGTTGATTTAAGAATGGACGCTTTGGTGGACATCATTCACATGGCTCAGTTGCGCAGAGATGAAACAACCACATCCTCATTGATTTCGACCGGTATAGGTGTCTAACCCACCAAAGGGGGAAGGTGGGACGGCGACTGTGGAGTCAGCAGAAAACCAAGCATGTTCCGGAAGAAACAAAAAAACCCAAAAAAGAAACATCTGAGATGCTGATGCTTTGCACCCGCGAACCACCCCCAGAGTAAAGACCAAGAGAGCCTCTTGCTTGGGCGTAAAAGACCATCATAGATCTTGCGCCTCCTCTCGCCATAATGGGCACCCGTTTTGTGTTGTTGATTCAAAAGGGAAACCCCCCTCCCCCAAAAAAGGCTTTTCGGGTACCACTGAGCAAGAGGGTTCCACAGCGTTCCTTTAGGGGAACAAACAAACAGCTGCTGTGGGTTTGTTTTGGGACTTGAACCCCTAGAGTTGCCCTGGGCCCCTCAATTGCCCACGGGCTTAATCCGTCCCACGGAACCACGGCACCGAAGGGTCAGCTGTGCCAGACGCTTCATATAAAAATCCGGTCCCAGCCAGGGGTCCTCTACCACAACTCTTGGCGACCCAGGCTGACCAAAAAAAAACTGCGCCAAGCGGTTCCAGAATGCGGGGTTCAGATTCCCATGTCCCAGAGTTACAACATTTCCCTTCTGACAAAGAATTACAAGACGGTGCAGCGAGCTCTTCTGACAGAATGACAATGAGCTCGCCAATCGGAAGGTATCCCCGGTTGCCCAGGTCAAGATCACAGAAATGAAGAGGATGCACACATGACATCTGGTCCCAGTTTGGAAAAGTCATGCCACCCAGTCGGAAATCTCCGTGTGAAACATCAAGAACCTGTTTGCATGGCATCAATGTTGTAAAACAACAGTCAAGGCGGTTTTTCGGAAACAGGGTTGCTCACAAGCGGGGACTGAAAGAAAGACAAACAAACAAGCTGAGCCACGGATTCGAAAGGGAAGTGACCCCCCATTTAATTCTCCCCGCCAAAAAAACCATTCGCCCTGACAGAACTTCATGATGGTTGCCCAGGATTCATACCCCCCCCCTCTCCCTGACCTTCCCACAAGCTTCCCCTCATTATTAGGGGGGGCCAACTTCACACTGCGCACGGACGAAATCTAGCACCACTTTGAAACCATCGCGTTTGTCGGTATTTGCAGGGGAGTCATATTTACTTCCGTCTGGTTCCTGAGTTCGGTGGCAAAATCGATTTACCGGAAAGCGCCCATGGCGGTTTGCACCCCTGGTGCCTACCATCACATCCAAGAGCTTGAAGCTTTCGAAGGAGACCTCAGCGGTGGGTATAAGACCCCCGAACTTGTAGCTCACTCCCCAAAGCAACCAGAAATAGGAACCAGGAAAGGATATTCAGGCTATCCTCTTGGAACCTTGACGAAATATGGACGGAATCAGGAAAACCAAAGGTGAAAAGGCCGATTCGCCCAATGGACAAGTGAGGCTTCCGTGCGGTTTCCCTTCCAGCGAAAAGGAACCGAGCCTCAGAGAAAGACGAGCGAGTCAATAGCAGTGCCAAGAAAGAAACGTCTCGTTGACATCCAACGAGTTGACTCAATGTATAACGGACTGAAGCCCGGGTAAACAAATTATAACCCACCCAGAAATTAAAACAGCTTGGAATTGGAGGAGCGAGCAGTTGACTTTTGGACAAAACGTCATCTTATTGTTCACAATTGAGGGAAACCGCGCTCATTGCATTTGGTTTGGTTGCGCTTTGAACATGTCAAGGCACAACCCCACGGCAAATGACAATCTGCCACAAGCCTTCATTTGTGTGGCCACCTGTTCTTCAGCAAAAAAGAAACACACCTTTCCAGCAGTGATTCCCTTTAAAGCCAACACGGGACAATTAACAACATATTCTGAAACACGTGTGGACGTACCTCCCAATTCCAACAACTGGTGAATTCCACATTTTTTTTGCGGTCAGTTCTTTCGGGTTCAGGCGACTGGAAAGAGAAAATTTCACACCCGCCCCAACCCACGAGCAGCTGCATTGGGTACACCTGGCTTCCGCTTGAGCGCCGCGAGCTGAGCGCCGCGCGTTGCGCACGAGGCCCTGGGCCCCCTTCCAAGTCTTGATGCGGGCGCCGTGGACCTGGCGAGCTCGCGGCGCGGGAGACCAAGAACGAAGCCGCCGCCAGGGGCATCGGACTCCCCACGAATCTTCTCCGGAAGAATGAGAACATATGTTGCATGGATTTCCGACCAAAAACACCAACAGGGGTAAGGAACACATATTCCTTGAATGGATTCCCCGCGAATTTTCGCCGGAAGGAACACGTACTATGGATGGCGGCGAAATTCGATTCGCGCACCGCTTTGAAGCCATGGGAAACCAGCACGTTTCTCCGTTTTTGCGGGGAACTCTCACTCCGGGGATTCTTAGGTGCGAAATGGAGTTCGTCCATCCACAGTATTTCCAGTGGTAGATCCCCAACCGAGAAGACCATCAGGGGAAGTTAAACTACATATTCTGAAACGCACATGGAAGCAAAAGGGGCACCGAAGTGCATTTCTGGGGTCATCTGGTCATTTGACACGTGCCTCGGAAGATGGAACAGGTGCCCAGGGGATTTGGCTTGTATAGACCTGCTGAAGGCCACGCGCGAACATTGGTCAATGGGTACCCTTCAAACATCAGGAGAAAAATGCTGGGAACCTGAACCTGGGATTTCACTCGCTTCCTAAACGGTACTTTGGATGAGTGGTTTGGTGGTTATGTTTCAATCCCACAAGCGCCATCCTTCAAATCCCAAGCAATCCAAGACATCAACCTGAGGGGTTACATGGAGCTCCAGCCGACTCCTGTGAGCTCCCTCTCCGAAGCCTATCTGGGCGGGCCCCGAAAGCCAGCAGCTCACCCGTGTCGCAAATCTTCTCCCTCCCGCTGGTGGCAAGAAATCGGCCCAGGTTGTATCCCCAAGAATCACTTTGCATTCCGAAACCCCCCAAACGCACGGAGCCCGCGACCAAAAAAGACCAACATAACTCCGGAGACGAGACCCCACAGCTTGCGGTTGGGAAACAAAACAGACCCTTGAAACAAGAACCTTCGCGGGTGACTTTGTTGCAACCCCCTTTGTGAGGTTGTCTGATGGGCAAATCCCCAAGCGGCAACGACTGTCGCTGCTTGGACCCCGCGATTTGCTCAGTGGCACAACTGCCAGCTACTCATTTCCAACTGCAGACTCCTCGCCCCATGTGGGTCGTTTACAGGTGTGGAGTCGAGGTCATATGCCACTTCTCTGGCAGCACGTGCAGGACAACAAAAACCACGAATCCGCGAATCCCAGACACATGACACAACTTGTCCATCTGAACCCTCCCCATCTTTTGATCAGAAGCTCCGCACCCTATGCCGGAAAATGCCAACGGAGTCCCTGGTATCCCCCCTCCAAGGACCGCAACCGTCTCAGGCTCGGGCGCTCTGGGTCACCGTGAGGTTCCGGAAGCGAACGTTCATCACCACCTGGCCCTGACGCTCCGACAGAAGGCTTGCCAAGCGGGGAAACTCCAGGCGCGGAGGTCCAAATGCCACAAAACCCCCATTGGCTGTGGGTCAAAACCCAGGAAACCCCTGGTGAACATCAAAAAAACAGGTGGCAAATGCATGTTCATCCACGCCAAAAGGGGATCGCCATAGGTTATGCAACCCATGGCCATTTGAATGACGATCTTTCTTTTGGAAAAGAGGGTCTCTGCACATCTCGGGAAGGATTGGAGCATCTCTGCCATTGGTTTCTGGCTTCCCGGATTCAGCCTGGCTTTCCAAATTTCCCGCATGCAGCGACACAGGGTGTCCTCTCACCTCCTGAGATTGGTCAGAACAACTCTAGACCTGGCCCTTTAAGAATCCAACATTCAACTGGGCAAGCAAGTTTCTCATCGACAAAAGAAAGCAACTTGCCATAAGGACCCTTGCAGAACTCCTGGTATCTCCATCTCCTTAGGTCCCTCGTTTTTTTTTTTTGGCAAATTACACGTCCCTATACATATAATACATATTTTGCGTCATAGAACAACATATTGTTGCCTCATACATAAAACAAAACAAACGAATGTATACTTGTTCCAGTATGTCCTTTTTTTTAATTTAAACTAATACTAGATATCATATGTACATATGGGTTTGTATTTTTTTACGGGAGCCGGGCAGGAAGGTTTGAGTACGGGGTATGATTCGCATCATACATAGCTACACCGCGCCTCCGCGCTGCGCTCGCCCAAGCTCCCGATGGACACGCCTGCGTCGTGAGGAAACGGGAGGAAGAGTCAAATGGCCATTTAACTTTCAAATGGACTCAGTGTTTCTTCACATTTCCTTATCTTTCAAGGTGTTTCTTCAAATTTGGGGTCAATCAACCTTGAAATTGCTCAGTGTTGCTTTTAATGTTGACCCCATACGGTGGATGGTTGCGAAATCCATTTCGCACCACATAAGAAACCCTGGAATGTTGATTCCCCCGTAAATACCAAAACAAGGGTGTCTCATGGTTGCTCAGGTGGTGCAGGATTTCGTCCATCCACAGTATCATTAATAAGCCCCTGTTCATGAAATAGGGGGTGTCCCTGGGTCTAGTGGGGAATCAATTTCGGAGTGGACACATTGCGTTGCAGCTTCCCGATAAATCATTGTCAAGTTGTAAACGGGCCCTTACATGATCTTCACAATCAGCTGATAGGGATGTGTTTAAATCTGGCAGTCCAATGGCCACCTCTTGCAATGTGTGTGTGTGTGGTCGCCTCAAAAAAAAAGAGAGTGACACATTTTGAAAGCCAGCTGACACCTTGCAACAGGCATTCAATGTATGTTGTTCTGAACATGAAAGCGTTGAACTCTGTCTCAGTTGCCCATTTGCTTTGGGCGAGTGAGCTTTAAATGGTCATGATCAAGGGGCACGGGCATACCGCGTGCCACAGTGGGGTGGCTTCAGGTGACTCTCGCTGCCACAGCCATCGTGTTCCAACATCCAGAAGCCTGGTTCTCAATTCCGCCAAACGGGGCCCTTCCTATCTTTGTCGAACTTTGCTGATCATTTTGGTGCCAGTGGCATGAAGGCCTCTAGCAAGCGCTGCCTATCACATGGTCCGCTTTCTGGCTTGTGCCATGGTCCAACTGGTTTCCTTGGGCCGTGAGGCATGGCCCCAACTCGACCCTCAGGATGGCTATAACCTACTTCCCCGACGCCAAGGAACATCTGCTCAGATCGAGCGGCTTGGCCAAACAAGTTACACATCTTCTCGTTTGCCACTCACATGTCAAAGTCACCATCAACCAGGACATGTCACCAAACTCGAAAAGTGACTAAAGCAACCAAACCCGATAACCCAACCTTAGAGGAATCTCCTGTTTTAGCCTTTTGGTTTGGACTTCACCGAAACCTGCGACGAGTCCACGTCCGAGTCAACGTCGACGGCTCGCCTTTGCCGCGTCGGAGCTGCAAGTCCTCCCCGTAGATGTCGTGGGAGCCCTGGACCGACTGACCCGACCCCACAAACCGAGCACTGGACCCAGAACCTGCTCTTGGTTGACTTTGGAAGGGGAGCAAAAGATCAAATTCTAGCAGTTAAGTGGTTGGATTTTAACGACTAAACCACTGGCAAAAATGTAAAATCTTTCCGAACAACAACCATGTGTTTACACAAACATGCCAAGAACTCCGAAGACTTCGTTGTCTTGTGTTTGTTTGCAAAAGTGGGGTAGTTTCATGACATGACTGCAACACAAACGCTGATTGTCACAAGCAAAACCTTGAGCGGCGTAGTGCGCCTTAACATCCGTTCGTGTTTCTTAAACGGCAGGAGATGCACGTGTTCCCAGCAACCAACCTGGAGTTGCATGTCTCCAGCGACTAAAATGTCTGAGTCGGCGCTGGCATACATCCTGGCAAAGACCATTTCTGTGGAGGAACAATTGATAGCCATGATATGCAGGTGTATGTACATATATATATATATATTTCTATACACACATAAGACTTTAAGATGTATATCCATCTACTGCCCACTGTTCACTGACGGAGCTGCCTATATGATTCTATATACACACACCAATTCCACGCACTCCCTTTTTGTTGGAGATCCAGTGAGGACTAACCTCACAGGGTCAGCTGGCGCGAGGAAAGCCGGGGGCGATAGCGCGCTCTGGCCTCTTTTACGACGACGTTGTCGTCTCCGCTCTCGATGACCTCAGATCGAAGTGGTCCCGCGTTGCCTTTGAGTCCCCTCTTTGGCAAAATGTGGAGCCGGCCCCCCTGCCCTTGATAGGCCTAGTGTTGTCAACGCACACATTTTGGAAGTTGAGGGACCCCATACAAATCCCAAAAGGCTGCAATTGTTTTGCTCAAAGGAGCAAAAGGCAGATCACAAACTAAGCTGGGGTCAAGCACATGCCTGCCCTTATTGGGATCCGTTTAAAATCTGTCGAAAGGATCGAAAAATGAACCCTGCTCAACATGTAGGCAACCACTTCGTTTTCCTGCCCGGTGGGAATGATCAACAGTGATTTGCTTTTTGGGGTACATTTGAACAGACATGAGAGGTCTCACAATGGCAAACTCCTCCTTTTGACTAGGGGAGCAACATCACACCCAAGAAAACTTTAAAATGGTGGTTGTCCTCTTGGCTTCACTCTAAAAGGAAAAGGGGCATCCTCAAAAAACAACACGCTCAACTCATGGTTCATTGCACATTTTTGTCCATTCCTCCCATCCAGCACGTGGCGCTTGTGGCGCATGTAATCCAATATGGCGAGGACCTTTGGGTCGCCTCAACAGCCAAAGGGATCTGGGCATGCGAAAGGCACGCATGCCAACGCCCGGAGCACCGCATGGTCATGGGATGGGTTTCGGGCACGATTCTCATGGGTATCACGGAAAATGGGGCAAGCTGAAACTCAAACGTTCAGAACCCATGAATTTCAGGATGCCAATGAGAATGAGTTTCAGGATGTTTCAGGTGATGCAGAAATGGGGCAACCTGAAACTCCCGGAAACCCTCAGATTGCAGAGTCCGAGCCCATGGGGGGGGGTCTTTGGCAAGCGACCCTACTCAAAGCACTCACGGGGAATCCATGGCAGGAGGTGCCCTTCCACTTGGAAGCAAACCAAAAGCCCCGTCCGACACCTTTACCCGGATCCAAATACCATTCTAGTCGGCAATCAGCCATTTTCCTAGAAAAAACAATGAGAACCTGCTTGATAGGGTTAGGCGCATTGTGGACGAGGTTGTCGGAATGGATGAACCGCTACGAATCTTGATTGACCCACCTGGCGCGAGCGAGTTTGGTCCATGTAGCAAACAACCTCAAGCTTTCTCTCCCCCATTCACAATTTGCAGAGCCAGTGAACCACAAAGAAACAACACAGATATGGGTGTGGCTCAAAATTCAACAGGAGGGGTTACGCAGGTTTTGGTCCATGGTTCCACTTTCCAGGGGTCCATTTTGGTACCGGTTTGTGGAGCCACAGCCATATTGTTCCACAGGCTTGGCGCCCTGAGAAGCTCCGGTCTTCGATCGAAGCAACGCCTTGGCCCAAGGGGCGCTTCTTTGCAGCGTCACCTCTGAGGAGTTCAGGATGTTCACCCCGTCCTCGGCGAGGACCGCGGAAGGCGAGTTTGGAGTTCCCAAAGTTGGGGTTCCCCCCTAAAAAAATGAACCTGGATGGCCATGTGGCTGCTTTTTTCAGCCACTGTTGCTGGTTTTTGGGGTAAAGTGGATGGGGAAAAAAAAAGCAGCAGCTGGCGATCCAGGAATAAATAAACAAACAAATCGGTGGGTTTCTGCCGGCGGCTTGTTTTTGTTTTTGTGCAGGTTGGCCTCCCAAGGGTCAAGGGAGTCAGCACCGCCTTAAGGCCTGATGAGGGCCTGACGAATCCGCCGTGTGGGTTGAAAGGGGGAGGATGGGGAGCCAAAGGAGCTCTGCTGGAGTCCCTTGAAACCACAAACCATGGTACAAAGAACGGCTTCCGAAGGGTCTGGGCATCTGTCCCACCGAACACTTGACAAAAAGACAAAGCCACCGCACATCTCCCTCGATAAATTTTTCCACTGAATTTCCACCCGTTTTCCCGGGCCCAACTTTCCAAGTCCTCCGCCTGTCTCAGAGGCCCAGGCTGTGTTGTGCGCTCCCGCGTCCCCCAGCTCGTGGTTGGAGAGCGTGATGCGCAGGCCTCGGGAAATGAAGGAGCTCCAACCGGTGGACACCAGCTAAAGGGGTATGCGTGTAATTGAATGCACATGTATAAATATATATATATATATATATGCTAACATACATAAGGAACCAAATCAATAAGTATATATTCATATATGATATGTGAGTGAGTATGTGTAAATATCAATATATGTGCGTGTGTGTGTGTGTGTGTATGTACATATCCACAATTTTCTTAAGCAAAAGGATTCAACCCTTCTTTTTCCGCAAGTTTCCTCCGCGCAACCACCAGGCTTTGGGGTGCCGAAAGGATCAGTTTGTGGGGTCCATGTGGTGAACAAGCGGTGCAAACATGTGCAAACACTACTTGTTTCGACTTGCGTTGCTTCTCTGTTTCGGACTTTCCCACATTAGACTGAGAGCAGTCCGGAATCCCTGGCACGTTTCCTATGGCTCCTGAAAAAGGAGCCAAGGGCGGCAGGGTGGGCTAAATGCTCAACCAATAGGAGGGCGTGTCCTTTCTTACGTTTGTCATTTCTTTTCCTTTTTTGTTTGGGGGGGAGGTGTGAGGCCAACCGAAAGGAAACCGGCGCCAGAGCTCTTTGGTTTGGCTTTGCGCAGTGACGGAATCCGCCATCTACTTTCACCCCGATGCAACAAAAAGGTGACCCGGACTCCCTCCAAATGGGGATACCCCCCAACAAAAAAAACAATCAGGGGCTTATTTCTCAAGGGCTGATGTTATGACCTAGCCATGGGTTTGTCTCAAAATGGTGGACCCGAAAATCGCCCGAAAATCGCCTTTGGTTCCCTTTTTTCGTTTCCCGTTCAAGCTACACCACAAACTCCCACTAACGCCTGACTGGCCTGTCTATTGTTTGAGGGCACCCCCTTTTTTGT